AACTGGGCATCATTGCCTCGGCGCATCGACAACAACTTTTGACGGTCGAAGGCCGTTCGGCCTTTGTCCGTCTGTAACACAATGTAGTCAAAGAAATCGAACAGTGTGCCTGCGGTCTACGTTGGAGAATCCCCCAAAAGGGTCAAGTCTTTTAATTCAAGTGATAAGCCCATCAAATAAAGGTGACTGTGCTATTGGATACGAGATACATCGCACTGTTGCAGACGCGTACGATCGCCAGGGTCCGGGAGTAGTAAGGATAAATCGGCCTCTGGCGAAGGCCGTCGATTTGATGATGAACACACACTTTCTAAGAATACGTTTGATTTACACTAAGTCAACCATGTTGTAACGGTGTAACAATAATATTTATATTGTTTATCAGATCCAGCAATAACTGCTGAAAGTTATTCAACGAATGAAAATGAAAATGAAAGGAAAATGAAAATGAAACAAAAATGAGATGAAATGAAATGCCATCACACGTATTATGAACGTCATGGTGAAGATCCAACTTCAATCGTTGATATGTAATGACATCAAGCGTATTATGAATATGAGAATGCAACTAGCTTTGCAGGCCTCAACGCCCCTAGTTTGTTGGGAAAGGACAAAATATGAGATTTTATGTTCCAAGAAAAACTATTCAAGTACAAAGTTTTGATCGTGATGTCAGGATTCAACCCAAGTCTGCCGGACAGTCTATATCCACATGGAAAGGGAATGACCCTATACAAGTGGAATATCGATGTTGTGTACAATGCAGTAGGGAATATTACAAGATGTCCCAAAGTATTGAAGCGATCTACATTGAACCTACGAAGGGACAACGTACTAGGCACCGAGTGCTCAACCCCAATACTAAGAAGATGATTTCTTGACCCAAGGTTGTCGTACTACCCGTTACAAATCAAGTAATCAAGCGTGTTGAAGCTTGGGCTGCTGCCAAAGGTGTTACCTCCATGAAGTTCTTCGATAAGAAGAGAGATTTGACATTTCAAGATGGCGATCAAATCGCAGGAGTGGATGACACGGAACAAGGTTACTTAGAGGAAGCCTTTGATCAGGACTATGAGCCTGAAGATGAAGATGAACGTGACTTCAACCTACGTGGACAATTCGATGATATCGATGACTCCGAAAGAAATGAGCTCTTGGCAGATGCAGACAATGTTGTTGATGATATGCCGGAACTCATTGTCAGATTCCAAGGGGATGATGACTGTGAATCAGATGACGACAATTTGGGTGATGAAGGCGATGAAGAGGAAGAACCTATTGTGGCCGATTTGGATCACCATCAAGAAAACGTCGATAGAGGAACCAATGATATTGGAAGCCTCGTTACTGATCTGGAGGATCTACAAGAACCGGCAGACGAAGAGATTGTATTTGAGCCTGAAAGGCCTCAAGTAGCAAAAGTCACTCGATCTGGGCAAACGTATGCGCAAGCTGCAATGTCAGGGCTGAACCTTTCTCAAGTTCCAAAGAAACCAAGAAAATGGCCTTCCAGCAGGAGTGGCAGTTCTGCCAATAAGAACAAGAATCGAGTTGCGACAAGACGCAAGCATCAAGAGAGGGAATTGGAACTGTTGAAGAACAAGTTAAAATCTGGTATTCATACCAAAGAAGGAAGTCGCAGTACTAAATTTGATACTGACGAAAGTCTGAACTTCATTCAACAGTATTACATCAATCAAGGGCTGAAGAAGTTTGGTGATGATGGAAAAGATGCTGTGGATAAGGAATTGAGACAAATGCTTGTGAGAGATTGTTTTACTCCTGAATTTGTGAAAGACATGACCGCGTCTGAGTGAAAGAAGGCCCAATCAGCAATGATGTTACTCGCGGAAAAGCAATTCGAAAAGACAATTAAAGGTCGCCTAGTATACCAAGGCGATGGAACTTGTGAATGGTTATCGCGAGAGGACACTGCAAGTCCAACTGCTTCGCAAGAAGCCACCACCACTTCTTGTGTTATTGATGCACATGAAGAAGGTAGAGATGTAATGACAATGGACGTGCCTAACGCTTTCATTCAAACTTATATGCCTGAAGCTAAGGAAGGAGAAGATCGTATCTACATGAAAATCACTGGCATGATGGTCCAGATATTGATTGACATGGCCCCAGAGTATTGCGAATACGTTGTTTTAGAGAACGGAAAGTGAGTAATCTATGTGCGGGTACTACGTGCTATATATGGGATGTTGCAATCGAGCCTCCTATTCTATAATCAGTTTCGAAGTGATTTGGAGGCAAAGGGATTTGTTTTCAATCCGTATGACCCGTGTGTTGCTAACAAAGTTGTTGATGAAAAGCAGCAAACTATCAGATTTCATGTTGACGATCTTATGTCAAGTCACATGGATCCAAAAGTAAATGACGAATTTGCTAAGTGGTTGAACATGAGATATGGTTCGATCAAGGTATGTACAATCGTCAGAGGAAAGATACACAGATATCTTGGAATGACTTTGGATTTCTCGGTGAAAGGAAAACTCAAGAGCCGCATGGACGACTATGTCAATAACATGTTGGAAGATTTTCCTATCAAGTTCAACAAGGATTCAAAGCAGGAAACACCAGCTGGTAACAATTTACTGGAGGCTGGTAAAGGAAAGTTACTCAATGCTGAGTACCGTCAAATCTTCCATACTACTGTTGCAAGGGGACTAAGAGAGCTTGTTTGGATATCCATCCAATGATCACTATTCTTGCCTCATGTCCCAAAGTACTGCATTTAACCGTTTCCTGGTCAGACAGTACAAATCAATACATTCGTAGATCCAGTAAAAAATGTACGTGAAATCGACTACACCGACTGCTCCAAAATAGTACCTACAACCTCTAAATACTACTCGCCAAATTTGGCCACCAAAGACTAAACACACGGTTGGAAGTCATTTATATCAAAGAAGATGTCCAATAAGAGTATATGTGGGGAAAGTGTTGTTGGAAGCCACTTTCCGATTTTGACGTTCAAACATAGAGCTTTTTTAGTTTCTCTCACGTAGATCCAGTATATTTGCTATAGGGATGTAGTACGTTCTTGTGAGAATCCAGAAAGTGGTGAGAGCATCAAAACTACAGAGAGCAAACCACGAAAAAATGGGCTCTCAATGTACAAGCTGGTTCGTGCTAGCAGAGCATTTGACGTTTGGTCCTTTGGTGTTCTGTTGTACGCATTGTGTAGCAGAGAGTCGTTGTTCAAGGTGAACAGCGATGATGATATCACACAAATGTTGACTCGATGTGGAAGTTACACAATCATTTGCCCAATATCACTGCAACCAGTTTTGGATTTGAGTGGTGAAGCAATGACCTGCCATATCGCTCTACCCAAGGGATGGGTGGTGCGCTATGGACTTGCGATTCTCATTGGCTTGATGATAGTTCAAGCAGGATTGGCTGTTGGACATGGATGTGGCCTGTCAGTTACTGGAGCAGACGAAGATGTACTGAACACTTTCAATTTCTTTTCTGATACTCAAGGCCTGATTATAGAGGGCATGAGAGGTGATCAAGTGGAATCAGGGCCTACGGAAATGCTGTTGGAATATTTCAACTACCGTTTAGACTCTACCGTGTCAACTACATCGGGGATCGACGATAGGCAAAAATTCAGCACCTCAAGGATGAACTCCAAAAGGCATACCAGGGTATATCATTGCAAGTTAAGGAGAAAAATGGTGAGCTCAAGAAATGTGGCACATGGCACCAGTTTTTGAAAAGTGGGGATCAAAATGCTTTGAGATTTCAATGGAAGAATTGGAAAAGGAAAAAACCCTATTGGCTGCGAAGGCTCAAAGAAACAGGCAATACAGAGAAGCCAATACCAACACCGAACGACAATGGAAAAGAAGCCAAAGAACAATCAACGATTGCTTCCATGGAGCGGTTGTTGAAACGGTAGAGATCGCCAACGTTTCGCCAACTACCTCCGATTCGCGGAGCTTGCAGTCGACGACGCATTCAAAAAAAGGACTGCATCAAGATGCTGTGCAAAAGAGTGATTTGGTCGTCCACAAAGGATGGCTGCAGCTTCGAAGTCGTCGTTTTTCATCTCGACGGAAAGAACGCTATGTTGTGGTATCTGGAAATGGCAACGTGACATACTACCATCGTGCCACTGCCGTACATGATCCATCCACTCGTGGATCAATATTGCATGCGGTAACATGGAGTGCTCTAACAAATGGATGTATCCAGCTAAAGAGTGAAACGCATCGGGACGGTATACTAACATTGAAGGTGAGGCAATCAGAGCGGAGTTCCAGCACTATCAAGGACTGGCTTTGAGGAAACCAATGGATGCTTCATCAATCGAAAAGTGAAGATTCCAACAATTCTGATAGTAAATCGACGGATCCCAAACGAGCTTTGGCGTCTCGAATCGATTTCACTGGACAAATCAACAAAAGTTGAACACTGAGAGTTCTTCAGCAGTTGGGTTGCAGTGTGCGCTTCGATTTCCACTATTCCTTAGCAGTGTGTAGGTAGAGAAGCTACGCAACAAAAATGACATGAATGAAAATGGAATAGTAATTTATAATAAATGAAGAGCTTCGATTCTATAGTTTCAGCCAAACACCAGAGGTGCACTTGAAGCCGGAACCAAAGGCAACCTGCATAATGCGATCTCCCTTTTTCAAAGGATTCGATTTTTGTTCTTCTTGAATGTACTCAAGTTCATACCAAATCGAAGATGAACTTGTGTTACCGTAGTTGTAGAGTGTCATTCTGGATGGTTCCGAGTGGAACTTTTCAAGCTTCATGTTCTTTTCGATACCTTTTGGAACAAAAAAGGAAAATAAAGATCAGATGGTGGGTCCCAATTTTTGTGTGTCAAATACCTTAGATTCCAAACAACTTACCGTCAATGACAGCTCGGCCACCAGCGTGAATGCAGAAATGGTCAATGCATCTCTTAAAATCTGGAACATAGGGCTTGTGCGACTTTCCAAACTTCTTCATGATAAAGCGAACCAACAAACTCCATACAACGTGGATTTGTTCCGAAAGGGGCAACACTTGAGGACCAAGTGTCGTCAAGTTCTTTTCCATAGTCTTTCCAGCGACCTTGACAATATCCTTAGAAAGTCGCACACCTCTCTCCCCAGCCTTATCTTCCCCTTCGAAGACACATTCATATCCAGCCTCTCCTGAGCTTTGGACGCGAACGGTGTGCAAAAGCTTGTACCATGCACGACGGCCATCGAGCCAGTTGTTGGAAAGAACGATGGCTGCACCACCACAACGGAACAAAGTATTTTGGATCAAGAAACCGCGGTCATTTCCGTGGTAAAGATTTGGCGTAATAATTTCAGTGGATACAACCAATGCCTTTCCAAGTCTCTTGTCCAAAAGTCGCTTTGCCAAGTCAATGCTGATTAGAGATGCACTGCAACCCATTCCGGACAAGTTGTAGGTGGCAACATCAGGTCTCATTCCGAAGTGAGAGACAACCATAGCACAGAGAGAAGGAGTAGGAGCGAACAGGGAACAGTTGATGACAAGGATATCAATATCCTTGGGCTTGACATTTGCCTTTTCCAAGGCGTTGGCGACGCAATCGAAGATGACAATTTCGGCTTCCTTCCGACTCGCAGACATTGACCTGTCAGCTTTGGGAGCATGGGATTCCAAAGATTGCTTGATACCTGGTGGCCAGGCAGTGGCTGGTCCAGTACCAGAGCGCTCCAAGATACGCTTCATGAAATCAATGCTTTCGTCGTTGAAGCATTCTTGACGACGCATCATTTCCAAAATTTGGTCGTGATCACATTTCCAACTGTCTGGTGCCTTGAAGGTGGCAAATCCCATAAGATAGACAGGATTGTCTCTTCGGACGATCCAGGCACCCAGGACAAGGAGAAGAGCAGTCGTCTTGACCTCTGGTGAAAAAACGTAAAAACCCTCACTGTCATAGATTGCGAGATACAATCGAACAAAAAGGTCCTTAATTGCCAATGCAACAACAGTAACGGTGTTGTATGAGAGCCACTGGACTTCGCTATCTCCGAAAAGCTCGGTAACAGCTTGTTGTATAACCTGGCCGATTAGAATAATCATTCCCAAGATCAACAAATGTGGTGCATGCGACAACAAAACATGTGTCCAGTTGACCATACTGGTTCGGTGCAAAAGAGATACAGGAAGAGGAGAAAATGAAGAGTCAGAACATGTCCCAAGCCAAGCACTCCCTTGTGATCTCGTGAATCTCTTGGTTCAGTTCAGAACGTACCCAATGAGGCTTGATTTACGGACGCGATATTCTCTTGTGTTTGTGGCTTCACTTCCTGCACTCAACAGGCTCACTTCTGATTCAACTCTTGGCATACGGCCAGCATCTCTCGCTTGTGGTGGCATTGTATCGCTACTGTAATATGTCAACTTCTTTGCAGTCGGTGACAAATGATATGTCAATCAAGATAGTGGAGTGTTTCTAGCCCGAGTCCACGTCGGATTCAACTTTTTCTCAGATGATGACAAGAAAAACTTCATCATGTTGCGTAGCCACTCTGTAGTCTTTTAATATCAGATGTACTGGTCTAGCCTTTATTTTCTACATGAATCGTGGTACAAATTCAACCAAGAGATCTTGCAGGGACGCGCAGACGATAGCTACAGACTGTGGGTGTGACGTAATGCCACCAAACCCTTGAATTCGCTTTGTGCCGACGTGGTTGTTGATTTGCTTGCTTGCACGTATTATATTTTGAGGACGGGACAACAGACCGTGCATGTAGGCAGAGATCAGAGAAAGGCACTAATATAAAAAAACATGTCTTTTGTTGATCTATTTGAAAAGATCGTCTGAGAGATCGTCACTGCCGAAAAGATCGTCCAAAGAAGATTCAATATCGCTTTCCAAGTCAATCTCGTCTTGCTCGTTGCTTAGGGCATCGTCTTCGTCTTCATCCTCGTCGCTGTCTTCAGCTCCATTGGTAGACTTTGCAGCTGCGGCTGCAGCCTTCTTGAGTTGTCTCTCTTGTTTCTGCGCTTTCTTTGCCTTTTCTCCTGCTCTGCGGTTCTCGTTGACTTTCTTCAAGACCTCAGGACGAGGTGAGATAATCAAAGAAAGACTTCTTCCTTCTCTCACACACTTTCCTTCCTTCACACAGACATCAGATATGTCTTCAGCAAGCTTTTCCAAAAGTTCACGTCCCAAGTTGTCGTGTTGCATTTCACGTCCACGGAACATGACTGTACACTTCACACGGTTCCCCTGATTCAAAAACCTCAATGCATTCTTCTTTCGGACATCGTAATCATGAATATCAATCTTGTAACTCATCTTGACTTCCTTCAATTCACTAGCCTTGGAATTCTTCTTAACTTCCTTTGCTTTCTTTTCTTGCATGTATCGGTACTTTGAATAGTCCACGATTTTGCAGACTGGAGGGTCCGAGTTGGGGTTGACCAAAACCAAATCCAAACCTCCCATCTCTTTTGCCTTGGCCAAAGCATCTGAACGGCTCATGACTCCCAAGGGTTCGTCCTTTCCTTTTTCGTTAGGGGTAACAACTCTCAACTCTGCTTGTTGGATCTCATCGTTCATCGGTGGTTTGTATTCCTTCACAGGTGCTTGTCGGCTTCCTCGGTTGATTCTGGCGTAAAGCGACAGATCATTTCTTGGGCTGACGCTAATTGGCATAAAGGCAGATGCCGCAGAGCTCAGCAGTAATGCAGCGAAAAATGCAGTATTTTTCATCATTGTGTTGTATGGAGTAACGGTAGATAGAGGAGATGTTGAAGATCGAGTGGTAATCTGTTGAGCTGGTTGATGGCAACTTCATTCTCCAATCCTTCAGCCGATCAGCGGATGGACGAAGAGTGGCCTGCCATACGTCACTGAATCAAAACAGTCGACTGATAGTATTCCGATCAGTGTACAACCGGGAGGTCCCGCGACAAACACCTACTTATTGGTAAAACACCCTATTTCTCTCTCACTTATAAGGCGCAAAGAAAATCGAAAAAGCGAGAATGATTGATTAAGAACAAAACCGGCTCTCGTTAAGTAATTTATTTTAACCATAATTGAATGGAATTTTACTTATCCAACGATTGGTCATGTAGAGGTCATTGGGGTATCCTTCAGTACCAGCGACACGCAGCCCGAAACGGCGCAAATTAGCATCAGAGGAGTTGAGCCAAAATAAATGCAACCATGGCAACTGCGGAATCAAGTGGTATTGTTCATCCTCATGATCATGATGTGCTTTCAGGGAGAGGAAATTTTGTGAATTATCATGCTGGTAATGAGCATTTCCGAGGGCTTGTTCGGAAACATAAGGTGGATTACGTGCAGTGTCCAAAACCTCAGAAGGGCAAGTTCTCCAAGATGATCGTCGACGAAATCAAGAGCCGAAACCCTCCTGGTCGCTTTCTGAAACAAGATGGAGCAACGAAGCTTTGGTATGATATAGGAGAAAAGAAAGCATTGGATAAAACGCGGCAGGCCCTACGAGAAGGTGCTCCAGACTTGGTGAAAGAGATGACAGGCGATGAGGGAAGTGAGGGGGAAGACCGACAAGTACAAAATGTACGTAAATCCTACGCGGGACTTGATTACACCTGAGAAGAAAAAAAACATCTCACACTTTGTATCTTACTTGCTTTCTTCAGCAACAAACCGTAATTGGCAATGCCAGTGTTGCTGGACTAGCAAGCCCAACATTCTCTGCTGGCGGGTTTCAATCACCAGTGATGAACATGCGGAATCATCTGCACATTTCGCCGGCAGCTCTTTTGAATGCACCTCAACTGTTATCCCCTGGAATGATGATGAATGGGATGTCACCGGCAATGCAACAACAAATGTCGGCCAATTCACTAGGAATGAATCGCGGTCTTGCAAACAATATGGGACACAACAATATGAGTCAAGTGCTTCCACCACCCCAGGTTCACAGCGCTTCATTGGATCAGTTACAACACAACTTGACTCCACTGCAACAGCAACAAATGTTATTGAATCAACAAGTAATGAATCAGCAAGCACTCAATAATGGATTCAGCGCTTTGCAGCAGTTTAACAACACACAATCCGAATTGGAGCAAGCAATGCTGGTGAATGCAAAGTTGGAGCATGAGATGCAGATGATGCAGAACAAACTGAACTCGATTTATTCAAACGATCATCAACAACAGTTGGAACCAACACCAATACAAACAGCATCATACGACAAACCAATCACGCCACAAATGCCAGCAGCAAATACGGTTGAAGCTGCGTCACCCAAACTGGAAATTCCGACAGGACAAAATCCCAGAAGGAAGGCTCCCCCTTCCCTCCTCGTTCGAGAAGACAGTCTGAAAATGGAAAGAATATTTGCCTCGCCCGCTTCCGTCCAAAAGAAGAAGGCCGACTTGAATGGATCAGCAGGAGGTCTGTCTGTGATGAGTATGTCCATAGCTGATATGCAGGACGACGGAAACCTAAGTGCTGTGTTTGACAGCAGCGTGTCGCTAAGGGATCATAGTCGCAAGCTTGACAACGGGAGCAGCAGAAGAGGCAAGAGATCAACAGAGTTCGACATGAGCATCGCCACACTTGGTGAAGCAGGGAACATGAGTGTTAATACATTATCGATGCACGAATCCGATGCAAATGTTTCAGCCTTTGGAAATGTGTTTGAGGATCATTCGTGAATTTGGAATCATCAGGATGCAACGCCACAATGTATGGTCAAACACTGAGAACCAACAACTCGCTGATGATGCTAAATTCTCAAAATCACAAAATTGTAGCTGCCATTACGTAGTCAATGGAGACCATAATATGTAAACTTCCGATAAAGTCTATTCCACATACAGTACTGATCTTTTTTCTTCAGTGTCGATAGGCAGGTAGTAGGCACTGTACGCACGTGCATACAAGCGGTTCTTATTTGACTTCATCGACCACATTTTCTGCGTCACATTTTTCAATTTTGGCCGATTTCACCAAGGGAGACTGTTGCTGGCATTAGAGCGCCCCGTTCCCATTTCGTTTCGTAATCTTCAATGGGGTCCAATCAAAGTGTCAACAAGCCTACAGAGGGCACGAATTTTCCGTCTGAAACACCAACTGAAAGTGAGACCAAGCCAAGACGACAGAAACAACCACCTCCAAATCTCTCAGGTCCAGCTCTAGTTGAATGGAAATGTCGAAAACGAAAAAAGGCATGGAATAGTTGTGTTGGTGGTTGGTACAATGATAGGTTTCTACCTGGTAAAGCGCTAGAAGATGAGAGAAGTGAACAGAATTGTGATGAACTATTTGAAAAGTTTCGCCATTGCTACATGCGTGGTATGCTGACAGAACAAAAGAAAAAAGGATTGAAGGTAGAAGAGGGGTCCATGCTTGCAGAATTTGCTGAGGAAGAAGGGATGAAAACAGAAAGTGATAAATGAGCCGAATGTTTTATGAACTTAGTCTGAAAGCAGCAGTTCGTATTTTTTCCCCAAGAGTTTTCCCTCCCCCACAGAAGACCGATCCGTTTGCGGCAATGCAGATGTTTGGCTCACATCTGGAAAAAAGGAGTAAGGAGTAGCTGGTCGCAGTACCAAATTCCGTTTTATGGCCTTAGCCATCCTTTGCCTTCCAAACCGGAAAATCTTCGATTGACATGCTTTTTGCTTGAACCGCTAGTAATATCACCGAACACAAGATCAGCAATCAAATGGCTTGTCACCAGTTGAATCCAGGGTATCCATGCTGTAGACTGTACTGATATTGGCTGCTTGATCTCTGAGTTGATTCTCCTTGGTGTCGGCAAGGATGATGTGCAAATCCTGGTCATGACTTGTTTTGTCTGCACTGCAAGTTGTCGATACCAGAATCGTCGTTGTCTTCTGTTGGTCTGTAGTGTTTTGAAGTGACTTGTCGACAGACGCTCCATGCCAAAACCTCCGTGCAATCAATGAACGGTTTGGCAGATGGAGAAGTGCTTGTGTTGTCATTGGGTTTGTTGAACATGAGGTCTCTGTTTGATCTGATTCGCACGAGGGATCGTCTCGAACATCCCAGGCTTCTGCGGGATGATCCTCGACTTGCTGTTCCATTGCATCTCCTGACTCCTCGACTTGCTGTTCCACTGCATCCCCTGACTGCTCTGCAATGTATATGTGATCGAATTCTGGATTTACCGTATTCTTTTGCACAGGCTTCTGGCGAGTAGCTGCCACGTTATCACAGTTTTCCTCGTCGGCCGGAGCCTCAAAATCCATGGCCTTGGCACCATCGTTGTTAATTGCAGTCCCCGAAATTCCTGGGCTGCTTGAAGCACCATCAAAGTAGATTTGATCCTCGCGATGATGGCCTTGAGACTTGGTATCTTCACGTATCCGATGCATTCCAAGCTTACTCTTGACCACATCAATTTGATTTTTTGTTCCCGAGTTATGCATTTTCCAGCTTTGTAAAGTTTCTCTAAGCTGCTTCAGAGTGCCTTGGAATTCGCGAGATATCCGTGCGTTCTCTTTCCGTGAAGACTCTGAAAGTGTGGTATGCTTCGCACTGACTACATTGTCCTCACCAATCCGGGACAAGTGAAAACGACTCCGTTGATCACTTTCGTGAATTCGTTTACAGATTTTCAAGCTTTCTCTGGCGGCGGTTCCCAACAATCCTTCCAGAACCTCTGCGTGCTCAGAATTCTTATCTTCTGCGGTTTCTAGCGCTGCAAAGAAGTCCTCAAGCTCTGAAATGACCTCCTCGACTTTCATGTCCACTTGTCGCGCCCTCGGATTCTGTTTGGCGTCATGACCGTCAACGTAGCTTACATTATGCGTACTCTGATCTGGAGAACTTGGAGGCGTTCCTTTCGCAATGACAAGAGCAGAAGCGAGTTTCTTTACCTCAGCATTCAGGCGAAAGACTGCATCTCTTGCCGATTGGAGCTGCTCCTTCATAGATTCGGAGGTCTCGTCTGTCGTGATGATATCAGGTGGTGGACTCAAGGAATCGGTCTCTTCCAATGCACACTTTACAAGCTGATCTCGTAACTTGGTCTCTTGGTCCATAGTTGCTTCGTCGTCTGGTTGATCGAAGGAACTCTGTGGTTCCACGACAGGGCTATGGCATTTCTTCAGCACTCTTTCCAACTTTGCAATCTCTGTCGTCCAGAGAAAATAGTAATAGTCTTTTGAATCTGGTCCAAGGCTACTAGCCCAGCGTTTTGTCTTCCCAAGTTGGTCAACGAGCTGATCTCGCTCTTGCTCATGCCTGTGTACAAGAAGACTCAGCGCTTCAACACGCCCATTCAAATGTTTTATTTCGCGATCTTTCAGCTTTGCTGATCCATTCACCCTACTACTTTGAAGGACTTTTTTAGTCTCCTGGAGCTCTTCGTCTCTTGAATCAACAACCTTTTCGTATTCTTGGATACTGGTTCGAAGGGTTTCATTTCGACGTTTGAGGTTAATAATCTCGCCCTTGGAAGCCTTCAGATTCATCTCACTTTGCCTCAACTGTTCCACTGTCGTCTTCTTTTCCCCCCTCAGGGACTTGATTTCACTGGTCATCTCGTCTCCTTCTCTGTGTAGAGATTCGCATTGCTTCTCCAAAGACTTGACTTCTGCAACAAGCGACTGAACTTGAGATTCTTTGTCGACTACCTTGGAGCGTTTTTCTTTTTCCAACTTTTCATGGAATTCTTGCAATAGCATTTCCTTGTCGTGTGCCGCACTCTCCCGGAGAGCTTCGGCTTCACGCCTGAAATGAGTCAGTTCACGGTTCATCGCATCAATCTCTTCTTGTTTGGCCGATTCGATACTTTCGTGAATCTGCCGTCCGTATTGCTCCTTATCGATTTCGGCCTGTTCCAGTAATCTACTTGTTTCGTCGGTCAACGATTGTAGTCGATGCTGGTAATCAATGAGTTCATGTTCTCGTTCCTGGTAGACTTGCTGTCTCATCTCCGTGATCTTTGCCCATTTCTCCCTTGCTTGCTGTTCTTGCATGGCATGAACTTGCATTCGAAATTTGGATTCCAGCTCGTTTATCGCGGTCTCACTTTGTTCTCGTGTCCGGTCAATGATCTCATGCAATCTTGAAATTTCGTACTCTGCCCTTGATACTTCTTGGCGGAGCTTATCAGTTTCTTTCACGGCTGCTTCTTGGCTTCGAACTTTGACCTCCAGCGCTTCTTTGTCTTTAAATGCTCTCTTGAGTTGCTCTCGTAGAATTGTTATTTCTCTGTCCTTCTTGGCGCCAATTTCACTGGAGATCTCCTTTCGCAGTTTGCGAGTCAAAGCCTTAGTTGTTGCCTCTCTCTCATCAAAGCGGATCCGTTCTCTGGCGTTGTCATCCAACTTGCTCTGTTGTTCTGCCTGTTTTTCTGCCTGCCTTCGTTCTTCGGCCCTTTTCTCTTCTAGCACTTCGACCTTTTTCTTTTCGAGTATTACTTGCTGTCGTAGCGTAGCATTTTCTTCGAGCAAATCAGATGCTTGCATCTGCGCTTCCTTCAATTCATGTTGTTGCAACAGAGTTCCACCTGAGGAGGTGCCGCCGAAACGATTGCTACGATTTCGAAGTTTCGAATTGATTCGTTCTAACTGCTCAGAGGTACTCTTTTGTTTGATCAATTCAATCTGTGTCGTCTCGAGCTGCTTTTTGGCCTCAATAAGATCCTTGTTGAGGAGATCCACAGCTTTTTTCAACCGACTCTCAGTTGCTGGATTCATAGGACGTTGTGGTGGAGGTTGGTTCTCCGCAGCGGCTTGAAGTCTATTCACTTCTTCACGGAGACTATGTTCCTCATTAGTAAGAATTTCATTCTCTCTGTTCATGAGTTCTAATTCTTGCTCTTCGGCCTGTAACCTTATCTCGAGAATTTCTGACTTTCGCTCGGATTCTGCCAGTCTGTCTTGAGTCATCTTTAGAGTTTCTCTAGTCTCCTGTAAGAGTGCAGACACCTTTCCCACTTCCTCAACCATCTGGTCATAAGTCCCCGTCGATTCTTCATCCCCCATGATGGAATATAATCTCAAAGTCTCTTGATCGTCAAAGACATTCACAGCAGCACGGGGCTCCATACTCCTTCCTGGCCTAGCTAGTACTACTTTGAACTATGTTTCTTGTTTTCTTCAACTATCCTACTGAGTGCCTACGGTGGCAACATTTTCGATCTCCTGCTCTCTGAATTTGTTTAGCTTTGCTTGAAGCCCTGTTGGATAGATCGGTTGTACTTTTCCTTGTTTGTTGATTGCAGAGGTGAGTGGCGTGTTGAATTTGTGAATGATGCGTTGATTGAGCGAGCTTGTATTTAACGACGTCTGGCTAAAACGTTCGACGCCACCAAATCATCACTCGCTAATGTTTGTCCAAGGGAGAAAGGAGAAACACGGATGTAAAGCACGCCAGCTCGGTGTTTTGCTGGCGTGCTTTTCAAAACGGTTGGACTTTGGCAAGGTGGGAACCAAATGAAGAGGTCTGTCTCCATAGTGTAGGATTGTGGTACGACAGCATCACTATTGAGCCAGGAGCTGCGCACCATTGCCCTTGTTGAGCTAGGTGTATCATTTCTGAATAGAAATAGCAATCAAGCGAGACATCTTTGGAAGAATTCGTCGCTGAAGTTGGCCAAAAGCCCCGCTGTCCTTCAAATTGAATCTTTGGTGCCAAGCAGAAGCATTGGATTAAAAATTCTGCAGTCTACAATTCACGTCCTCGAAATCCACTTGTAATAATTTTGATTCATAATTTTGATTCATAAATAGTGCAATTCACCAGTAAAAATGTCCAGCGCACAAGGATCTGAAAAGAAAAAGAGCTTGAGAAAGAGCTTGGGGCTATCGTTTTCTTCCTCATCCAAGCGGAAAGATGTTTCTGAAAGTCGACAAGGAGAAGGTCGTAGGTCTTCTCGGGGCACAGATGATCGGCGACGAGCAAAAAGTACTGGTGGTAATGCTGCTAAAGAAGACAGCAAACCCAAAATTGTGAAAAAGGGTGAAGGCATCGTGAGGAGGATAAGATCTTTGTCCAGATCAAGATCGCGATCGTCCAAGGAGTCGTCGGGACGATTTTCATCCGAAGAAATGCCTAGAACAATTGTCACGGTGACATCTTGTAGGAGTGATGGATATTACAACCAAAAAGCGCCTGGGTCTACCTCAAAATTGCCCCGGAAAGCGCCCACAAATCTAAAGCTCTTCCATGAGCTTGCCGTAGGAATTAAGGATGCCTTTACAGCTGTCGGAAAGACACCCATAAAACCCGTCTTGGTGAATGAAGATACTGGTGAAAGAATGAATGAGGTTGAGTTTCAACAAAAGTCTGCCTTGTGGGAATTCCTTGGAAATATTGACTTTGTAAGTATTGGATTGACTGGAACCTGCGCACAAGCTGGACCGCCTCTTTTTACTAGCTCTGACTCATATTTTCTGCTTGCCAATCTTTAGCTTCTGGCTCTTGTTGATGAGGTCGCAGTCGATACAGCTACACGAGGGGCACTAAAGGATGATAAGACGTTCAAAGGAGTTCGTGATGTGATCAAGAAGTGTAATAAGGTTCTGGAGGAAATGCTTGTTCGAAGAGAGAGGCGTTACACCCTTTTCTTTAGGCTTCCGGAAGACCCCAAAGATATTGCGCGAATCAGGGCATGGAACGAAAAAGTAGAGAAGGCCGTGGGTGCGGTCACTGATTCTCCGGCCGCCAGTGCGGTTGAGAAGGCAGATTCAGAAAGCGACACTTCCAGTATCTCGAGTGCTTCAACATCAGGCACCAAAGGTCCTAGTGTCTTTGCGCGTGGTCGTCAGTTGTTACCAACTGCAGGACGAGTTCGAGCTCGTCGTGCAACTCCAACACCCACTCTTCGTCGCAGAGCTGAGAACGGTGAAGAAGGTTCAGGAAATGCCGCTGAAGATGGTTTCGCGGCGGCAACACCAGTGACACAGGGAAATCTAGCTGCTTTGCAACGGTCTCTGCAGACAAATAATGACCAAAAGAGCGGATCTATCCCAAGTGGTTTGATGACAGCTCAAGCTTCTCAGCAACTCGCTCCACAGCAGCAAATGGCACCAAAGGATGAACTGGTTGACGTTATCAGAGGACTACGAATGGAAAAGATAAAAAATCGAGAAATGGGTTCACCGGAGAGTGATCTTATCGCATTAAAGCCAGACTGGCGACCAAAGGCTGATATTCCTTCGTCCGTACCAAAGCTTCCTCTGGAGTATATTCATCGCCATCGCCTTATGAAACAAGTCGTCAGCTGTCTTTTGGATCAAGTTGGTGCTGGGCCCCGAGATGTGGACGAAGAAGCTTCCGAGAATGCAATCATTACCTCGATCACATCGCGGCACGGTGACAAGGCAGGGAATGGAAAGACTATCCTCGCCGTGGCTGCGATTCAAACTGTTGAAGTCCGAGAACGATTCTCTGACGGTATTGCTTGGGTCCGACTTGGTAGAGGTCCATTGTCGGAGCGGGATATCCGTCGGTTGTACGAAGAAATCTATCGGCAACTTGTGGTCAAGGGCACAGAGCTGGAGGATGACCCAGATGAAGAAGAGATTAGGGAATTGATGGCAACACCTTCCGGTGGATCAAGTTTCGACGGTGGGGACAAGGCTATGACTGTGGAACAAAGACGGCAGTCCTCAAAAGAAGAAGCTCAAAGACAGCGTCTCGTCGCACTTGCAGAAATGAGACGTCGGTTCCAAGCAGGCGAACTTGAGGGTATGAAGGAAGATCTCGGAAGGCTACTTGCGAACAAGAAGTACTTGATTTGCCTTGATGACGTCTGGCGGGTGGAAGATGCGAAATGGTTCGTCTTTGACAACCAAATAATGAGTGGAACAAAGCAAAAGACCGTCAGGCGAAGACGGGATGCAGATGAGATTCCTGGAAGGCTTTTGATCACAACTAGGATGCCGAATCTGTTGGGTCCAGGTTTGGTGCAAGAAGTGTTTGTTCGCATTCTTACGGAGCATGAAGCCGTCAAGCTTTTGCTTTCGACAGCTGGGCGTCGGCCCTATGGCGGAAAAAGTTCAGAGGTCTTCAATCAAGCAAAGCTAGTCGTCAAAGGGTGTGGCAATTCTCCCTTGGCTGTTAGACTGGCTGGAAGCATGCTTCGCCATAGCAGCAGGAGCTGGAATCTCACTTCTCCAGCATGGGCGGCATTGATCCATCAGTGTCGCCTGAATCTGGAAGAGGCATCTCAATTGAGAAGTTTCGTCAACGCAGTGAAAAGAGTGGTAGATCTCAGTTTTTTTGACGTGGCTGATGTCCGAACGCGTGTTGCGCTACGCCGTTGTTTTGTTGCATTTGCTATGGCTTTCCGTGACAATGACTGGGCATTGTCCGGGAGAGGAATCCCGCAGTCAGTCGTACTTCGTGTGTTCAAGACTGTCATTCCATCGGGAAAGACCGGCAAAACGATCTCTTCTGCCAGCATTTTGAACATGATGGAAACGCTAAATCTAATTGAACGCGCAAGGCACGGACTATGGTCTGCGTCGAACTCGAGAATGGCGCAAACAGAGCCTAGTTTACGCAAGCAAGATACTCGTGGTAGCGACGACAATGATTCCGATTGGGAGGAGGACGAAGAACGGACGATACATCGTGTTCAACAGTTCTACGTTATGCATGATTCGGTAAGCTTTTCGGCTGATGCGCGCTGCAGCTTGAAAGTTTTAATCTCACACCACCCCAACTTGTTCTGTCACCACAGCTGAAAGGAGTAGCCGAAGAAATGGCCAAACGTTCAACACCGTCTTTGTCTCCCGACCCCGACGATTTCACCTCATACGTTGAGAAGATTGCTGATGAAAAGAAAGCTGGACAAGAGTATGCATTGGTGTCAAGCTCTCCCTTCCGATTTCTATCGAACCAACCCGCGCCATCTGAAAGCGAATCTGATAAATTCGGCTTTACTGAAAGCGAAGCTCATCGAATCGTCGTGATAGCTTTGCTCGAAGTTGGAGATGGTCTGGAGGATTCAACTTCAATGGCGGAAGTTCTAAAGGCAAGGCAGATTGACATGGCTTTGATTCCTGGAGGAGATAAGATGGAGGAGTATGTTGCAACCTTCCTTCCGTCGCACCTAATGCGTTTCGAAGCCTTTGGAAGCGCGGCGGAGATCCTTTCTGACACTAACTTCATCAACCGGCGAGCACATGCACTTGGAATTGTCGAAGCTACAAGTAGACAAGTCGCAGATCTTCAAGAATTGCGTCGGGTTGCCGGCAATGTGGCTCTCACCCTTTATGGGAAACGTGTTTTGGATGTCAACGGTGTCAATACTGAGACCAATGGACCTGTTCGTGTTGATGTCAACACTGTCGTAAGGGATGGATCCAGAATCATCATCGACGAAGTCTTGCGCATTGCTAACAAGCAAGATGGTGCCCCCGATTCGCTTGGAATGGCGATGTGTCTTGCTGCCGTTGGCGAAGGGCTCCTCAAAGCACGTCAACCTAATGATGCAATGCTTCGCCTGGAGGAAGCTGTTGGCCTGTTTAGAGGTTTATTGGGACCATTCCATACTTTCGTTGCCGATGCACTACACGCTGCAGCCAAGGCACTAGTAAAGGTTGGCGAGACCAGAGTTGCGTTGTTGAAGTTTGCGGAAGCCGCAAGGATTTATGAAGCCTGCAAGGCGACACTATACTACAACTCAATTGCGAATGCACAGAGTCTTGCATCGCTACTTGTGGATCTTGGGGATATGGAAAAGGCACAATCCATGTTCGAGGAAGTTATCTCCATGAGAAAGAGTGTTTATGGTGAAAACTGTGTTCCAGTTGCGAAAACGATCAATTCTTACGCAATTCTCCAGGCTAAACATGGGCGAATGAATCTTGCATTGCAGAATTACGAGGCTGCAAAGACAACATATCAGTCGGTCCCAACACCTCTTATCCAAGATCCTGAGTTTGACATCAAGTGCAAGTACGATGTTACCCTAATCAATCTCAACATTGCTTCTATTCGTTCCAAGAAGGGAGAATTGCAGGCTGCGATATCCTGTTATGAGGACGGTGTGCAAGGTCTTCGGGAGTACGAGGCAGCATTTGTAGAATTGCAGAAGGATCCTTTACGGTCTCAAGATACAGGAAAAAACACTGCACATAAGCATCTTATCGCAGCCCTTGGCAGAATCGGTTCCTTAAAGTTGAAGGTTAATGACAATCCGGGTGCCCTCAAAGCGTACATGACACTTCTCACAGAAGTAAAGGAAGACAGCCCTGCGGCTTCAAAGACCGAAAAGGCAAAAGCCCATATTAAGTGTGCCACAATCTATCGTCAACAAGACAACACAGATTCGCATGTTCAATCAATTGCACACCTCCGAGAAGCTCTGAACATGTACACTGAAATTTTTGGACCTGATCACAAGGATACCGCGGCAATTGCGTCCTCTTTGAGGCAGTGGCTATCTGAAGATCACCAACAATGATGACATTCATCGACACGAAATAAGCAGTTTGTTTTATGACTCATATAGACACCACGCATTCCATAACAAATAGATGACTCGGAATGTTATTTGCACGGACAATAGTCTCTAGGTCTATATCGTAGTTTGATGATTCATTCATTCATTCGTATTCAATGAGCTGTAGAATGACACGATATCGGAGGGAGTCAGAATTCCATTGGTACTGAAAGCGATCTCTTCTAGTTTGCCCAAATCTTTGCTTCAGGGAAGGGTTGTCCACAGTGTAGAGTAGGACTTTTCGCGCATTTCCCAAAATGGCTGCCCAAAATACAAATGTGGACTGAAAGTTTCCAACCAATTCTTTTCTTGCTTTGGTCAAGAAGCAAAAATCTTGGATTCCACTCTGCCCTTCAATAACTCGCACATTGATCTCTCGTGCTCGCATGGCGCTGACATACAGCTGCAGCCGTTCGTTATTGAAACGACTAGTGATCGCGACTTTATCACCAGCTCCTAAATGGCCAAATAGCTCAAAGGCAGTTTGGTTTGGCGTCGCCTCCTGTAAAGTTCCTTTGTAGTTGGGCATTTCGGTTGCAAAGTTGCGAAAGTGAAAGACAGATTCATCCGGATAGGGTTCCTCGTCTCCACAGCATGACGACGACGACAAGTCTAGGGTAAAGAACGATCGAAGGTATTTCCAGTATCGGTCCACCAGAACAGTGTTGTCAATCGATTCCGAGAACAAAAATGGCAAAGAGATATCGGCGAAGGAAGGAATTGTTGGCTTCTTGTCTTGTTTCCTTAGAGCACCCATGAATGATTCCAAGCCTTTATGGATATCTTCTGTCGTTACTGGTTGATTATCATTGAAGACGAGTCCCTTCATTCGTCTACCATTGACAGAACTCATGAGCTTAAGCTCTAGAAAATCCAACCAATTTTCTTGTTGCATTTTTCTTGTGTTGAACTCTTCCCAACGACCGCCTTGAGAAAAATCCCAGTCGTCAAAGCTGAAACAGCGCTGGAGTGTCTGACTAGTAGGTATCCATTTGGGATTGCTTGTAATCCCGTCCGACATTACTTGATGTCTTAGTAGGAGCTTGGTTTCTAATCCAAAGAGTTCGAGAGCGTATAATTGAAGACCATAGCCATGAGCTATGGCACTCATATGATTGCCGAGCTCTCCTCGCAGTTGTACAACAATCGTTGGTAATGGTTGAGGTTGTGGTTGTGAAAGATTGAAGGAAGTCATTGTTGTATTCATCAAGATAGGATGATTGACGCTTGTCACAGAGTGCACGGTAGCTGGCGACCCGAAAGGAAGAATGCGTTCCACATCCACAGAGATGACGGACAAAGTGGAAAGTATGATGAGAAGGAAGAACACTAAACCGAGAGTGTATGCCCGTGATGACAGTACCGGTGGCTTTACTGGCCACCACCAAGGAATATTGAGTTTCCAATTGGATGTTTCCGAAAAATTGCGATTATAGTCAACTGGCAAGTCTGGTGATTCCTGTTTGTGCGTACACCGCCTCTTGTGCATGGTGGATGAAATGAGCTCTTTCTTATGTCATTTCTTCATGAAGCAACAAGGCAGAGTAGTGGGTGGATGCAGAGACAAAAACACAAAGCATCAAAATACAGTACGAGTATTGGAATGAATGGAAATGCTCTACTGATACTCTGGAGAGTTTATGCCTACGACTCGTTCGACTTGATCTACACATCCGTCCATCGTGCGTGCGTATTCAAATAAGTTAGGGTTGTAATCATACTGTTGAAGGGTTGAATAAAATCTGTGAAGAATTCTTTCATTACATTTATATTAAAATATCATTCAATATTATTACCACGTATACCAACGCCTTTTTGTTGATCTGCCCACTACAGGAGGACATACTACCACTAAGGATCTCATACGTTAGAAATCTCTACCGGTACAACAGCGAAGGACGAACAAAATGAAGAGTCGGTTGCATCGGGTATTTTTTTTGTTTCTTGTCGGCATTTCTTTGTCGCACTCGTTTCAACATTTACATACATCCCAAATAACGCCGTGTAAACAGTCGCTTCTAAAATCTAAAGTCGGCTCAATCTCGCAAATATGCTGCTCGATGTTAACCGAAAGACAAATGCAGTTCTGGGAAGACGTGGACGAGGGGCTTGATGGAATCGAAAGCTTCTACGCAAAGCAAGGCCAAGATATTGATCGCATTCGGACATTCAGTAAAAGAGCAAGGGGTGATTTGCCAAAACCCGAAGGCTGCGGTCCTGGCCACAAGCCTTCTGAAGAGCATATTGATGGCCTTACAGCAAAGCCCTTTTGGGACCTTAGCGAGAATCCTGAATTGTTTCCTTGGGCTGCTGAACTGGAAGCCAAGTCGGATATTATCCAAGGAGAGCTCGAGGATTATCTTTTGAACCCAGCACAGCTATTCAAGGCAGACAGCGCTGTTTCTGCGACGATGGGCGATGGATGGTCGGCGGTAAGGCTGCAAAGACTTGGAAAATACACAGAGAACGTGAAGATATTCCCTGGTACATACCAGATTATAAAAAAGCTTGGAATCCCGTTGGCGGTGCGAGGACTTTGTTTTGCCCGGCAAGCAGGAGGAAGTGGCGTTGCAGAGCACAGTAAGTACGAGTATTGTCGTGACAATGTCTTATGATATCCTATATTGAAGGCAGATTCAAATCAACTCGTCCTGTATAATTAGGTGACGGTAGGAACTTCATCCTTACGGCACACCTTGGCCTCAAGGTGCCTGAAGGCTGCTGGATAAAGGTTGGAGAAGAGAAAAGATCCTGGGAATTGGGCAAGCTCACAACCTTGGACACATCCTTCGTCCATTCAACTGGAAATTCTTCAAACGAAGATCGACACGTGTTGGTAAGCTACCGTCTGCACATTGGCAGAAGTTGAATTGAATCAATCGTCTTGTTTCAGTTGCTGACACCACATTTTTCAAAACTAGATAATAGACTTCTGGCACCCAGAGATCACGCCTGCGGAGCGTGCGGCCCTAGAGTTTGTGTATGACTTGCGAAACAAATATGAAAGTGGTGTGATTCCATTGCGGAAACCAAAAGCCTTGCAACGACAAGAACAAGAGGGCGGACTTGCATCTATCTTTAACGTTTTTACAAATGGAAATGGAAATAAATAGTATCTTAAGAGCTAAGCTAGTAATCGGAATATATAGGTCAGTCGTCTATTGTGTGGAACGATAAATGTTGCACTCGCATCAATGCCATATTTGAGCCGACCCTGTTGAACTAACACAACCGAAGCATTTTCGTAGATTAATGCTCTTAGAATGGGAAGAGTATCAAAGCCTTCCTTTCAATATACACCGCTATTTGGAAGAGTTCCATCTCCATTTTCCAATCGCCTTGCGCATTCAGCGCCAGTCCCTTTTCGTTCAGCGCTTTTGCCTTTTCCTGTGCTTTTAAAATGTGATGGTATGCATAAGCTCCTTTGTGCGGGGGTGACTATCGCCAACCATGTTTCGCTGAATCTCCAGAGCCTTATATTATAGAGAGCATTGATGGCAGTATATCTTGTTTCGAATATGCGATTCCAAGAAACTCATAGGCATCCGTGACCCTTTCGAAGCTTTCCCTCGGAGCGTGGATACCAATGCATTTATGTCGAAGTCTTCCATTCCTTGTAGCCAAGACCAAACTTTGACACGTTCATCAATCATCTGAAGAGCACCGTCCAACCTGTGTTGGTTTCACAACAGCCATGCAATGCTAGCGTATGACAATGCAACGTGAGATAGGTCTTGCCCGTGCTTTTCTAGTATTCGTGTCGCAAGCACGATTTTAAAAATAAAACTTGGTTGCTTCGGAAAACATGCCTTGTCATCTACCCACTATACTCTATAGCACTAAGCGTTCGATACAAAGGATAGAGAGGGTTATGACAAGAATGCTTGTTATTGCCATTTTGTTGCTGAAAAAAGGCTTTTTAGTTGCGTTGAAATATTAAAATTTTAGGCCCACTCGTAGATGCCTCGATAGCTCAGTTGGGAGAGCGTCAGACTGAAGATCTGAAGGCCCTGTGTTCGATTCACAGTCGAGGCATTACTTTTGGACGTTTCAAAACCAAAGTGTTTGTGTGCTATACATACTGAAGTGTTTCAGCAAGCCCCCAGCACTTACATTTTAAAAGATCGATTTTGTTATTTTGCCTATTAGCAGGCATCAAGAAACAAGGACATGATCGATGTTTTTAACATGATCGATTGAACATGTCCTTCCTTTCGTGCGATTCGCGCGAGCGTGCATCATCAATCCATCACACAAACATCATCGAAAGAAATCAAATCGTCACTCAATCTCCAACTGCTACCGAGTGTCATTACTATTCAAGCAAGCAAGCAAACATCATGCCTTCCACGACGAATGTAATAATTTTCGCGGTGGTCCCAATATTCTTGCTAACACCAGGTGTAAATGGATTTGGAGTACTAGGACTACAACAATCAAGGTCGCCTTCATTGAGATTCCAAATTTCTCCTTTTGCAAGAGTAGAAAGAACAACTACAACAACTTCAGCCTTGTATGCTGATGGCGAGAAGGATGATGAAAGTATAGGAAAGGGCATGGAAGATGCCTTCAAGCAATTGGATAATCTAAAGTCTCTTGATGATGATGTGTTTACAGTGCCTGACCGAAAAGTACAAGATGAAGCTTTCGCAAAGGCAATGGAAACACTCGATTTGAAGGGATTGGAAGATGTTGAACCTCCACCCCCTGAAGCCGAGGCCGCCCTGTACTCCGATATGGCATCGGAACTTGCTTCGGCTTCAGAGATCGACTTAATTGATGACGTAAAGTCCCAGCTCGGTGGTGTTAAAACGGAGATTCCAAAGTTTGATCCCGCGTCGAGAGATACCGAAAAGTTTTTGGAAAAGGCCCTTACTGAAGCTATTGAAGAGGCGAGTGCGATGGCTGATGTAGATAAAGAGTCACTATTAGACAACAAAGAAATCATGAAGGAAATTAAAGCAATCTTTGACAGGGCTAACGATGAACTACTGGATGGTTTGGAAGACATCCGAAAGGAACAGGTATGATGAATGCTGAATGATGGATGGTCAATGGAGACTGATGAATGGAGACTGATGAATGATGAATGATGTTTTCGGCAACTTTCTTCATACCAATATTATTTGCAATGATTCATTCAAACTCATACACTTTGATTCTTCACATATAGATGGCACTCGCTGAATCAAGTGCAGAACGCAATTCTCAAGCAACACAAGATAGGATCAGAGAAGATGAGGAGCGACTGGCAGCTGCTGATGCCAACATGAAGAAAATGTTGGCAAAGGTGAATGTCGAGGCAAAGAATGTGGAAGAAGCGATTAACGATCTAAGAGCAGCACAGCAGGAAATAGATGGCGGTATGGATAGCCAGCTTATTGATTTGAAAAAGGGCGGATTGTTGAAGCAATCAATTCTGGTTGGGGCATTGTTGTTTTCCTTGAGAGCAGTAAGCGATGGAATCGCCTTTGCTTCAGGAGACTCTACCCACCTACTCCCAGCCCTTATTCAAGGTGGGATCGCTCTCCTCTGCCTTGCCATCTTGATTTTTACGAAATAAGTAAAAAGGTTGGAGCATTCTAAGAAGCACCTGTATCCTGTATCACTAAAGAAGCATCAATTAGGCCGAGACAACCAAAATGAAGAAACGGAAATCGGACCTGATCAACCAACGAATGAGAATCCTAAGCTTGCACTGCATTCTATTGATGGAGACAAGTGGAGATGTTTTAAACTAAAGGAATAGGACTATTAGTACATCTTGCTCCTATTATGCCAATGATGTAAACCGTCTACTGCTTTCTAGACAACGCTCCCCAAAGACTCGGTCTATCCATTCCCTCCAATCGACCGACCAAAGTACTTTTTCGCTCTTGGGCTTGTTCCTTAGGAGGAACTCTAGCAGCCTGAACAATTGGCAGAACATTGTACTCTTTCATGTGTTTCAGTGCGGGGCGGTGCTCTGACAGTGCCAGCAGCAGGAAGCATGCTCGGTCTTGCACTCCAGCGTGACTCGGATGCTCTGACATACTTTCAAGAGCAACTTCGATTCCATGGTTACAAAAAATGTCTTCCATGGCAATAGTTGCCAAGCGCCCAAGAGCATCGCAACCATATGCTTGGATGGCGGGGTTCGCCTTGAAATGCGTCATGTTTGTCAGGGAAACTGTGATTGCGCCCTCCTTCTTCACAGCCTCTCGATTATCTTGATGCAGGCACAAGTTTCGCATACACGCAAAGGCTGGATCCTGAATATCTTCATTGTGTGCATGCTTTCTCATTGAAGTGACAATCACACTAATACCACCTTTTGCAGTTACAGCTCGCTGAAAGTCCAACGACAGTCGAGTAAAGTCTTTCAAGATTTGAATTCCATAAGTTGACACGTTAACGTTGTCTGGGAATGTAATCAAGGCTGCCAGCAAGACATCTAGGCCACCGGTGGAGAAAAGTAGTTCGTGGTTGTCCGCATTTTGCGTCACAAGTGCGAGCATGATCGCGAGGCCTTGCGATTGAATTTCCAGTGCGTGCGAATATCTTGTCATGGCATCGACAATAGTCACGACACCGTCCTCGTCGATCATGAGATCTCTATTGTCGGGAGCACTCTCCATCGTCCTGTACAAAGCTTTCATTCCTTCTTCTTGGATTGAAGCATCTTCGACATGGACTTTCATGATGGACAGGATAGTATGAAAGGTGTCAACGACAAGACCTTCTGCACTTCGATGCATCGGGTTCGCAACGTGTGTTGCTGAAGAAATATTCTGTAGCGTGCTCAATCCATACATTTGTACCTTGGTGTCTCTAGGATTTTCTCTCATTGAGGCAATTACAACGGAAATGATTGGAAGCATATCGGATCGGATATCTACACCGGCTGCAAACGACAAATTCGACATGGCGCGAAGAATAGTTGCTTGTAGTGGTCCAAGGTGCAAATGTTTTCTCATTGTGGTTTTGAGACTTTCCAGAGCACCACATTCAATAAAGAAGGCCTTACTAGGCGTATGCGATGCAAGGTTCTCCAAAATTTCGGCAGAACTACTCAACAAATCGACATTGTCTGGGTACCTCTCCATGCTATCGAGTATGACCGGGATGGATGGTGAGATTCGAGGAAGCGAATCGCGATTAGCTGCAACAACGTTTCGAATTGCAGCTAGACTAGCCTTTTGAATAGAGTCATTCCCTGGATGATCTTGAAGTGACTTGAACAACCTTGCAACTCCTTTCTTGAAATATGGATCAAAGATGCTGAGAAAGTAGAGGATGCAAGTGCATTCTTCCATAAGTTGTTCCTTCTTTGAATTCTGGCGAATGACTTCGACTATAGAAGGCCCAACGCTTACAGATAGTGCCGATACATCTCCACGGTCAAGTCGTTCTTGGAGCAAAGCTCGTAAATGACTGAGGAGTTCATATTGTCGATTGATGTCTCGAACACCAAGGACTTCAATGTTCTTTGCTTTTAGGTCTCGTTGTTCTTTCTCGAGTTTATTGACACAACTGGTGATTTGCTTATCCATTGTGTTGTCAGCTACTTGGCATCACGACGAGAAAGAGAAGTAAATGGGTGCAATCAATCAACGACGAAACACTTGGATTGGGATGACGACGACGAACAAATATCGCAATTTCGCAGGTCCACTTTTTTCTATTTTCGTCCAATTTTCACCGAAAAAATGAAGCACGTGGCCAAAAATCTCGATGGCGATTTAGAGCTACTAAAGTACCTTTAACGGAAGTTCTAAAATCAAAATCAAATGAAATGGCGAACAACAACAATAATCATCATTTTTCCACGATGAAGAAATCGATTGCGAAAACGAGGGTATCAACGCGGTTCAAGTCTGCTGTTGGTGGCAAGTCTCACAACAAAAGCGAGGATCTGAAGCAACTGACAGAGAAATATGATGCTTTCAATAAGTGCCTGAAGTCTTTTCTTGTTGTTTTGAAGCAACATTACGCTGCGATGGAAGCGCTGACAAAGTCGCGTATCGAGGCACGTGAAAAATGTACCGGTTTTTTGAAAAAAAGATTCCTTTTCTAATCTATTGTCTTGTTTCTGTTCACACACGCTCATCATCAAGGTCAGATGGCGCAACATATTGCTGTTTTATCGAGAGGATCTCCACTTTCTAATCACGTCGGTGCTATGCCAGCAGCTGGGGCTCCACCAGATTCAGTTTGTTCCTACCTATCAACACATCACTCTTTGGCAAACAAGAACAAACAGTACTCTCAACGTTTCGCCAAGTTTGTCATTGATTACTGTATCCAATGGCAACAAGTAGTTTTTACAAGGGTTGACAAAACACTGAAAGAGGCAGAAAAGTCTCGGGTCGAAGCAGATCACTATCAATCAAAGGTTGAAAGCTTGCGCCAGTCCGCCAACGAAAAGCTCGCAAAAGGAAAACAAGTGGATTCCAAGTCGGCCGAGAAACTTACTCGCAATGAAGAGAAACTCGTGAAAATAAAGGAGGAAAACAGGCAATGTGCGTCTGATGCTTGTTTGCTAGTGGAAGAACTGACTGATCGAGCGTGGAGGGATTTGCATCCTTTGTTGGTGAAAGTAATTCAATTCGACATGACTATTAGCACGGAAGAGGCAAAGGCCATGGGAAGCCTCAAAGCGGTGGTCACTGAATTGAAAAATATCGCGGCTACTCATGGAATCAGTGAAGATGCACGTTTGAAAGAGATCGAAACTCTAGCTCCTTCCGATCTATCGACAAAGGAAGGTGGCGATACTGTGCAGGTGGAATCAGATATGGGACGATTATCCTTTACTGGTAGCACAAATGGGGGTATGATGAATCAAGGGGGTAATACGCTCTTTCCATCAGGTACAACAGCCGCACAAGGGTCTGGAGGGTATCCTGTACCTGTCAAAAGCAATGATGGTTTGGGTGGAATGTCCACAGTGGACATGGTTGCAATTTCAGCTGCAGCTGCTCCACCACCGTCCATGGACCAGCTAGAAGCAGCCTTTGGTTCCTCCAATTCGTCAATGGGTTCAGAAATCAGCGCCCCGCCAGCTTCGGCACCCCCGTTACCTCCAGGCGATACAAATCCATTCGGTCCGGGACCAACACCTGCTGCAGCACCCAATCCGTTCGGTCCAGAACCAACACCCACTACTCCAAGTATGTATGGGGCACCACCAACCAATCCATTTGGTGGTCCAGCACCTTCACCTGCTGCTACCAATCCTTTCGCCGGACCACCCAATCCATCAGCTGCACCAACCAATCCATTTGCAGATCCAGCGCCAGCCTACCACCCCCCGCCGTCCCCATATGCAGCAACACAACCAATGGCCCCACCCGCTCAACAGTATGGTGGACAACAGCAGCTCGCAATGCATACCAGCAACAGATCCGGAACACCTTCCGCGAGCGGATACGGCCTTTCGCAGCCATATCAACAGCAGCAGGCATACGGCCAACCACCGCAGCAGCAACAACAACGTCGTACCAGCAGCAATCCTTTTGACTGAAACCAGTTTTTGTAGACTATTGTTCTAGCCTTAAAAACTAGCAAAGTCTTCTTTCATACATTGTTCTCTTGGGCTGATACATAACTGGCCTTGGAGAAAAGTAGTTCTTTTGCTGTCACAATCTCGCTTGTTCAAAATCGCAAGAGCATCCGCCCAGAGTCGTCTATCACAAAACCATTTTTCCCATTTCTATTGTTGAGGTTGCAAAACATGCATTCATTTGAAAGGAGAGACATCAAATCGAACCAGTCCAGTTTGCAAAAAATGAAGTGAACTCCGTCTCGCGAAAGTTGGTGGCACAGCAAGATCAATTATGCCCTATTGATTTAAGGGGCAGGTTCTTGGATGGAAAATACGCGTGATCTGTGAGTGACCAAGTCAATCACATATCCATCATGACAAGTGACAGGTAGGTGCCAAACACAAACACAAACACAAACACAAGCACAAGCACGAGCACAAATACAAAACAACGACAGAAAGATACAAGACATCATGGAGCACGAAAGCAAAAATGACAGACCGGATGTTAAACGTATTTCGTCACTGAATAGAACTGATCACACAGGTAATTCATCGTCATGCACTGCATACAACAATGTTATGGACTTAGTATTCAATGAAAAATGGGCTGCAATCCATCCCTCAAGACAAGCAGTGGAGGACGAAAATACCAGTTTATCCGCCCTACCAAAACCAGCTCCACAGGGTGAAACCAAGCCCTCAAAAGAATCCAAATTGTGTAGTCGGATAATCCCGGGAGCATTTCAAATTGACGGAATTGGAATCGAAGCTCCTAGAATATCTCTATCCTCTGAAAGCCATGACGAAAGTGAGAGTAGTTTTGAAGATAGCGGCATTTTTCTTATGCCGAAAGCAAACTTGATAGAACAGGGACTCAAAGATGTCGAAGCCCCGAGCGCTGGAGGAGCAAGTTCGATGACAAGTGTTCAAATGGATAATATTCCAGTTGCTATTGCACAGAAGAAAGACAGCCGATGTTTTCGATGTTGCGTGATTATTGGAATTTTATCTATTGCAGGTCTACTTATCGCTGCCATAAGTCTACTGGCGCAAGAAAAGGAGGGAGAAGCTGTGACCATGGAGCCGATTCCCGCTCCTACTTTGGATCCCAACTCAGCTGATCTGCAAAGCGGTCTATCTACGGTTAGTCCAACAGATGTGGCTATATTGAATGGCGACAGAGGTGATACTAGTGACAGCGACGGTGGGACAATCGTTACTTTATCTCCATCACCCCAAAAAGATCTCTCACACAAGCCGACGATAGCACCAAGCCACTGGCCAACTCTCAAACCTGTAATACCATCAACGCCTAGCCCTGATCCAGAGACGATACGAAGTCCAACACTACAACCTACGCCAAATTTAACTCCGGGGCCGACTAGCAATCCAACTCCAGATCCAACGCCAGGACCGACAAGAAATCCAACACCAAATCCAACACCAAATCCAACACCAGAACCGACGAGGAATCCAAGTCCGAATCCAATGCCGAATCTAATGCCGAGGCCGAGGCCGACTAGGAACCCAACAGCTAGGCCGACATCGGCTCCGACGAAAGCTCCACAACCAAGGCCGACGCGAAGACCTGGTGGGGACGGTGATGGAGGTGGAAATGGCGGACCGCCACCGCCTCCTCCTCCTCCGCGATGATAATTTCATGATGCTAAAGTGCTTCGCAGAACACACATGCGGCGGTCTAACTAGTATGCTCCTATCAACGGGATTTGGATCATCACAACGATCACACGATACTAGTCCTCTTCTTGTTGGCGGATCATGAATTGGAGAGGAATTGCTAGGACATGAGAGTTTTACGACTATTTACTAGTAGTTGCTACTAATAATGTGCTATGGTCTACGTTTTAGCAAACTCAGATGCCTGCACAGCGTGTTGAACTATGTATTTTTCAAACGAGCAGCCTGCTGTAAAAGTAGCAAGTTTCACTATGTCTCTTGGAATAGGGTACGGTATGTCATTCACAGTTGGTTTCTCTTTGTGGACGCGGAACGTTCGTTGACGTCTTGCTGGGATCATATTTCCATATGTATTTGGTGGCGTAAGATGGATGACAAGATTTCAAATTGCGATAAAATATTATTTGATGTCTGATGTTTCCAAAAAATCATCAACGAAAACTTCCAAACTTCTAAACAACCATGGGTGCTGCCGACAGCCAGGATGACGCCAGAAACGAAGAGTCCAAGAAAAGAGACGAGATCAACCTCAATCAAGAGATTAAAATGCCAAAAAATCTACTACAATCCGATAGTAACCAACCGACCAATGCCAAGCAACGAGAAGATGATTTGAGCTACAACTGTGTGAATGATCCCTTAGAAGCGATTCCCGGTCGAAACAGTGGATCCATCCACCCCTCGAGGCTGTCAATGATGCATGAAAATCTTGATCATGGTGTCCTACAAAAGGAAAATCCAGCACAGTATGTCAGCCATCCTTCACGATTGGCCGTGATGAATGAAAATCAAGACCACTCTGTCCTGCAAAAGGAGAGCCCCATGGTACAGGAAAAGGTGCATTCCGACATTGAAGCTTCTACTTGTATCGGTACAGGTTCAACCAGAATTTCGCATCCTGGTGCTTTCTATATGGGAGAAATGACGCAATTTGAATCGTTAAATGAAGCGGTGACGAATGGGTGTGGAATATCTGACATTAGTAGTGACAGCAGTAGCACTGAAAACGGCAGTAGCAATGAAAGCCAACTTATCATTGTACCTCGAGCCTCAGTCGTAGGAAAATCTGGGGACTATGAAGAAGCGACAAGCGATCGAATTTTTAACATCCCTGTAGTTTATGCTGTCAGGAACGGCCCACATACTACCCGAAGACGAACGTTTGGTTGTTGTGGAGTTCTCGGATGCCTGGCAATCGTTGCATTGCTTTGGACGGTTATTCACATGCTCTTGGAGGGGAACCAAGCGGTACTAAGTGTCCCAGTCTACATTACAAATGCACCTACCCCCGCGTTAGAACATAACGCAAGCAACGGAAATGACACGCCAGTTGGTTCACTGAGCACTGCAATCCCAACGAGCCCCAATAGCATTGACACCTTCATTGGAACACAAGCTCCATCCGAGGCAAAGGGCGACATTTTTGCATTTCCATCTCCGTCGCCAATGCACAATGATCAGCCCGTACCAAGCCCAAATAGGAGCCCGACTAGGAATCCAACGCCAGAACCAACTTCAAGCTCACTTCCTGAATGGACTCCGAATCCAACAGCAAGGCCAACGCGATTTCCGACTCCAGGACCAACTCCGGGGCCCACGCCTGAACCAACTCGAAGAGCAGTTTCTGCATCAACACCAACTAGAAATCCAACAAGAAGGCCTACCAGACAACCGACTCGAGCAACAACACCTAGACCTACACTGACTCCTACACGGCAGCTGACACCTAGACCCGCTCCGAGACCTTCACCTAATCCAACACGGCGACCGGCGCCCAACCCGGAACCCAGGCCACCACCACCAGATGGAGATCGCAACGGTGGTGGTGGTAGTGGGGAAGGTGGTGGCGATGGTGGCGGCGGTGGAGGAGGAGGAAATAGTGGTGGTGGTGGTGGTGGTGGTGGAGGACGAGGCGGTCGTTGAACAAGATTTCTCGCCATGCCGTGACAATATCGTCATGTACGGTCGCGACTTGTAGTCGAGAATGGTACAAACTCGATGGAACAAGCGATAAACTCTGGAAAAGAGATTGATTGACCCAATATCGGGGTCTGCAATTTCGGTCTAGCTCTTTAGACTTAGTATCTGGTTGAAATTCGTTTGGTCCTTCATGCAATTGAATATAGTGAAACCATGTGTCAGTGCACAAGGTATCTTCATCAATCAAACAATGACCTTCGGATATATCAGCTTTTGGATGAGTCTACAATCTGGTTCTAGCCCTCTTGACGCGTTGCTGCCCAGATACATTTGCTTTTGTAAGGAAGCGTTCGACATGGTCCAGGTTTAGTTGCACAACACCCCCATCTTCCGCACCATTCAAACTGTCCACCACAAACAAACTCGTGCGACTACCTTTGATCATGGCTGTCACACCATGCAAAACGTCTCGAGGATGCTCGACAATGGATCCTTTGGGTCGTTCCAACACATGAAGCTTGTCTTGAACAAAAAAGCACAGGCGGCCTCCTTCGTAATCGTTCGAATCGTTCAAGGCAATTTGTGTAGTATGGGTTGCATAGCCGCCATCGCAATGAAAGTTTATACAAGCTTTAGTGGGTCCAGTAGTCATGCGTAGGGCAACATGTGGCTCGGGGGCTTTGGATTGTGCTTTCACTTTCTCCAATAGAGAAATTCGGGAAGTTCTACTTTCATCCGGGTCTAGCGGAGCCATCAACTTGAGAAAGCACTCATCGGATACCCTAATTCGCAAATCGGAACGGCCAGTATCCTGCGTTTCGGTCCACATAAAATCAAGAAATCGATTCAACCAATCGATTTGCGCGGAGTCGACAATATCCGGTTCCATTTGAAAGCGAAAGGTGTCTGTCAAAGAAGCCATTGTTTTCATAGCTTTCTCACGCAAGGCTTGGATCGGAACTGTGGCTTGCGACCGCTCTTGGTCCGGCAAGAGGAGGTAATGAATCATTGGATCCATTGAATTGTTGGAGGCGAAAGTACTGATCATTCCACGAAGCCGAAGCACCAAATGCAAGGTGCTGCGGTCTTCAATCTTGAAGTCGGAAAGTGTTGTATGGTCTTCAAGCTGCTTTCCATCAAAGATGAGACGTTGCTGTGCGGGAGGCATTCCTTCTTTATCACATAATTTGACCTTCAAAGTTCTAATGGTGTCGGATGGATTGGCATAGATAGCAATGGTCTTACCAGTCAAAGTTTTGATGAAAATTTGCATTCTTCCAATTTGAACATTCACTAACTGAATCTCGGACCCTTCCACGACTTTGTTGCCCTGAAGCGTCTGATCATTGCAGAGTAAGTTTTGGTCAATCAGCAGGCGTTGTTGGTTCACCGGAATCTCCGTTTTGTCTTCGATTTGATGCTTGAAGTTTAGCACAGTATCTAATTCCTCGACTTGAAAACTGTGAATGCCTCCAAACTGTGTCTGGACTGAGACCTGCATCATCGTTGCCGGGAAGGAATACAGCACCGATCTATCCAAGATATGATATTGCGAGAATAAGCAATCGTCCTCCAATCGCATTCCCGCCCAAGACAAACGTTGTTGACTCACAGGAATGAAAGTTTTCCTTATAATCAGTTCTTTCAATTGTCGAATGGTATCCGATGGGTCGACGTTGAAGATGTCCCAGTCCCCAGCAGGCCATTGGAGAATCAATCGCATTGTTTTCTTTTCTTGGGACTGCGACTCTCTTGGATATCAGCTTTTTGTTTGGAATGTTTGGAATGAAATGTAATACCAGTCGCGTCAAAAAGTGATTTTAATCTCAGCAAAAGAAAATCTGCGACATAAGGGGCTAAGTTAGCCTTTGAAATGAAGGATACAATACTGTATTGAGTATATCCTCCTTTGAGCACTACCCGTTAAGTACCTGGTACCCTTTCAAGTATAGTTGCACTTGGTGACATTGTCTGGGCTACAGCACGATCGTAGTGAAAACGACCAGGGAAGAGCCATTAAGTTTAATCAATCTCTTTTCTAGCTTACATTCGTTCATGGAAACCTTTGGACCCCCATGGCTGCCCCGTATTCAAAATACTCCGATCGACTCATCCACAACTGCTGAAAACTCCCCAGACTGGTCAATATGGAAGCTCCAATCCAGGGTGCATACCTCCTTTCTACTGAATTCCTAGAAGCAACGACCTTGGGTTTGACAAAGCCTGGAAGCAATGCGGACAATTCCGCCGACAAGCGAGACTCCATGTTGGGAAAAACGGAACTCGCTCCCGACAAACAAATGCTTCCTACCAGGTCTTTCCGAGCATCCACATCACCCACTGCCAACAAAGATTCTCGAATCAAGTGGTGAAGAGGCGCATTGGACAGCGTTTGCAGTTCCGAAGATGATGATGACGACGATGATTGAGATGAAAAAGGCATCGTCTCCGAAAAGAGCAGTTCCGGTATTCTCGTCACGTCCTTTCCAAACGGGGTTGATAGGTCAATGGGTGTCCCATCGGGAAGCTCAAAAGTCGAAGGAGTTGCTTCTTCCCCCGATGCTGGGGATGTAGGAGCTTCCGCAGCGTCGTAGTTTGTAAATAGCGTGCGAGATGGCGCCTCGTCCATGGGCGCAACGCTGACATTAGGATCTGTTCTCAATTCGTACATCAAATCTTGAACTGCCCAATTGTGAAAACTAGGACTCTTTGCTATACACCCCTTTTGTCGAAGTTTATAGCGCGGAATCACAGGTAATTCCTGTTCCAACATTGCCTTCCATGCGACATGACCCATCCAGTCTCCTCCCCGTCCATTTCGTCTCTGTGAGTGTTGCAGGATATGACCGTCAATTACCGGTGTGACGCGGCAGCCCCCTGCACCGACATCCACCACCAATGCATTTTGTCGTCCCACGGAAAAGGCCGCCAACATTGGCGACGGAGCCAGAAACAGACTTGTTGCCTCCAGATGCTCCATAACGATTTCCATATACTTGGCGTACTGTTCTCGTTTCATAGACGCAGAATATTTCGGCCCATAACCTTCAAAATGTGTGAATCCCGGCATAATGGCCAATATCGGGTGTATGCATTTTCCTTCAATAGTTTTGTGCTTTTTCACAGTTGTCGAGTAGGGCGTTCCTCCCTTTGTATGTTTTTGCGTATCTTTGGCTCTCAAAGTATCCATACCTTCATTCCACGCCACTTGTAGATTGTCCCAATCTTGTACGGAATCTCCTTGTCGTAAGAAGGCATCCGGATCCAACAATGGCTCATTCCCTAACGACTCTGGCATGCGCAGAATCGATTCCAAGTCTTGTGAGGCCGCTCTTGCTGTGAGACAAGAAGACGCCATTCGTTTCTTGTCGGAGACGTAAGAAGGAGCCACATACTTTGGATTGTCTTCTCCTCCATAACCAAAGCGACAGGTGTGCGACCCTATTTCCCCAATGAAAGATCCAGTTTCATCTCCACAATACATTTATTTTATTCTGGATCCGTTCCCACCGAGAGAACAACGAGGTAAGGGAAGATACGATATCTTGTTTCCGTTGCAATGTACTGAAGGGCTGTTCTCAAAGACTGTTTAATCTATGAATGCCAATGCCAATAAGATACACGATGGGCTCATGGGTGGGGTTATTGCGTTGTTGGCAGCCTTTTTTTTGCGGACGAATGACGTACAACTTTTAATCTTGAAATCGCAATGGGCGTCATCAAGTTGCGGGGTGACAGAATGCAATGTTGAATATCCCCCATTCCCATGTTGTGTCGTACCAAATTAGAATATTAGAATAGAAACAACAGTACGTACCAAGTACTGTAGGCTTCCTGCCTGATACGCTGAAAGACCCATTCAATAGGAGGACGTCTCATCACTACTTTGATAACGAAGGAGAAAGTATTCCAGGAGACGTGGAAGAATTAGTTGTTCATCCTCGCGTTCCAGAGATTCATTCCGAATGAAGCTTCTTGTCACGTGTTCACACGGCTGACACGTAGTTCCGCATTTTGTCAATGTCCCAAGCTGCTGTCAGTGGAATTGGTGGAGATGGCCCTAGAACTGTGACAATGCATGACAATACCTTTACGGAATGCACATGTTTAGTAAGCATCTGTCTCTCCCCCTCCGCATCACCAACCAAGACAACGATTGCAGAAGCTATCAGCGACAGCTTTGTAGGCTGCACGCAGCACTTGAAATCGATATGGCAACACAGGCATCACGCTTTCATTGATGCGTCGGTTCGAAAACTTTCCGATACACAAGAAATGCCACCACGCCTCTGCTACAGCAACAGATGAACTCGCTCGGGAGATTGAGTCGTTAATGCAATCTGCACAAGTCATCGGTATGGCACCGTTCCACGTTCTACTATCGGGTGCAAACTGCAGACTTTATCTTTTGCAAGTCCTACTAGATTCATATCCACCGAATGTCCCTGGATGGAAAGACGTGAACGGAAGGACTGCCATTGAGTACTATTGTCAACAAAGTGATCAGCTGACTGACGGCTCTCGGCATATACTTGTTCTTGTAAGGCACTGTAGATGCAGCTTATTTCGGATCATTTCAGTTCTATCATTTACATTAGACTAATCTCATTAATTTCTTGTTCCCATTTTCGGTTGGTGATGGGAACTTGTATTTTTTTAAATATGTAGCAAATTGTATTCATCTATGTAATTTCCAAAACTTGCTCAAGCTAAGATCTTCGCATTGATCAGCGTTCCTCTAATCTGAAATGTCTCCAATCATCTCTATTTTTATCGATTTCTTTAGTTGTCTTCTGGTTTGAATGTGGAATCTCTTCCAAACGCAATCTCATCCAATCCTTGTCCTGATCTGGAATAAAAGCCTCCCTTGTCAATGTAATTGGGGCATGGTCGATACGCCTTTACTGGAAACCAATCAAAGACAGCACCCAACCCACCCGTAATACGGCCAGATCCGTCGCAAATATCACAATCGGGACACTTCACTGGTGGAGCTGCAGGAGTTTCATCATCTTTGACAGGCTCTGGAGTCTCTCCGGACAAGCGCAAAGTCACCGATCGGGCATTCATGGAGACAGGAGCAAAGGCGTCACAGGAGAAGACCAATAGTGATATCAGAGAAAGAACGCGCAGGGAATTCATCATTTTGAAGAAAAGTATGGCTTGTTTTCGATGTGTTGTTGTCGCATATTGTTGAAGTTTGATTTTGGAGATTTAGAATGGCCTGGCCGTATATCCGTTTCCATTCATTGTCAGAATAAATACGAAGCAAAGTTCAAAGTGCGTAGTGTACCGTGGTACCAGGCACCGGACAATTTATAGAAGTCAACTATAATGGAAGAATTAAATATATATTATACTGTATTTTATAATGAAGGATTAAGGTGACAAATTGGCATACTTTGCAAGCCTTGCAGCCCGAATTTCTCTGGTCCTCTGGGCCACACGACCCTCGTAGGATTGACGATCCGACCAGTTTTTCTGGGCCGCACGGCGCATTTTCACAAAGCCCACCATTCCTAGCAAGTTATTCCAGAATCCCATAATGAAGGATCTGATAGAGAAGAATGTGCCGGAACTGGCGCTCTTGGCGGAGATTGCCTTGAGTTGGATCTTGAATTCTTCGCCATCTGCCAATGCTGGGACAGTGGCAACACAGGGCCGAATCCATTTTCCATTGACCATGCACTCACAGGTACCGCATTCTCCTTTGCCACATTGATATTTGATGTATTGACCAGCTTGACTGGCGACATCTCGCAAGGGTTGACCGGCAAATGCAAGGCTTGTCTTAGTATTGTTGCCTTGTTCAAAGACGACTGGAATCCTTCCTGTGAGACCGACTTTCTCAAATCCAAGACCATCGGCGGAGCCTGCTTCTTCAGCTAAGGTCTTCTTCTTCTTCCACTTGGGTTCATATCCAGCTTTTTCAGTAGAAGAAAACAATCGACTCTTTGTGAAACGTTGCTGTGATGTTTGTGCAGGGAAGCTTGACGATGGACTGAGTGCTTGGACAGCATTTTGGTTGACGGTAGAGCACCACGCCAACAAGGCGATAACAATTGCAGAAGTGAGGGTGCTGTAATTCATGGCCATCTTGGATCCTTTTGCGAAGATGTTTGATCCGAACTCTTATTTTTTCGTATGATGGTTCAACTTCTCTGATGGCAACGAATCATCCTTCTCTGTTCCTCGTGGAAGATTGTACCAATGAAATTTGTGCTTTTGTCGCGCAGAAAACGCGCAAAAGATCGGCACGAGATCTTCAACCTGTTACAAAACCGAATCTTTCACGACAGTCATTGTTCACATCTTCAATCTATCATTGTATCACTTACCTTCCATCAAGATGTGTACGCAAGGAATGTGCGAATTGAAGAGAAAAGGATGTAGGAAATCATGACAAATGTTGTCGATGTACAAGAGCCGAAGATCTACTGAACACCAGCGCTGTGTGATGATCATGTGGAGGAAGAAGTATTGAAACGAGACGACAAGCTGACGACAGCCATATATAATCAAGTCCTTCGAACCACCAATGGTGGCTTGGAAGATGGACTTTTGATGCATGGACTTTGGCTCCTCACGAGTTTGTGCAACGGTTGTTGGATTCGTCGCTGGGAGATCGGGATTTGTCACTTTTGGCGCTTGATTTGCTTTCTCAAAAGCCTTTCGAGTTGAACTTTGAGGTCAACTGCTGCAACGAGATTGATTGGTGCTGTTTTTGGGTTATGGGTTTTTGGGCGATGTCATTGTAATACCGGCAACATCAAGTGTCGCGATTCGTCACCTCTTATCCAACGGTGTAGTAATTTGCAGCAAACATACCCGCCCGTTCTGGCTAAGCAGCCACCAGAGAGCCATGTCGCGTGAAGAGGGAGTCAGGGAATGTATTGGGAGGCTTCTCTAAATCAATTAGAGTGATGTCAGAAAAATCTGATGCCACGACCGATCAACTGCCGCCCAAAAAGTCAGTTTTACAACTTCAATGTTTGCATCAATTGGAAAACATGGGTAGCTGGCGTTGGAGGTGAAGTAGTGGATAATATAGAAGCCGCAACACCGAGACAGTGCTATGATTGGAACATTTAGATTGACTCCTATTTGGTGTATCATAAAGCGCAGTCACCCTGCTAATCCTCGTTTTCTTGGGTTCCAAGGAAGTCTTAGAAAAACTGTGGCCGATTTTAAGTTGGCATGGTACCAGGTACCAGTACCGGTACTGTACCATACAGTAGCTGCAACTTGAGCAGAAGTTTCTCCTCCGCAGAAACAGCCGTAGGCCCTCCGATCAGAGTAGACCTCCTCTTGTTTTTCCATTGGGCAAGCATTTGATCGGATAGTCCTCTACCGGTACCGTAGAAAAACGTGCAACCTTTCGGAAAGCTCCTTATTTTTACATTGTTTTTTCCTTATTTTTTATATGTAGAAATTTGTGGCAATAAATGAAACGCAACCAATATTGGACAAAACGACCCCTCAAAAAGGTAAAAATGTCAAAAAGTACGTGGGCACTCAAACGCATGTTCGAGGTCTTCAAAATATGCCCTGACATTTTTACCGGAATCTGATATGAAAGTTGTACCAAAACTATGGATGGCAGAGCGCACCACAAAATTAAAAGTGGGAAGCAATGATCAGAGAAGTGACCCATAAAGTTTCCTCTAGCTGCTTGAAGGAACGAGAGATTGATCTGAAGGAAATCATTAGCAATGTTGTCATAGATCGAATCTTGTTTGAATTGAAAGCGCCTATGGACAGTACAAGGTCCCTTCAAAAGGGGAGGATCCGCAAAAGGGAAGCAACGAGATACCTATCACCATCCAAACAGCAGCTGCCTGATAGGTCACAGTTTGTGCGCAAAAGCTACCCTCATCGCCAGTCAAGATCCAAATCAAAGACTCGTCTCAGGCGCGAATCAATCTATGTTGCACGTCACGTCAATCAATGCATTGGATCAAATTCCGCTCTTTCCAGTCAAATTATCGCAGCATGCCAGGAAGAGAATCAATCAGCTTCATGCCTTGCCTCGGGAAGCCTCAGCATCCGATCGCTACCCCGTGAAATCGAAATCCAAGAGACAGAAGAGACCAGGAATCATGCAGCACGGTCCATCCAAAATGAAACCACACGCTCCAAAAAGCCACCAACTCGAGATCTGAGTTCGCGTATTCCCTACTTTACGTCGGCCAACAAAAGCCTCTCGCTGGGAGCTGGAAGTAATCATACCGTATGAACTTTTAAGAAACAAGGCGGATGCTGGAGAAGTACATAGCTAGAACTTCTAGCGAAGTGTTAGAAACCATTATCATTCCCCCACTTGCATGCTTTTGAGCTCTTCTGGAGTCAAGAGATCGCCCAAAATTCTTCGTTCCATTTCTTCCAGCATTTGCAACGGAGTTTTTCCAGTTGCCAAGAGTTCTTTTGGAAATTCAAGAGGCATTCGTATCAGTGGTTCGGTCGCGTCACCGCTTGTATCGCTCCTTGCTGCATGACTGCTCTTGCGATTCATTTCCTCGTTTCGACTTGCAGCATCGCCACTTTCTGCCTCTTCTTGCTCCATCTGTCGCAACAAGGTTTCCCGCTCTCCTTGCTGTCGCAATCGACGTTCTTCCATGGTCTCATTCTCCCTCCCGGCAGTCCGTCGTCGCTTTTCTGCCTTTTTTTCGGCCTGTTCATCTTCCTTTTCCTTTTGCAACTCCAATTGCTCCTCGGTATCTTTCCGGGCGCCAACAAACTTGGCCCTCATTTCCTTGCTATTCTTGTAGAAATCGACACAAGGACGACAACTGCTGGCTTCCACAAAAGTCACCAAAGCTTGATTACCTTTGTTGCCCAAGAGTTCCACTGTTTCGACAGAACCAAAGCCACGTTCCTTTTCAAACAGTTGGGCAATGGATTCTTCCGATGGACTAGTTTTCATCTTTTTGCGATCCCATTTGAGACGGACTTGTCTGTTTTCCAACTGCTCTTTGGCGAGTCGTTTTTGTTTGCGATATTCTTGTTCCAGTTCTTCGTCGTCTTGTCTGTCGGCCTCTCGTTCGGCGTACTCTTTCCTCAACTTTGTTCCATCACGGCGCAATTGATCCACTACACTGTCACGTTCTCGTTTCTTGGCCGCGTTTTTTTTATTAGCAGCATGATTGAGACTCGCTTGTTTGGCTTGTTGTTCCTTGCGCAACAATTCGTCTCGCATTTGTTTGCGGTTTGCACTCATGGTTTTCTCTCGTTGGGCTTCCGCCTCCTTTCGCTTTTGTTCGGATGCCTTTTGCCTATCAAACTTTTGCCTTTCTTCTCTGTTTTCTAGCAAGAAGTTTCGCGCCTCTTTGATATTGTGAAACCTTTGTTCCGCGGCTTCCATTTCTGCTGGACTCAAATTTTTGTTGGCCTGTTTGTCTGGGTGCAATTTCAAGGCTAGTTTGCGGTAAGCCTTGGTAATTTCTGCATCAGTAGCTCCCGGCTGAAGGCCGAGGGTTTGATAGGGATCAATATCTATTTCGTTTTTGCTCGGCATGGTGAAAATATGGACTCTCTACTGACGACAACAACAACAGAAAGTGATACTTGGTTATTGTATTGTTGATGGTGTCGAAGCTATATAGACGACGATTTTCAATCGAACGGGTCCAATCGTACCGTACGTAGAAGTCGGTACTTCCTACAACTCCTCCAAAGTTTCGACTCGATTCAAACCAAAAAGGTTGACCATGGTTGATTTCTTCCATTGTTGAGCGTCATTTTCCATATTCCGTATCTATTATTTGTTATACAAGCCAAGAATCTACACCAACACTCACTGTGAAACAACAATCTCAACTCGATCACCGTCCCTACGCCCATTAAACTTCCAAAATGTCAATTGAATCCTCCTGGGAATTGCGTTGTCAATCCCGGCCAAGATCGCTTTGTGTTTACAATGCGGCTGCCACTTCGGAAGATACGAATCCCTTTGAAGTAGCCGCAGGAGCCGACACACCAACTGCTCAAGCCGTCGTCTTTGGCAGTGAGAAGGGTTCCTTGCATTATCGAACCTATTCTTCCGCGCAAAGTGGATCCACCAAGACTCCTCTGGGCAGCGGTCGAGGGAGCAGCAACAATAGCAATTTGCCCCGGGCGTATCTTCCCGTGGATCTACCAGAAGGATCTCTACCAGGAGCTGTTGTTGCCGTCGTTCCAGCCATGGACGCTCCCTCACATAGGCCCGTTTTCCTTATTCTAATTGATGACAACAAGGGCAATGCGTCCAGTGCGGCACAACCGGGCATGTACGCGGCTACATTGGTGACGTTGCAACACGGCAGTTTTTCCAAGTTGTCGACGCCGACACCACTGCCGCGGATTAGTAGTGCCACGTATCATACTAGCTGTGGCTTTGTGGTGTGTACGGGTCGAAGAATACAATGCATTCGGCAAGAAGTCTTTTTGGATTTGCCCAAATCGTCGCGTCGCAAAACAACAAATCACAAGGTGGATTTTTCCAAAGTGGCGCTTCCACCACCAGGATCACGGGGAGGACAGGATGCATTGACTGTAATTCACAAGGGACGAGTCGCGGTCATTGCAGTGGGCAATGCGGTATTGGCCATTCCCGATGGAGCCACTTCTGTATCTTCGGATATCATCAAAATTGCTTCCTTTTCACAATCATCTCAAGTGCACCCAGTCCTATGTTTGGACATTCAAGACAAATCTATGGATCCAGATTGGGCTAGTTTGTTTCTGGCCAATGGACGAGAAGCCTGCGTGGTGGATGTCCAATTGGATTCTTCCAATTCCAGCATTAGTTGTTCTCCACCCAGGAATGGAATGATTTCATTGGCATCCCCTATTTTGGCTGCTGCTACCTCGTGGCCCTGGTTGACAGTCTTGACCAGCGATGGATTGGTCAGTGTTCGATCTCCCTCTTGTTTGGCCATTCCATTGAAAACGGTCGAAGTGGGAACACGGCCCAATGATTTCTTTGTCATGCGCACCTATCGAGAAGAAATGCACAAGATTCCTACCATTCTCTCCATGTCCTATTCCGGTGAAGCCAAGACGCTGCAATGCCAACCGGATACGAAACAAGATTTGGCGGACCGATTAATGAAGCGTTCCATTGATGCCTTTGGGAATGATGGATTTCCGCGACAACAGTTGGCTGAGGCAATTCATGCTTCCTTTACTGCCACTTCCTACATTGGACCAGAACCTACAGCACATGCTCGAAAATTACTTCGGCAGTATTTGGAAGCTATTTTGGGATTGACCGACTTTGAGGGAGGTGCCAAACCTGGTTGGCCAACCGAGTGGTCCATCAACAAGCCTTCGACCAACAACACGCCGAAAACATCCGCTTTCCTTACCAGCGCCTTTGAAGAAGCCTCCACTACGGCCACTCAAAGCCATGCCGCTCCCTTGGCCGAGTCGCCGCCAGTTGTGACGGCCGAAACACCCGAGGCACTCTTGTGTGGGACGTCTTTGCTCTGTTTGGTTGCCACTCTCTTGGGTCCCCAACCAAAGGCAGCCATGGCCAATCGTGCTGCCAAAAAGTGTGCGGCACAAATGGGAGTGGTGGTCAATATTGATCTCAAAAGTGCGGCCAGGGTTAATGAATTGGTGGCCGGGCACCTCTTGAAGCAATTTACCCAAAAGCCCAATATGAACTTGACAGGATCTAGTTCGCAAAACAAAATGTCCTCCAATACACACATGGAATTTGTGGAAGCCGCCACGTGGTTGTTGAGAAGCTGTGGTATGCACGAGCGGGCTATTGGTACTCTCTTTCAGCATATGCAACGGCAACAATCGCCGGATCGGGCCTATCCAGAAGGTGGATTCTGGCCTCAAATCAAGTATGAGTCGTACACCGCCACGCATTTGGGAGAATTGTGGGGAACTTCGGATGATGTTGCCTGTCAGTTGGTCTTGGAATCTCCTGCTACCAAACGATTGTTGGAAAAGAATCCAGTCTTGGGATTGAACGTCTTTACAGTTTTGCATCCACAAAATTCCAACCAATGGAAACAACTCAATGCTGCTGACGATCCCCTAGCCAATTCAAAGAATCCAGCCAAGGTGATTCAATTGTTGAAATCGATTAACCCTACCACTTTGAACGATCAACAATACCAAGATGACGATGATTCCTTGCCAATGAACTCGGGTCGAGCACTAGCTATTGCCTTTTTGGAATCAGCGATTGGAATCAATACGGGAAGACCAACTGAGGAGGATGAATTCCATTCACTGGCACCCGATCAGTCAGCGGAAGCTAGAATTGCCGACTTTCACGATGAATTGTGCTACTTGCTCTTGGAGGGAGTCTTGTCGGAGCGAGGTGACGATTATCCACCTAAGAATGAAGATTCGACACCACTGGGACGGATTTATCGACAACGGCTACGGCGTCTGCTCCAATGGCCACTGGCCAAGGTGAGCTCGGAGCGACTAATGAGCAACTTGCCCAAAACTTTCTTGCAAGAACATGCCTTGGTATTGGGACGAATTGGCCGACACGAGGATGCGTTAAGGATTCTCTATGTAGAGTGTAAGAGTATGGACTTGGCTTTGGAATATTGTGATTTGCGATATGAACAACAAGTTGCTCGGAGAGAAGCTGAGCGAGCACGATTGGCCGCTCGAGGAATATTGGACGATCAGCGAGACGACAATGCTAGCAAACGAGATGATTGTGTTTATCTTCCTTTGGTGCGAGTCGCGTTGGAGTCTGACCCAGATAAGAAACGCGGTGTAACGGCTGCCATCCAAGTTTTGGCACTGCGTCGAGGTGCCATTGATCGTGCAGCGGCCTTGAGGTTGCTACCCAAGAACGTTCCCGTCTCGGCAGTGGCCAGACCATTCCTAATCCCAGCGTTGGTAGAAAGCGAATCACAAGCTCGTCGTTTACGAGTTGTTTCATCCTTGCTGCGTGCTCGACACATTGCCTTGAAGCAGCAACTAACGGATGCCCAGCTAAAGGCTCAGGCTCATTTGCACGTGGTTCCTCAACTCAAGTCAATGAACTTTGGCGATCCATTGCACTCGACCAAACCACTCAAGATCAAGCCATCAATATCCGCATCGGCAACGTTTCCAGAAGTCGTTGTTATTCAATATTTCTTTCCACGACATGTGGTCATCCAGGCCAAGATTACCAACTCGTCTGGTGTCATTGATGGAAGAGCGCTTGGCAATGTGGCCTTTGTAGTTGCCGAATCGTCGGAAGAAGGGGTCCAGCCCATGCAGCAAATTTCCATCAAAGTACTACCATTTGGAGCTACTGGATCCTGCTGGTTTGTTTTGGCGGCTTCTCCTAGTCGCATGGACGGCAGTGCCATGCTAACATGCGAGTTGCGCTATACCGTCTTGGGTGTCGATGCAACAACAGGAGCCCCATTGAGTTTTGGACATGGCAGTAGTGGCAGAACTTTTGTTGAGGAGCTACAAGACTTGGAAATATTGCCATCTTATTTTTCATAGACTGATTGATTAACTGTAAGATGCAGCGACTTGTACCCCTCACTTTGAACTCCAATCATCTTTGCAACGCGCACAACTGGTTCCTGTAACCCATCCGCCTTTTCGACTTGAATGCGAGGGCATTTCGTCTCCAGTAAATAACTCAACTTGCGACAACCAAACTCTCTTGGTTTCGGTATCGGAACATGCCAATTCTTTTCGTATTCCTTGGGAAGCTGGGAAAGTGACAGTCCAGACTTTAGAAAGGATTGACTGGAAAGCAGACGGACCAGCTTTGCTTCAAACTTCTTCAAGATTTCCTCTTTGTCACTCGGGTTCTCTGATGGATTGTTGTTGTTATGACTGCTGTTCAGACGCTCTTCTTGTCGCTTTTGTTCTTTGTGCCAGCTTGGAATCCAACAAAGCTTTTCGTACTCCAAAAGCTTGGCATTTCGACAGGCCATCCGAATGTGCAGGTCAAAGACGTCAGGAGGATCTTGCCACCAGCTTGCCAAGAGACGAAACGACTGTTGTATTTCATTCCATCTTGCAATTGCACTTTCATTGTGGCTGCCGTCACATGACGACGAAACCTTGTCAGGATGATGCTTCTTGGCGAGGTCCAGGTAGGATCTTCGAATTTCCCATATACTAGGCCTTTCTCCGGCCGCAAAACCCAGACACGCAATGGCATTGTGAAACGGCGGAGAGGCGAACCGCCGTAGCCAACAAGCCACCTCGTGTTGTTGACTTCGTTCGGCACAGTCAGCTGCCGAATTCCCATTGAAATCCCGCACCGAGTCGACTATGCCGTAAGTCTCCACGAGATACTGTGCGACAATTAGGTTACCTGCGTAGGCAGCCTTGTGCAAAGGACACTGTCCATAATTATTGGGAAGATTATATTCTACTCCGCAATGTCCAAACAACCAGTCACAAGCTTCCCGCAGTTGGATCTTGGAACCTTGAGAACCATCATAAATCGGTGACTTTCCCAACCAATGGCCAATTCCACATCCCCAGGAGTTGGGAAAATGAGGATTGGCACCCAATTTTTCCACCAAACACTTGGCGGTAGATAGATGGCATTGCCAAATGGCCAGCTGCAATGGTGTCACTTGACCTCTGGCCAAGGAATCCACCCTTGCTCCAAATTCATCTACTAGAGTCTGGCAGATAGAAGCGTGACCATTCCGAGCAGCCCAATGTAGAGCAGCCCTTCCAGTCTTTTGACTTGACTCTTCTACTTTAAATTCGCATTCTTGTAGGAGATACTTGCATATCTCCAGGTTCCCATTTCCGGCAGCATAATGCAACAAGGTGGAACCATTTTTGTCAGTGCACTTCTTCAACTCGGACGGTGAACATTTTGCAATGGATTCCAAATCGCCCTTTATAACAAACTGAAATATTGCCTCCGTGTCTGGCTCCACGATTTCAATGAGACTCTCCATACTTCATCACATGATACTACTCTAGCTATCCTATCCTGACTCTCTTTGTGACTGTTGCTTGAATTCAAAAGGTCAACAGGTTTTGAGCTCATTTTGAGTCACACCAGTCAATCCGTCTGTCCAAAAAATTGATGGGTCGGATGATGGGCTGCCATCATCATCACCTCTGTTTCCGTTTGCATCAAGTCAACTATTGCTGCACTGTCATCTCTGTTACATCTTTTGATAGATTCCGATCGCTGGATACGCTACATAAAACTTGACATTTCAAGTTAAAAATGCATTCACCAATGAGTAGTCGAATAATCGTTGTGGGAGCCTACCTTTTATGTATGGTGATTCCGGCATGGTCCTTTGTCAACCAATTTGGCGTCACTCGTCGAGCCCACAACGGGGTCTGCTTTGTGCCACAGCCAGGTCAATACAAACAGCGCGCTTTCCCACCCTTGTTTGCTGGGCCTGGACGACCCAGGAAAAATCCCGTTCAAGACGATGATGATTTTGAGCCAGATCCAGCAGAATTGGAAGGTCTTGGAATAGAAGCTGAGATGGACGTACCTGATGCAGTTGTTTCGACTCCTGATGACGATGAGGATGAAGATGACACTGTTGTAGCTGTTAACGACGATGATGATGACGATGACGACGAAGATGACATTGATGAAGATATTGATATTTGGGAAGAAGATGATGATGACGATGATGTCATCGTAGCAGAAGGCGATATTGAGCTCGAAGAAGAATGGGAAGAAGATGGCACTGCCTCCTCATACCTTAAGTCGGAAGGCGGTTCCGATGAAGAAGAATGGGAAGAGGAAGAAGAGATTCCATTGAAGGATGATCCTGATGATCCGAACTACACGGCACAGAAGAAGATTTTGGAAGAGACATTGGAGCGAAGAACAGAAGCAGAAGAGCTTGCAAATTTTGACGAAGTTGACTTCATCATGAACAAGATGCCACCAGAGATGGCGGAGGCCATGGAAGAGACAGATATTCAAAAGCAGACCAACGCCAAGGTTGCCGAACTGATGAGTGAGATTGACGAGAGCGAGATCGAAAAGATGGACTATGATGAAGTTATGGCCAACACTACTAGCTACTTGGACGAGCCTTATGAAAACGAGGGTGAAGAGAACATTATGGGCACTGGGCTCAGCGATGATCTCTTGGAAAAGTATGACGCCGCTCTGAAGGAAGCTCGGGCAACGATTGCAAAAGAGCCTTGGGACAAGGTCAATGACAAGGCACAAAAGCAGGACTGGGCCCAATTGTCTAATCAAACAATAGAAGAAATGGATGCTTGTTTGGACGAGATTGGTGGATCCTCGTACAACTGTACAAACTGGCTGCTTTACGACTTGGACTTTAATGTTTCCAACCTTATCTTGGCGGCTGTCAAGCACAACCGCGAGGCTCCAATTCTTTTCCAACACTGGTATCCACAGCTTATGACCTATGAACGTTACCAACACGCTCGAGATCGCGAGTTTGACTTCAATTGGGATGATGTCGAAAATGCCGACATGGAAGAATTGGAGCGATATTACATGGGTTTTGGGTACAGCGAAATTCCCGACAAGGCTCCTGCTGAAACTGGTATCATCAGTCTAGACGAGATGGACGAAGAAGAAATGAAAATGGCGGCCTTCGAGAATTGGGTGAAGGAAGTATACAATCCAGAGTGGGATAAGAAAGACTTTGACGACGATAGCTTTCAAGACGAAGACAACGTCTTTTCCCACTTTTACGAAGCTCCGCAGCATCCCGATTTGCCAGCGTTTGACGATGCCTTGGAAGATATTGCCCAATGGGAAGCAGAAACGGATGACGATGAAAACACCCCCGAAGAGTACGCCCGCATGATGGGACATTCCACCAAGTACAAGCATATTGACGACAAGGAGTTTGAACGCGAATTCCGTGGCCACTTGGTCGTTGCCTGCGCCCCAGAGGACGAGGACTTGGAGATTGCTGAAAAGATTACCAAGCGCATGGACGAGGAGCATGGAAAGAAGGTCCACGTGGAAACACGCGTGCTGGCTCATGCCAGGGAAGAGGACTGTGTCTTTGAGGTCTGGTTAGAGAGTTATGAAATTGATCTCTTGCACTCGAAGAAGCGTGCAACCGGCAATGACGAAGACTGGGAAGGACCAGCTGTTTGTGATGATGCGCAAATCGAATATCTCGTAAAGGAAGTTGGCTTCTTGATAAGCGATCAAGCGAGATACAGCTATAGGTATGAAACCACAGACCGAGATAGCGGTTAGAGTTAATTTTAAAGATGGCTATAATAACACAACAAGTTATCATTACAAAAAAGATGGTCATAGTACCTGGTACTGCTATTTATTATGGTTCGGGTTCAGGTTCATGGTTAAAAGGTTGCTGGGTGCAAGTTGTGGTACACCCAAAACAATTCATAGTACCGTCTGCCCAACACCCGATCCACCGTCACCGTTGGTAGGAATTTTACACATCCCGTCATCACCACCACCGAAAGATTCGGAAATCCGATTGGTTTGAAGCCGACCACATCAATAATAGGTAACCCTCGTACCGTTATTGTAATCTATTACCAAGGATCATCCATATTCATCACCATGGGAGGCTCCGAACGCAAGAAGAGAAAACAGGATGACGGAAGTGCCGCTGCAGTCGATGACACCCAAATGATTAAACCTTCCTCTTCCACCCCCAAGTTGGACACTTCCAACTGGCCTCTCCTCCTTAAAAATTACCATAAACTTCATGTGCGCACATCACATTACACACCACTTCCTTGTGGTTCGAGTCCATTGGCCCGTCCTCTTGAACAGCACATGGCCTACGGAGTCATTAACTTGGACAAGCCTGCAAATCCTTCCTCTCACGAAGTTGTCAGTTGGATTAAGAGAATCTTGCGAGTAGAGAAAACGGGTCACTCAGGTACCTTGGATCCCAAGGTCACTGGTTGTTTGATTGTTTGTATTGATCGTGCCACACGCTTGGTAAAGTCCCAACAGTCGGCAGGTAAAGAATATGTGGCTGTGGCTCGATTGCATTCCACTTGTGAAACCTCCAAGGTCCAACGATGTGTGGAAACCTTGACGGGTGCCCTCTTTCAACGACCTCCTTTGATCAGTGCAGTCAAACGTCAATTGCGAATTCGTAGTATTTACGAATCGAAGCTGATTGAATTCGATAAAGAGCGAAACTTGGGTGTGATTTGGGTATCCTGTGAGGCAGGAACGTACATTCGAACCCTCTGTGTGCACTTGGGGCTCTTGACTGGTGTGGGTGGACACATGCAAGAATTGCGCCGGGTTCGATCCGGTGCATTGGGAGAATCTGACAACTTGGTGACTATGCACGATGTTTTGGACGCTCAACATGTCTATGACACAACCAAGGATGAAGCATATCTGAGACGAGTCATTATGCCATTGGAAGTACTCCTCACCAAATACAAGCGCATTGTGGTGAAGGATTCTGCTGTGAACGCCATTTGCTACGGTGCCAAGTTCATGATCCCAGGTCTATTGCGATTTGCAGACGGTATTGAATTGAACGATGAGGTTGTCTTGATGACCACCAAGGGAGAAGCAGTTGCAGTCGCCATTGCTCAAATGACAACTGCTGTCATGGCAACCGTGGACCATGGCGTTGTTGCAAAGATCAAGCGTGTGATTATGGAGCGGGATGTCTACCCAAGAAGATGGGGACTTGGACCCATGGCACAACGTAAGAAGTCTCTCATCAAGGACGGCAAACTGGACAAGCACGGCAAGCCCAACGAGAAGACGCCCAAAGACTTTTTGGAATCTTACAAGGACTTCAGCAAGTCCAAGCCACCAAAACTGGGCGGTGGTGATGCAACTCCATCCAGTCCTGCTCCGGAAACTCCTAAGAAGTCATCCGACGACATGTCGGTTGAGGAAGCCGAATCAAGCAAGAAGCGAGCCAAGGAAGATAGCAGCGGGGATGAAGCACCAAAGAAAAAGAAAGAAAAGAAGGACAAGAGTGCTAAGAAGGCAAAGAAGGAAAAGAAAGACAAGAAGAAGAAAAAGAGCTTGTAGACATAAACGCTTGCAATCAGTTGTACGAAAATTGGTGAAGATTTTCAAAATTAAAAATTCATTCATGCTTGTTTCAAATCTAGCGATCGAGTACGCTAGAATTCTAGCGTACTCGTACTCTAATGTTGTCTTGTCGTATTTTATATACTAAGTTTGGCTTATTCAACAAATCACGTTGGGACACTTGAAATTTTCTGACAGTGCACGGATAGTAATCGCCCCCAAATTTATCATACATCACCGAATGATTGGTTACTGCTTGATGTACTGCCATCAAGTTGACAATCACTGCTGGGTGATCGACTACAGATAAATTTTATAAAATGAAATCACATTTGGAATGGCAACTGAAGCACCACTTCGAATACGGTATATTTGTCGGTCATCCTTGTCAATTGTCGTTCTTACTGCATTCTCCGCTGATGCATGATTTGACAACTTCATCTCCATGTCCCACAAAGACAACTCTAAAAATGCTGTAGCTACCATCTACTCGTATCGCGACAGAGCCATTGATGCTTCTTGGAGAAAGGATTGTCTCTGTTTCACTTCATTTTCAACAACAATCCCATTCACCCTACTGGATATATCCGATGCCCATACTTCCAACTCTTTCCAGCTCGATATAGAGCCCACCAACCATCCTTGAAGGGCTGCTTGTACAGTAGTATATGCCGAGCGTCGTCAGTCAGCTGATCACTTTGTTGACAATAGTAATCAATGGCAGTCCTTCCGTTCACGTCTTTCCACCCAAGGACATTCGGAGAATATGCATCTAGTAGCACTTGCAAAAGATCAAGTCTGCATTTTGCACCTGATAGTAGAACGTGTCACGGTGTCATACCGAAAGGGTCTACCAAAAGATTGTGGGTATTGACTTGTGTATATTGCATTGACGACTTAATCTCCCGAGCGAGTTCATCTGTTGCTGTAGCAGAGGCGCGGTAGCATTTCTTGTGTTTCGGAAAATTGTCGAACCGACGCATCTGTGTTGCCATATTGATTTTCAAGCGCTGCGTGCTGCAGCCTTCAAAGCTGTCGATGCCTACACGACCGGTGGAATACGCACCGCCCGAACCCGACATGATTGGACGTAGAACGGAGGGAAGGCAAATGTTGACGAAAGGCTCGCATCCAATAAAGGCGCCTTGATGTGTCGTCACAGTTCTAGGGCCATACACCAATTCCACTGACACCAGCTTGGGACATTGACAAAAAGCGAAAGTGCCAATCAATTCTACCGATTTCGGTATGATAGTGCAACTGATTGCAGATTCTTGCACGAGTAAAAGGCTTGCTCTTCCACATATTTGAGACCATTCTGAAACTGTACAGGCAGGAAGTCTATCTATGCTAATATGGTGCGATACGATACTGTACCGATACGATACAATGCTGGGGGATTTCGTATTCTTTGACCCCCTAATATTAATAATTTGCATCACACCCCCATTCTGCTCCGAACTCCATCTTATTAACGTCTTTCACCCACAGAAACGAGTTTCCATTGCGGTCATTTTCCAGGTTTTCTCACGACAAAACGGAAAAAATAATCACTGGAACTGAAGCGAAGTTAGAGCGAGGAATATATTATAATACTTCAGGGGGAAAATAGGACGCACAAAAGAGAAAGTAACAATGCCTTCATCCCGAAGTAGGCTTTCCGCCGGTGGACTTTTGCTATGGACGGCTTTTTGCCTGATTCATTTCCCATGCACGTCATTGGCAAAACAACAACAAAGCAAATCCATTGTGTCGTATCCCCTCGTTCCACACCATCAGGAACGAGCTCGACGCAGTCTTCAAGGCAGACCCATGCCACGTCGCGCTTTAAAAAAGGAGAAACAGCTTCGACGCCGAACGGTTGAACAACAAGTTGGAGCCTTATATCTAGGATATGGAACGCACTATGTCGACTTGTGGGTCGGTAGTCCTCCTCAACGTCAAACTGTCATTGTGGATACGGGAAGTGGAACTACCGCTTTTGCTTGTAGTGAATGCAAAGAGTGTGGTGCCGGAGACTATCACATTGATCAAGTCTTTGATGAGAGTTTGTCAACCACCTATACCAGTACCACTTGTACCAAGAATAAGGAATGCGTCAGCCATCATTCGAGTTGCAAAAGCGGAAGCTGCCGCATCACTCAAGCTTATTCAGAGGGTTGTCGGTGGGATGCTAACGAGGCGATTGATTCCTGTTACCTTGGTGGGCCACACGAACAACCATTGATCAAGGATCGTGGTGCCGATCCATTGAATCCAAAGCATGCCAGTCACTTTGCGTTCAATTTGACCTTTGGTTGCCAATTCGAAGTGACGGGACTATTTAAAACACAGCTGGCTGACGGCATTCTGGGCATGAATAATGGTAAGATGCCATACTGGAAGCAAATGACTGGTGCTGGAAAACTAGGAGAAGAAATGTTTTCTCTGTGTTTCTCCCGTCAACCCACTTCCGAGCGAGAGGGTACTGAGGCAGGAGCTTTGACATTCGGTGGCTATGACACCAAGCTTCACGATACAGACATGGTGTTTTCCAGTGGTGCCACTGATGGGAGGGAACGACAGTGGTCCACGACTATTCGAAAAATTTACTTGCGAGATGGAAGTGCTGGAGAGAGTGTCAAGCCAACCAACAAGAAGGCCAAAACAGTTGAAGTCAAGTTTGATAATCAACTGCAAGGAATTGTTGATTCTGGAACAACTGATTCATATCTACCTTCTATCATTGCGGAAGCTTTCAAAGGCGCTTACGAACAGCTGACTGGAAAAGAATATGGAGGGGACAAACCCGAGGTTCTGAGCGCGGCAGATTTGGAGAAAATGCCCACTGTCATTCTACAGTTGGTCGCTTCTTCTGATGAAAATGGTGACAAAGACTACAAGACACCAGGATTGGCCGGGGCCATGGACGATAGTAATCCATACGATGTTCTGCTAGCAATTCCACCTTCCCACTACATGGAGTACGATGATGAAGATGAGACTTATACGCCGCGGATATTCCTGGACAAGTCGGGTGAAACCTTTACACTTGGTGCCAACGCCATGATGGGACACGATGTTTTATTTGATGCAGAAAATGACCGCATTGGATGGGCAGAAAGTTCGTGCAACTACACCGGACTCGTTGTAGAGAGTGGGTTCAAATTCAATATCACTGGCGAAATGAAAGAACCAGCCGGTGAAGACGAAGATGAAGACGAGGACGCTGATGCTGATGCTGATGCTGATTTGGACATTACTGTCAATGCCACGAATGTCGACGCAGATTCTGATGCCGATGAAGATGCTGACGATGCAGAGTCCGACTCTGATGTGGATCTGAATGCTGATGCAGATGCAGATGGAAATGATGATGCAGATGCAGATGCAGACGCAGACGCAGATGGTCATTACGATTCAGATGTTGGTGGAAATGATGATGCAGATGAAGATGCCGATGTTGATGCTGACATAGATGCGAACGAAGATGCAGATGTTGACGTTGATGTGGATTCTAACTCCAATACAACAAGTGGTGTAGATTCGAATAGCGGTAATGCCACCGACGTTGATATCGATGTCAATAGTACAGAAGTGGACGTGGGTGGCACCAATGCTACCGATGGTGGCATCGATGTCAATGCTACAGAGATTGACGTTGATCTTAATGCTACTGATGCAGGGGACGTGGACCACACCAATGTCACTGAAATTGGGATGGATGTCAATGGCACTGATGCTGATTCAGACGGCGCAAATTCAACTTCGGTTGATGTTGGTGACACCAATTCTACTGAAATTGACTTGGATGGCAGCAACGCGACTGAGGTTCATAATGTTGGAGACAATACTACACATAGCGGTGGAGATAATGCGACAACGGTGGATGAAGGCGGCAATGTCACTGATGCTGATGAGGATGCCGATGGTGCCGAAGATGATGGTCAAGATGACGAGCATGGAGATGGCTCAAACTCAAACACCACAAACCCGGGAGAAGCGAACGAAGATCCTGATTCAGACTTGGAACAAGAATATGATGTTATGAAGAAACAAAACGCCACAAAACCTCCAAACTTGAACATAGATCCTGATGCAGACTTGGAACAAGAATATGAGATTTTGAAGGAAGCAGAAGATGCCGATGTTGAAGATGAAAATGCTTTTGAAGAGGTAGATTGCCACGAGGAAATTATTGATCGAACGTCCAATATTACTATGGACAGAGTGAAGAATGAAACTGTTGTAGCATACTGCAAGGTCAAGAACAGTGCCAACAAATTCAAGGACCTATGCGACTCTCCCGAATGTCAAATCCCTGTTCTGGTCGGTCTCGGCATCGCTCTCTGCGCTGGAATGTGCCTCTGCTCTGTGTTGAGGTGCTTCTTATACTACCTATTCTGCTGCTGCTGTTGCAAGAAGAAAGATAACGGACCAAAGTATCAGGGACTTAACACTGATGAAGTTAGCGACGATGAGGGAGGTTTCCAAGACGAGCCTGAAGAACCAAGAGGGAAGAAGAAATACCGGGACAACGTCCGCAGCAAGAAGAAAAATGGAACAGCACTCTCCAAGAACAATGGAGCCGAATTTATCTAGCTAATACATATTTCAATAGAATCTTGACTTGTTTTGATATCATGGTCAGAATATTGCCTGAGGAACTACTATAAGCACTCTTCTAGATTTCCAGTCGTGATGGTCCAATCGTGCGTGAAAAGCTCATGAACTTCTGGTCGAACATCAATGCTATTGTTGTTGTTATTACAATAGTCCACAAACTTGAAAACGCAAACGTAAAAATGGGAAGTGTATTTGGAAAACAGACAGTAGCAGAGCCCTTTTTTGAGGTTCTCCTGGACCGCAACCAGGCTCAAACGCAATATGAGCTCCGACATTATCCGGAACGACGATATGCAGCTACCTGTGTTTATGACGGTGATGCTGATGACACCAGTCCACCGTTCCGAGCCTTAGCCAATTATATCGGCGTCTTCGGAAAGCCTCAAAACGAAAGTCGTGAATCTATCAGTGCGACAACCCCTATAGTTTATCAAGGTAGCACCACAAAGGGCGAGTCAATTGCAATGACGGCTCCGGTTGTCACCGAGGAAGTGGAGGATGGCAAGAGAGTGATGAAATTCATGCTACCCGCAGAGTACGACGAACTCTCTAAGGTTCCCAAACCTATCAATCCAGCAGTGAAGATCGAGGAGATTCCTCCACAGGTCGGCGTTGTGCATAAATACAAAGGATCTCTGAAAGCTGAACACAACAAGGAAATGGCAATTGATCTTGCGGACCAGCTCATGGCCGATGGTGTGGAAGGTATTTCAGAAGAATTTGTTCTAGACAATTTCCAATTCTGGGGATACAATCCTCCAATGACGATTCCATACTTGAGAAGAAATGAAGTTTGGCTTCAGTTGACAGAAGAGCAAGTCGAGTATTTGACGCAAAAGTACAACAATCGCTCTTTGAACTAGTTCTATAATACATGCATGTCAATGCATGCCTTCATATCACAATAAATTTTCCACCACCATTTTTTTTAGCTACCGGTACTCCACAATTTGCTTTCTAAACTTGAACCAAGGACAAGCGTAATCCTTGCCGTAAAATTGAAGTGCAGTCTTCCTTACCCAACTACTGTTGTAGTACTCTTCAAGGTGTCCAGAGGCACCAGTTTCATGCCTTGCATGTGTGGCTTTTGAAAATATGGTCTCATTGGAATTTGGTCCCCATCCCGACTCACCAAAGTCTTCCCATGCCCCAACACGGTTCAACAATTTCTTGGTGTCGCTTTGCAAGGTGTCAAATTTCCCGACAAAGTTAATGTGCTGCCAAAACGGTGCATCGATTCGTTGGATCTGAGGCGCCCAGTGTGGGTCGTGCTTGCAACTCGAGGAGACAATGCCAACAAACTCCTCGAATGAAAAGTCCACCTGATGCTCCTTGTTACAGTGTTTGGCCATGTAGCTTCCATTCTTTCGCTTTCCCTTGTCAAGGTAGGCAGATAATAATCGTTCCAAGGGATCCCTCACAAAGATCGCTCTGGACCAGCCTTTGTTGGTCGATGTCAGCATTTCCAATGCTTTTCCAGGAGGATAATGATAGAGGTATTTCAAACCATTTTTATTAGGATTGTGCGGCAAAGGTCCGGAGTCTTCTCTCCAATCGTCCAAATCCATCATTCGGCGGAGCAACTGTTTGAAAACTGTGCAGGAAACTTTGCCGACTGCGAAGAAAATGAGTTTGTATTCTTCAACAACGATTGGGGCAGCATCCCAACTGTGGGTGTTGTAGATAAACATCTTCTTCATATCATGAGGTCGAATCATGTGTTTCTTCTTCATTTTGCTCATTCCTTCGATAGAAGTCTCTGCATATTCACTGGAGAAGGTAGAACTCAGATTGTACAACATGAATACAACATTTCCAACGGTGAGGAGCAGCAGCAGATAGTAGGATTTCTGTGATCGATCCATTCCTGAATGATAAGTGCTTCGTTCTCACTCTTTATGCTCTATTTTACGATAGTTACTGTTTCCGTCTCAAGATAGTGATTGCTCTTTCATAGTATCGTTGCAAGAATTCATTCGGCTGACTGCTGAAGTCTTGCCTTTTTATGTCATGGTGGTTTTTCACTTTCAAATTTGAATTTTTGCGCGAGTTATGTTGCGCGTGTGACCCTAGATTGATTCGTCCGACTGACTCGTCTGGCAACCAAGAGTATACCCAACACAGGTAGAGTATCACCTGCATCCTTTTTCTTGTACAAGTCTATCTATATGGTTCTAATTTAGAATTTCTTTCTCAGTGTTTTGGTTGTATTGACTTGAAAATGCGAATTTATCCACTTTCAAGGACAAATCCACATGCGCGAGGAATCTTGCCAACTCGGTTGGCATCCAAGAAGTTGGATAAGCGTGATCAGTGGCGTGAAAGACGTGACCACAATGGCCGCCGTGTTTGGTGTAATGAATCCTGAGTGGCCTGTCAGCTTTGTTCGCAACATGTGACTGACCAAGCAGAAATGGGTCATCCTCCGATTGAATCACCAACTCTGGAACGGCAACTTCATCCAGCCGTCGAAGGGTACTTGTTTTGTCGTAATAATCCCAGGCATCCTCGAAATCAAAGAATGGAGCGATTACCAAATTTTCCATATCCATAATCGTTTTGCAATCTCTAATGGCCTCCCGTTCAAATGGAAAATCAATGCCATAGTCATACATCTCTTCGATTCTCTCGTACATCGATTCCAATATACGATCAGCATACAAAGTCTTAGTGATACCATCCGAATTCAGATTCATGGTCGATTTAGAAACCTCGTATGGCAACGCGTTTACCGCCGCGCCAGCAATGCTGTACTTCTGCGCGTCGCTACCGAGATTGGCGAGAAAGGAGGTTACCACATTCGCACCCAGTGAGAATGCGGACAAGTAGATGCGTTTGTTGGGGTAGACGGTATTCACATGTGTAACAAGTTGGTGTAGATCGTCTGTGAACCCGAGGTGATATCCGCGAGGAGTGCGATTGACCTCACCACCGCATCCACGAAAGTTCATACAAGCTGCCCCCATTCCATGGCCTAGGAATGCTTCCGCCATATCTTTGACAAGTGGACTGTCCGAGCTGGCCTGCAGGCCGTGGCAAATGATAACCAACGGGGTGTCGTCAGATGCAAAGTTGACACCGGAAGTTTTCCAGTCCACATCAAAGAAGTCGTCATCGGGAGTCTCTAGCCGTTGACGTCTGTCCCAATGAAAGTTCTCCCACTGAAAACCATCTCCTCCAACCGCACCTTTGAACTTGGAAATTCCAGAGAGGAAGGAAGGTAAATCCGAAGAAGCATACATGGTCTCCTTGCGATAGAGGGCCCCCATGACAGTCTGTACATGTGCATTTGTTGCATATAAAGCAGGACGGTAATCTTTGACCTGGAAGGAGTGGGACACCAAGGCAGCTCGCTGTCGTCGTTCTTCAGCCAAGTCTTGTTTTCTGGTGTCATCAACGTCTGCCGGGTTGTCGTGACCTTCTGACTCCACATCGTACAATGCATGAAGTGAAGACTGCTGCTCATCGACATGCTTCAAAAACTTGGCGAGTTGCAAGGGCATCCAGGTTGCATCATGGTCTGGGCCTTCATTTCTCCAATATCCACAATGCCCTCCATGCTCCGTGTATTGAATTCGCAAAGGCTGGCTCGGATTGTTTGTCGGGTTTGTATTTCCTTGAAAGAACGGGTCATCCAACGCTTGAATCACAAGTTCCGGTACCGCTACTTGGTCCAAAACAGAGATGGTGCTGCACTTGCGATGGTAGTCATCAACGCCATCAAAATCGTAAACATCACAGACCACAAGATCGTCGAATTCTCTCAGCGTCTTGCAATCCATGAGTTCCTCTTTCGAGAAGGTATAGTTTTGATCATCATAATTCTCCAGCACTCTTTCCGTGAGCGATTTCAGTAGTCCATCTCCATACAACGATTTCGTGAGGCCCTCGTCACTAAAGTTGGGACCAACCTTGAGGAAATCGAACGGTAGTGCATTAACAGCAGCACCCCGAATGTTGTATTTCGTCAAAGCGTCAGTTTTCAATTCTGCCAAGAGCTTTGTCACAACATTGGCACCCAAGGAAAACCCCGATAGGTATAGTTTGCTTCCGTTTCTAGACTGTGAAACATGTTCTAGCATGAGCTTTAGATCATCAGTGAACCCGAGGTGATAACCAAGCGGCCCACGATTAATTTCATCACTACAACCACGAAAGTTGATACAAGCAACATCCATTCCGACACTGTTGAATGCTCGAGCCATATCCTTGGCCACATTTGAATCTGAATTGGATTGCAGGCCATGACATAACAATACAAGCGGCACTTCGCTGGAAGGTCTCCCCACATGCTCATCCAGATCCGAGAATTTCCAATCCACAACAAAAAAGTCACCGTCAGGGGTTTCCATCCGCTTTCGTTCGTCCCATTCGAATTCGACCAAGGCAGGATTCTTTCCTCTCGCCAAGAAACCTCCTATCGTTTGTAGATTTCCATTTCGGGTCCAAATTGGAGGATCGAAATCGTTGGTTGGAAAGGAATGTGCAATTACAGCGGAGGCTTTGTATAGTTTCATTTTATCAGCGTGTGATAGTGCGCTGGATGTTGATATCGATGATGGTTCTTCGTCCACAACTGGTCCGTCTTGGACCACAAGGGAATCCATTTCCTCTGACTGTTTTGTCAATACGTTAGCTGGCATGGCGTCTTTGCCCTCTGTCACATCGATATCATGAATGGTCGCTTCAAGGATCAATTGTTGATGTTGTTGGTGGTGGTCGAGGCCATTTCCCAATCTTTCATTCTCATCATCATCATCATCATCATCATCATCATCATTCATGGGGATGATTTGAGGAGTCAAAGGTTCTGTTATCGTTCCCTCCATATTACTATTGGACTGGATCTCTGGTGTTTGTTTGATAGAGTATCTGTTTGAAGTTTCGAATGTTGGTTGGTCGTCCAAAAAATCAATGGAACTGCTGGTTTCCGGCCACAGACCATCATCTTCTTTGTCGTCCTCTTGATGTTCAATCATAGCGTCCGCTTCATCTGTTGTATCACGATCATGAAAGAGTAAGGCTCGACTGTATTCTTCTTCGTCGGCCAATATCTTGATTGCCCTGCTGTCCCTCAAATTGGAAGAATCCGTGTTTGTCACTGCTGTCATTGGATAACAATTGCGCAACGGTGGAACATCCGACTGTACAATTTCGAGTGGCTTTCCAAAGTCGAAGATTGGTAACGAAGCGCCAGATTGCGATTCCTCTTGGACGTTGTCCATTTGTGCTTCTGACGAATCAAGTTCCCTTTCGTCTTCGCTCGACACATTATTTGCTGTTCCAAATTCTTGGGCAAAGTTGTCGTCGCAATCAAAATATTCCTCGCCTCCCTCGTCATCCAAGAAAGGCGAAGAAAACTCACTAAAGTCCAGCATGGCTTGTAGTTCCTCTTGTATATCTTCACCGATCTTATCGTAGTTATAATCATAATTATCATAGTCCATTGTGGTCGTGCTTGCAGCTTGTTGTTGAACCCACTCCAACGCCGTGCACCCAAACAGCAATCGTGTGTTGAGCCATCGTATCATTTGTTGGGTCTTTTTTCTTTTCTTGTTAGCGATTCTGCCCATGGACTGTAAATCGTCATCGTCGTCCTCTTCTTGTTGTATTCTCCAAGACAATTCTTCTCGTTGCAACACCATGATGAGTTGTTGGGACAGGCACCACGCGGCCATTTGTATGTTTGTCATTGTTGTTGTTGACGAATCCTCATCTCTTGATGATTCTGGTACATCTGATGATGGTTCTATTGCCTGTGACAGAGAGACGGATGGCGTCATAGTCCATTTGGCGTCGGTTATCTGTTGACGAGGAGAGGATACCAATGAAAATCCATGAACGACAGCAGGGGGCGTTATCATAACAATAATCTCAAAAAGGAGCCACGTCTGGATTCCAAGATAGCAAAGGAAGAATGTTTGACCTGTCCTTCGCATTGTGTTGCAATATTCGGTGTCTTGAACCAAAAATTGGTTCCTAAGATAGACTGTAAAGTGAATGAAGTACGAGTACTGTACTGTAGTGAAACTCTTGTGACCACGTTGTTTGAATTCTGTTGGTGGGTGTTTTTTTTTCTTTTCTCTTTTTCCGTGACGTGTCAGAATTTCCGTTGCGTGTCGCATTGGCGTCGTCTGAGCGAGCGAGGTCGAGAGAGATTAAATCCGGGTGTTTTAATCACTGGGTCATCAAAAATCGCGGGATTTTGCTTCTCCCATTCGATTCGCACAACAACATTCATTCATTCTTCTTCATTCTTGCTTGTTGGCAACCACGCACCTGAAGGCATACCTTTAGCTCTGGAAGATAGTATTCATTCCAAGAGACATTCGCAGTCAATCTTTACTATTCATACTCTTTATAACGTTCCTTGGATACAGTACAAACGAGTTTCTAAAACCATTATTGGTGTGATTTTTAAAACGGCGATTTTTTCCACGACACACACACAAAAAAAAGTTGAAAAAGGACGTTGCGGCTACTTTTAGAAACAGCATACACAAAGATACAGACACAACAGAAACACAATATCATTACCGATCATGCTGAAGCAAACAACCATTCTTACAGCGACCACAGCAGCATCAGCAATGCTGTCACTGTCATTCACAATGAATTCCATGTCCATGATGGCAAACGCCGAATTGGTTTCCTTTCCATTGATTCCGCATCACGTCCAACGGGCCCGACGCTTGAAGGAAGAAGGATTTGCTGCGCTGGTAGAAGAAGATAATCACAACCTCCGTCGCCGTGCGGAAGCCTTGCAAGTCGGTGCCTTGTATCACGGCTATGGCACCCATTACATTGATTTGTGGTGCGGAAGCCCTCCCCAACGGCAGACAGTCATTGTCGATACGGGAAGTGGAGTGACTGCCTTTCCGTGCAGTGCCTGTAGTGACTGTGGATCTCCCAAGTACCACATTGATAATTATTTCAACGAGGGAGAATCTACCACATTTAGCAAGGTGGACTGCAGTAGCTGCATGCGAGGTACCTGTTCGAACAATAAGGAATGTCGGATTACCATGTCCTATCAAGAGGGATCCAGTTGGACAGCCTACGAGGCTCGTGATCAATGTTATGTGGGAGGAATGCACAATGTGGCCTTGCTAGAAGACAAGGGAACAGAAGATATTGATCCGCAACATGCCAAGGCCTTTTCGGTCGAATTGGACTTTGGTTGTCAAACCAAGATTACCGGTCTTTTCAAGACTCAATTGGCCGACGGTATTATGGGTATGGAAGATACCCAAACGTCTTTTTGGAAACAAATGTTTGACGCTGGTAAGGGAGGAGATGACAAACAATTCTCCCTTTGCTTTTCGAGACCATTGGGTGCGTCACGCGAAGGAACCGAAGCCGGAGCCATGACCTTGGGAGGAACAGATACTCGCTTGCACAAAACTCCCATGGTGTTTGCTTCTAGAATCAACAAGAATGGATTCTTCAGTGTCCACGTTCGAAGGGTATACTTGCGTCATGGAGACGGAGGCGAATCCGCTCGATCCTCCAATCCAGATGCCAAGGTCATTCAATTGGATGTAGCAGAAACGAACTTGAATACTGGTGGACTCATTGTGGATTCTGGAACTACGGATACGTATTTCAATGGAGTCATCTCGGCAAAGTTCCGTGCTGCGTTCAAGGACTTGACGGGAGGTAGGCAATACAACAACAAGAAATGGGATTTGCAAAGTGGTGACTTGGAATCCTTGCCAACCATATTGATCCAATTGGAGGGAGATCTAGACTCCAACAAGCCATTGGGTGATGCGGCGAATGTTGTTGGATTGGCGGGTGATATGGATGCGGAACATCCATATGATATCATCATTGCCATTCCACCATCGCACTACATGGAATTGGATGACAGTGGCAAGTACACACCAAGATTCTACGATAATGAACATGGTGGCAGTGTCCTAGGGGCCAATGTCATGATGGGACATGAGGTCCTTTTCAATGTTGACAAACAAGTCATTGGATGGGCAGAATCTTCTTGTGACTACTATACTTTGGTCACGAGCAATGGATTTCAGGATGCCTTGTCTGTTGCAGGAATGGATTTGGAAACCACAATGCCAGGGCAACCAGACGAGCTCGACCCAGCTACAACCAATGAGGAGCAGCCTGTAGGAGAAGGAGAGGAAACGGAGGAAGGTTCTGATGGAGCATTTGATACGGACGATGAAACTATCAACGATTCTTCCATCTTTCCTACTGAGGATATCAAGGCTGAACTCCAAAAGATGGCAGATTCCTGTGAGTCTTGGTGGTGTCGTGGAGGACTGGTGCTTTCTCTGATCTCGATTTGCTGCTTCGGATGCTGCGTGGGACGGATCTGTTGGTGCCGATCCAAAAAAGTCCAATATGAACGGGCGGAAGTCGAACTGAATGGGTCCTTTACTGTGGATGGTAAGACTTATCGAGACGATCCAGTGGGCGATGAATATGGAGAGTTTGAATTAAAGTAAAAGCTGGTGATGGAAGAAACAAAACAAGCTGGTGTTAATAAACACTACCGACGTGCAATGCAATGCGATGCAATGCAACGCTAATGCATGGTCAGCAAACGCTTATCATCAATTAAAATAGCAAACGCAGCATAGGGTACAAGTGACAATTTTTAGGACACCACATGTCCATTATGAACCAAATGGCATTGTGGTTACAACCTGCAAAGAGATCCGGCCAAGTAAAGTGAGTCTCTAATTGAGATCATCCAACTTCACGATCATGGCATCACCCCCAATAGACGATCCATTTGAATCACCTGCAAAGTACGTGCTCGTAAACGAAATGTACAAAATGATTATATATTTGATGAATAACAAGAGTTCTACATCAGCTTCAGATGAGACGTGATATCTTCAAATACATATGTAGGAGCAGGGCCCAAACCGAGTACTGTCCGACTACCAGCAGCAATCTGTGTTCGTCCTGCATCCTCGACCAAGTACATTGGAATATCCCGTTCCATGGCTTTGGCAGCAATCATTTCGAGTTCGTCTTGAGTTGGACATTTGAGAGCAATCTTGGCACAACCTGTGCGTTCCCAGGCTTTCAATCCCTTAGGACATTGTTTCGAGGCACGTTTGTAACATCCAACAGCTGCGTGACAACATTGTGCGGCAATCTTCCCTTTGCCCATGCTAAGTTCAGTATTCACACACAATACCATCTTGTAGGGAGCATCAGAATATCCCCACTTGCTAGAAGGACCACCTTCCTCAACTCCATCCATGTCTTCATCGTCTTCATTGGAGCTATTGTCGCCATTCGTTTGCTTCCGTGTGAATGCCCACAGAAATAGTGTGGGAAGGAGGGCTCCGGTGAAGAAGTATAGAAATTCTGAACCTTTCTCTGAAACTGACGATGACATTTTTATGTGTGTGATATATCGGTTGAGCGTTGGATGTACAGTTATTATATCAACAAAAGGATTTGTTGTATGTGTTGGTTGTTGGTTGGATGCTTCCTAGCTCCAGTAGTGCTCGTGTTGGTCGTTTTGTCGATCCATCGGACTGCATTACCTTCCATGTTCTGGCGTCCCCCCGTCATTTCCGTTGGATGGATGACGTACTCAGTCACCGATGCCGCCGTACTTTGGTGGTTTTCGACCACCATGTCGCGATCGAACGAGTTCAACTTGGGCTTACATCTTATCAATAGGGAAACGAAAAATGAAGCTCAGCCTAATCTTCCTTGGTGAGTTTGCGCGAATCGATTACAATCAACACTATCAGTGTCTCCATGTTGAAGCAAGCTGTTGCATCGAGAGATCCGGCCATGAAAATCAATTTGTGGGCTGAAAGATCGTCATTTTGTGTTGTTGGCGCAATGGAATTGTGGAATGAATTTCGAGGTGTTTCAATCAAGAAATGACGATGCATCCACATGCCTTGTCATCCATAGTTTTATGGACTTCTCTCCTCCTTGCGTCCTAACCTTTTTCGTCATGTTTTCTTATCCAGGACTTTTCGTCGCTTGCGCCAGTGCCTTTGCACCCGCCCCCGTTGCACAAACTGGTGTGAGCTTGAGATCGAGCATGGCCAATCAAAACGACTCTGTTGGAAACAATATTGCCGTCAAGAACCTTTTGATGGATGTCGAAGCTTCTGGTCTTTTGTCGAAGGTTGCCCAATCTGGACTTCTTTCCAAGGCCCAAGAAGCAGGAATTTCGCTGTCCAAGTTGGAACCCCTTCTTGCTCTTGCCGCCGAGAACAAGGAAATCTTGATCCTCGTCGAAGCCGCCACCCCAGAGCTTCTTCCTTTGCTTCCAAAGATTGTTGACGTCGCCCCAGGTGCTTTGCCACTTTTGGCCGCTGCCATTTCCGTCCCTCCAGCCCTTCTTTCCGTTGTTGGATTGGGATCCCTTGCCGCCGCCGTTGGAGCTGTCGTTGTCATCCCCGACGACACTGTTACCCAAATTGCCGCACAAACTCTTGCCTTTGGTGCTTTGGGTGCTGCCGGTGCCGCTTCTTTGGCCGGATCTGCCATCATTGGCAAGCTTACCAACTAATTTTTTTCCTGTTCTGCCCTGACAAGCTCTTGCGAGCGAATAGACTAATGCTGTACACATAATAAATCAGGTATTGAAGAATACAACACTCTTGCAATGTATACCGTCTTATGGATTACTTTTACCTCGCGCTTTCACTTGAAAAATGGCAACTATTGAATCAAGGATATCATAGAGATTGAATATGGCATTCTTGGCACCAGAATTGTTTACAACGATCGGCTTAATGTCTGTCTGCCGCAGTATCCAGAAGAAGGCAGCACAAAGGAGCATCTTCCTTCTCCCATATATTCATAGCATTGAAGGTTCTTTGACTTCTTTCGTAAAAATCAACTACTAGTCAACAACCGTGTCCTGTGTAGGGCAACATGTTACGTGAAGGTTGAAATGTACAAGACGAATGCATTCCAAGTGGCTCTCTCAATGAGACAGTGAGAATCATGTAAGTATGATGTATTGATGTAGGTTGCATATATAATAAGTGTTAAATAGTATTCAAAATAAACAAGAGAGTGAATGTCACGTCTCCAATCAAATGTTCTTCCCCGCCCCATATTCGTTGAAGCTACGATTCATCTTGCTTTGATAGTTGCCTCGTCGGCATCAAGCTTCTTCGACTTCTTATCCTTGTTCTTTCCTGCTCCTTTAGCGCTTGCATAAGCTTCAGGACCAAATTCGTTGGAAATAAACTTTTTGAAGGAGGCACTGTACCACCTGTTCTTGATGTGATTTTCGGACCTTGATGAATGGAAGTACTTCGTTGAGATTTCAACCCAGCGCTTTCCAAGCTTCTTGTGTCCTTCCCAGAGGAGTAGATCGTCTTCTTTGCTGAACGGAAGGTGGTTGATATTCGGATTGAGATGGTTGACCCAGCGATCACGAATTTGCTTTCCAACACGTCCAGGTAGGCGTTGAGCAAGGTCAGACCAGCGAGTGAATGGTTGTTCAGAAGATGTTGTCACTGCTTCAATAACAATGGCGTCTTCATGATCGGTCCATTGTCCCTTACGGACACCAGGTTTGAGATATCGAATCCATCGTTCGTGGCATTCCTTTGAAGTTTTGCCACCCCCGTGTTCCTTCGCAATTGGCTCCCAGTCCCGTGGATTTTTGTATTTCTTCATAATCTCTGTTAGCCTTGCGTCATCCTCCTTGCTCCAGCTGAAAACTCCACTTCCACGTTTTGCCCCAGGATTGGCACCACCGTTTTGTGAAGACGTCATGATGTAGACACTTGGAGGAGGCCGCCTCGCAAGGTGCGGGTTATGAGGAGCAGCAAATTCTGGAGGGGGCTGGAACCCACTTGGAGGACCTTGAGGACGAGACATAGAGCCTTGGTGTGGCAGACCTGGAGGAGGAGAGGCGCGATGACCACCATCTTGCGAGTAGTTTCTCATCATGCCAGCGTGAGGTGGATAGTTACGTCCTCCGTATGGACCGTAAAGATTTTGTGGTCCACCTGGGTGGTGATACTGCGATCCTCCAGACGCAGCCGTACCCCAAGAAGGAGCGTGAGGAGGGAAAGACCCAGTATGTCCATGCTTGTAGCCTTCTTGTTGGTATGGACCGTGTCTTCCACCCCCATAGTGATCAAAACTGCCACCACCGTGATAGTGACCTCCTTCGAAGGATTGATTTCTTGATTCCATCGCTGCGTGCATGCTCCCAGGGTGCCCGTGAGTTCCAGGAGGTCCATGCTCAACAATGCCCCCGAGGTTACTTTCGCTTGCAGACAAGGCTGGAAATTCTTGAAAGCTAAAGCTCGATGCCAGCCCTTGGCCCCCACCAACACTTCCATTTCCAAAGCTATCTTGGGCATGAATCTCCCACGAAGATATGGAAGGAACCATGGCGTTTGCTGGATCGCGAGCGTCAAGATGCATCGGACCGCCAGAGATCGTGGAACCCGAAGCTGCAGACCCCGGTCTTGGAGGAATGGAAGAGTAAGCTCCTGGCTTTCGATTGAGAGGACCATCTCTTGGTATTGATGGCGCAGAATCAATCGAATAGCTAAATTGCGGAGGCTTGTCATAATAGCCATCCATTGTGTGGGGAGACGCATGATAGTCCATCTTGGGCCGCATTTTTGGATCCGGCCGAATTTGCTTAGGAGCCGAGGGGCTGCATGTTATTGACAGTGGAGATGATTTCTTCTTTGCATCTATGCTTGGTTCCTCTTTTGATGCTTCGTCAAGCTTTACTCGTTTAGGTGCAGGAGCCTCGCCAGATGGAGCACGTCGAATCTCAGCTTCTTCGGCTCTAATTGCGGCAGTCATATCCCCTCGCTCTTCGTCACGAGCCCGTTTCGTGTCCATGAGCAGACCAGCTTCCAATCCTCGTTGTTGAGGAGGCAAGTGAAGCAGTCCACTGGACCCACTGGAACATTTCATCAAATCAAGCGAGCCTCCAATGGAAGCAGGACTTGGAGGAGCGTCAGCTCGTACCGTTTCGATTGGCCGTTGTGCAGATGAAACAGATGCAAGGGAATCCAGTGACGACGATGGCTGAGTAACAGCTTGTTCCACTGCTTCTACCATGGCTTGTGCATGCTTCTCTGCACGGAGCTTTTGTGTCCCATCCGTTGGAGAATTCGTCAAAGAAGATGAAGTCGAGTTTATTTGACGTTCCGCTTCCGCAGGTTTGCTGCCGATATCATCGACACTGTGAACTTGTTTCAGTTGCTTCCATGACATATCGTCCGAAGCCACTGACTTGATGTCTCCTTGGATTGGCGTGGGGGGCTTCATCTTGGGGTGGTCATGATGAGGCTCGCGGCTCTTCACACTTCTATCAAAAGACGTCGATACAGATCTGCTAAAGGCCCCATCGCTCGAGTGATGTTCTGTGTGATAGTAGGCTGCTGGTCGATCTTTTGGATATGCGCCAACGCTTTGCGGAGGATAGTTTGGTGGATGTGTCGCCCAACTTTGTGTGCTTCCACGACCTTCTGGATATCTGCTGTACGCTTGAGGAAGATAGTTGGGCGCATGGCCGCTGTGGTAACCATATTGTCCTCTTGGACCCTCGTACGAAGCTGGTGGAGGTGGTCTTCCTCCATATTCACTGTACCCCCTTTGATCAGCGTAAAACGCTCCATGGTGAGGAGGAGCATGCGATGGATGAGGTGGATAGCCTCCTTCCATTCGAGAAGAAAGACCCCTGTTTGGTGGATAATTGTGATACCGCCGACGGTGATAGTCACCATTGGCGCCACTTCCACCTGGAGAAACTTGCATCGGTGGACCGCGATTGTAATATCTTTGTTCCTGACCTGGAAGAGGCAGTTGTCTTCGCTCGTGTGGCTGAAACGCCCCACTGCCACCGAGAGGGTGACCTTCATGAGGCCGAGATGGAGGAAAGTTTCCATTGTATCCAGGTCGTTGTCCAGCATAGGCAGGAAGGCGAGAATCATCAGCTTTTGGCTCTCCTCGATCGGGAGTGATTTTCTGTTGATCCGATCCTTTCAGCTCCTCCTTTTTGTTGGCATGTTTTGGTGTATGTGCCTGAACGAATCCCCTTTCTTGATCCAAAGAACCAGTCTCTTGCTGGTCTGATCTGACCTTCTCGGTATCTACAGAAATGGTTCCATGGGTAGTTGTTTCTTTCTTGATGGCTTCGATTGGCTTTTCAACAGCAGTTGCCGAGGGTTCGTCTACCATGATCGTTGTCGCAATGGAAACTGTCTGAATCAATGACACACAACTGAAATCAAATCAAAGCACAACGGATGAGATCCTCTTGAGACTGAAAATCAATTAGACGAGGAGAGGTTATCAGGAAGATGTTTGAATTGTTGTTGAGAGACAAAACGGTCAATGATCCGCGGGATCTGTATGTAAGGGAGAACACATAAAAAGCCCGCTCGCGTGAAATTCAAATTGAAATCTGACGAGTCACGTGGGATTCTACGCAAAATCGGGAAAAAACGAAAACATCCAACCAAGAAAGGGTCCTTGCAGTATGATGATAATGACCAACAAAACATTCAACATTGCAATAGATCAATGATGGATCATACCTTGATGAAGCGACGTCAAGTGTTGTTTGATCAAGTTTTCTTGTAACCGTTGCTTTGTCTCTTAGGTCAGTTCAACTGTCTCTACAAGCGTTCAACGATTGTCAGTTTTAAAAAGCGACAGTAGAAACTGTAGGTTCGGCACGTGAATAACGGTTCCGGGCAGACGCGAAAATTGTATATACTTTTGTATATCCTATTAACCGACCGTTTGCTTCATTAACGCAAGCTCTGGCTGACTCGCTACTACCACATTCGCTCGTTCGCCCAAAATATGGGAGTCCCGCAATGTTGTCGATCCCGCGAGACAAATATCCGGGTATTCTTTGTTTATATCGACAACTCCAAAATTTTCACCTTTTGTCCCGGAAGCAAAATGTTGATACTTCCACCCACTCTGGGGTCGGAGTTCCTGGTAGCAGTCGGCACGGAGCAATGATCGACAACATTTTCCATTCCCATTGACGGCGTGAGTCAATAGCAAAAGGAGTATAGGTAGCCATCAATTCTACATCTCAACCATCGTTGACGACGGGCGGTTTTGCATCCAAAGCAGAATACTGGTACTTCGCCCTTCTCTATAGGTCCACTTGTCTGCGTACCATCCTTCGTCAATGAATTAATCATCAGCATCACCATTAACATCATATCAGTGTACTTCTGTAGTTTGGTTATAGCAAAATTTAAAAGAGAAAAAAAAGAGTGAATCGATGATCTAGGATGTGGTATTACAGTTGTTTTTTAATACTCTAATATAATAATATGCATTTACAGTTGAGAAAGGACTTCATCGGCAATGGCAATGGTCTTCTCAATGTCTTCGTCAGTGTGTGACATTGACATAAATCCAGCTTCGTACATGGAAGGAGCAAGGTAGACACCTCTCTCCAACATCATTCGGTGCCACTTTCCGAACTTTTCTCCATCGGCCTTGCTGGCTTCTTGGAAGTTCTTGACGGGTCCGTCAACAAAGTACCATCCGAACATACCTCCGGCATAATCTCCACAGATGGCATGTCCATGCTTCTTGGCGGCGGCAACGATTCCGTCGACCAACTTGGAGGACTTGCGTTCCAATTCCTTGTGAACTCCTGGCTTGCTCAACTTCTTCAAGGTTTCGATACCAGCAGTCATGGCCAATGGGTTTCCGGAAAGAGTTCCAGCTTGGTACATGGGTCCAGCAGGGGCGACCAAATCCATAATGTCCCTGCGGCCACCGTAGGCACCGACTGGAAGTCCTCCTCCGATAACCTTACCCATGGTGGTGACATCGGGGGTAATTCCAAAGTATTCTTGGGCTCCTCCGTACGAAACACGGAATCCAGTCATGACTTCGTCAAAGACAAGAAGGGCTCCATTTTCAGTGGCCAAATCACGGAGTCCTTGCAAGAATTCCTGGTCGGGCTTGATGAATCCAGAGTTTCCAACGACGGGTTCCAGGATAATGGCAGCGATTTCGTCCTTGTTTTCCTCTAGGATCTTCTTGACCGATTCGAGGTTGTTGTATTCGGCGCAGAAAGTGGCCTTGGTGGCAGAAGCGGGAACTCCTGGAGAGTCAGGAAGACCCAAAGTGGCGACACCGGATCCAGCTTGTACCAAGAAGGAATCGGCGTGTCCGTGGTAGCATCCCTCGAACTTGATGACCTTTTCGCGGTTGGTGTAGGCACGTACGAGACGGATCATTCCCATGCAGGCTTCAGTTCCAGAGTTGGTGAAACGAACCATCTCGACCGATGGAACGGCAGCGATGACAGCCTTGGCCAATTCGTTTTCCAAAGGACATGGGGCACCAAAGGAAGTTCCCTTGTCCATGGTGGCCTTGACGGCATCTAGAACATCGTCATCGGCGTGTCCCAAAATGGCAGGTCCCCAGGTACCGACGTAGTCAATGTACTTGTTCTCATCGACATCCCAAGCGTAGGCACCCTTGACACGATCAAACACGACGGGGTTTCCACCGACGGACTTGAAGGCTCTGACGGGGGAAGAAACACCACCGGGCATCAACTAAAGTTTTAAAGCAGACAAGAGATAGAGGGAGAGAGAGGTAAATAAAGGATCAGTGAGCAAGTCGTCGTATATTCCAGGTTGCAGGTTTGTCTGTAATATTCCTGACATACCTCCTTGGCCTCTGCGAAAATTTCCTCACTCTTGGTGAAAGTGTAGGTTTCTTCTGACGCGGCAGTGCTGAAAAGAGCAGCAGATCCAGAGGTACCCTTGACAGGGGCAAAGGCAGAAGCGCCAACGGCAAGAAGGGCTGTGGTTCCAAGTGCAAACTTCATGGTTATTAATTGGATATATTGAGGTAGTGTTGTTTGTGTTTGTGGTTTCTAGTCGAAAGAAGCCGGATCCAAATTTCCATTCCGCCAAAGTGATGCATCCCTTGTTGAAGTACGTACCCTAGTAGAATCTACGTGCACTTTCTACAGGGTTCAAGTTTGCCTCCACGCGGCAGCGATATGGAATTTGGAATTTCAAAAACTTCAACTTGGGATTTTGATTTCGTCTGTACTTCGTCGAATTGGAATGAATCCAAGAAGACGTGAGATTGGCAGCACGATGATTGCGGAAATGCAACAGGATTTGGTTGGAGGCTACCGGTACCTGGTACTGTAAAAAGCAGAGAAGTGAGCACTCCAAAAGAGGCAATAAGAGCAACAGAGAACAACTCAGCTACACAGCACAAACAGAACCCTCGCGGTCCTTCGCCAAGTCAACAATATATTCATTCATTCAGTCATTCATTCAACAGCAGTGTCATAAACTATCCTACGCAAGTGCAATAATACATCATGGCAGCCGCAGAAGCCAAAGGTCTATTGGACCAATTGATGGGAGCCGATCGGAATGCACCTTTGCCACCTGGAACAGCCTTGCCACGCAAACGAGGACAAGCTGCTGCTAGTGGAGATGCTCTATTACTGCCGGGAAAGCGGCACAAGTCATGCTACGATCGCGACATTTGTCCACTCTATTGCGCCTGGGGCGTGGATGTCTATGATTTGTTTGTCAACACCAAATCCGACATTGGACCAAATCCAAACACTGCGGATGATGCCGCGAAAAAAGAATTCCAGGGTTTGCCCCAACATGAAAAGGAACGAATGGGCTACGAACATTTTCTGTTTAACAAACTGGGGGAATTGGTCCAGCAGTGTGACCGCATCGTATCGAGGAATAACGAAAAGCTAAACAAGGAACTCCATAGGCAACTACAAAAGCGGGGCGGTCAGGATTATGTCATTGATGTAGATGAAGGGGCCGTGGAACAGCTTTGTCGGAATGAAATCATGGTGGAAGAGCTCACGAATCAAGTGGAAGCTGCGTTGAAGGTGTTGGCAGATGTGAAACAAAAAGAAGAAGGCTTGAGTAAACAACTAGAAGCCAAGCTGAAAGTGAAGAGGGAAGCTGATGCTGCCGAAGAATCGACGCCAGTGAAACAAGAAGATACAGAAGGAGAATCTTCTACCAACATGAAGCAAGAAGAGAAGGAAGAATCAGAGGACAAACCTGCTCCGGAAGGAGAAACCGATAACAGTCTGCCTGCAGAACCATCCGAAGCATCCATTGAACTCGGAAAGATTACTCTGGAAAAGCAAAAGATTTTGTGCGATATTGCGAATATGCTCAGTCGATTGGGTCCTCTCCAAGATGGCATCGAACAACAAGAAAAGAATTTGAACCATGTCAAGTCGGACATTACTACCGACAAGACAGTCTGCGAGGTTTCGGGAAATTTTATGAGTGCCCGTGACGCTGACGAACGTATTGCGGCTCACTATGCCGGAAAGCAATATGTAGGTTGGAAACTGGTACGAGACAAGTTTGGGGAAATGGTGCAGAAATATGGTCGGTACGGTCCACCACCACCAATGCGGGGTGGTGCTGGTCCGCCGCCCATGGGACCGCCTCGAGGCTCTGGTGGTAGCTTTGGTGGTGATCGCCGAGGAGGTGGTGGATATGGCGGCGCCCGAGGAGGTGGCGGTAGTTATGGAGGACGGGATAGGGATCGAGGTGGTGGCTATGGTAGGGGTCCTCCTCCTCCTCCTCGAGGTGGCCCAAGTGGTCCAGGAAGATGGGAACGCAATGGAGGCGGCGGACGATATGGCGATCGAGGAGGAGGAGGCAGCCGTGGTGGTGGTGGTGCATACGGAAGGGATCGAGGTGGATACGGTAGTCGGGGTCCGCCACCGGGTGCCTATGGAAGACGATAAACTGACTAACTTACTAACTCACTGACTTACTGACTGACTCGTTACATTGTGTGACAACACGAGACAAAGTATAGAAAGAAACAATCTGCTTTTTAATAAAAAAATACTTCCACCATTGGTCTAGAATGATTGTATACTATACTGTTGTTTCTTATAGTGTCTTGCTGACTGGCCCCAAGTATGGAAGAACATTGGGAATCACAATCTCAGCACCAGAATGGACTAGGAAGGCATGGCGTTCGTCCTCATTCAAGGGTGCTCCAAAACTGATAGAGGAAGAGATCGTGGTAGTCTCCTCAGAAGTGGGAATGAAACCATCTGGTTTGGAACCAAAGAGCTTGATTCCAAAGCAGCATTTCTCGGTAGATGCTGATGATGATGTCGATAGGCACGAGGGCAAGCAAAAAGTTTGAGTTGCATTCACTTTTCGTTTCTTTTGCACGTGCTTGGGACTGTATTCATCTTCCTCTTGTCGTCGTAGTAGTAGTAGTAGTCGTTGCGGCATGTTGCGTTTCCACAAGGCTGATTCCAAGAGTGCTGTGGCCTCCAATCGTTCATATTGCAAAAGAGAACGTCGAAGTTGGCCCAATGCTCTTGATCCACAGGATTCCTCGAGAAACGACGGGTCGTCGTTTGCCCTTTCTTCCTCACTACTCATTAGAACCTCTTTTACACGCTGTAAGACATCCATTCTCCAGCCTTCTAGACCCAGAAAACGACTACGCTGAAGGATTGTCACCTGCAGGACTTGTTCAAACAGTTGGGCGGACCCGGGAGCCTTGCTTCTATACAAGTAGTCGACTGGAGCCTGGTTCCATCGATTCGCCTGGTTAAGGAGTTCCACAGGATACTTCTCCAGTAACTTTTGAAACAAGTAAACGTTTGGCGAAAATGAGGTGGCCAAAACATGGAATGGAGTGTTGCCGTTTTCATCCTCCAAGCATTTGGGATTCGTCACAGTCGCGTGTTCCAACTTTTCTAAATTCATTGGTAACGAGTGGAAGGACTGGTAGTAGCAGACTCTGTGAATTGGGAGTTCTTCCAAGGGGAACTTGTTGGGTTCAATAGAAACATTCCGTTCAAAAGCGTCGTTTTCCAATTTGGTCCCAGCAGGAAAGATCACAACAGACACCTGACAGTCCGATAATGCCCCTTCTTCAATCTCTTGCAAAGTACCTGGCATCTCCAAGGAAACCAACTTAAAACATTCTCGAAAGGCATCTGTTCCAATACGAACGACGGTCGAAGGCAATCCCAAAGCGCGGAGCGACGAGCAATTCTCACACAGACCTTCAGAGACTTCCTCCAACCCTTCGGGAAGCTTGAGCAGGGCCAAATTTTTGCAATCTCGAAAGGCAGAGGTCCCAATGCGCTTCACACTCGACGGAACGTCAATTTCCTTCAACGAAGTACAGCCACCAAAGGCCGAGTGGCAAATCTTGCTCAACCCATCAGGTAGGTCAATAGACTGCAAATTCTCGCATTCGAAAAAGGCATGCGGTCCAATGGATGTGACAGTCTTGGGTATATCAATCGTCTTTAACGACCGACAAAGATAAAAGAGTCGACATTGAATTGTGACCAATTTTTCTGGCAACTTGACGTTGGCCAGCAACGGACAAAAGTCAAAGGCAGCTCTGGCAATTTCATGCACCGAGTTGGGTATGATGATTTCGGTCAAGGAAGCACAGGTCCCAAAGGCAGCAGCCCCAATCACCTCCAAGCCTTCATATAGTTGAACAGAAACCAGTTGTTCGCAACTGTGAAATGCAGCTCGTTGGATCTGCTTGACTCCTGGAGCCAACCTAGCGTGCGTGAGATTGTTCGGAACCTCTTTGTGATTTTGGCCTTCGTACAAGAAATGAACCTCCTCGGTGATCGGTTTTGCTTTGGGGATATCTTCTTCCTCACTCTCTTCTGAGCTGCTCATGATATGCTGTTTGTTGTTATGATTTCCACAACGAGCACGGAGCAAGTACCATACTGATGTAAAAAATACTGTAATGTAGGTGCGAGGTTTTGAGAGTTTCTGTACGATTTGCGCGCGTGCGTCATTTTCCAATTTCGACTCCTGTGACTGTTTTTTTTTTCGGAACAAAAAAACGTAAACATCCAACTTCATCATTGCACCGCACGATGAAGATTCCGAGCGTATCACTGTTAGCTTGCTCTCTCAGATTATTGTCTCCAGTACAAGGCTTTACAACTGAGTCATCCTTTCGAAGAGCCACCACAATGCACGAATCAACAAGTACTACCAGCAAGACAGAAATCTTGTCGGGAGTCCGTGACATTGTCGATCGATACGATGTCTTTCTCTTGGACATGTGGGGAGTCATGCACGATGGTGAAGTCGCCTACGAAGGTGTCTTGGATGTGATATCGAAACTGAAGGAGCTAGGCAAAGACTTGATTATCCTTTCGAATTCTAGCAAGCGACAAATCAAGTCCATCAAAATGTTGAACAAACTGGGGTTTGATCCGAAAGACTTTTCCAATATCATCACTTCTGGGGAAGTTGCATATCACATGCTGTCAAATACAAAAACAGATGACTCTGCCCTTGCACCACAACCATGGGATGTTTTGGAGCCGTTTGCTCATACCGACAAGAAGAAGGTATTTTGCTTTGGAAGTGGAGACGGCGACGAAGAGTACGTGACCAGTTGTGGTTGGGAACTAGCCAGTATGGAGGAAGCCGACCTTATCGTTGCAAGAGGATACTTTACCATCAATGATGGGACAAATATTGTTCACAAGAATAACGACGGAGAAGAGGCATACCTACATGCCTTGGAGGAACAAATACAACAGGCAGCAAAACGCAAAATCCCAATGATTGTTGCCAACCCAGACAAGATTCGACCTGATGCTGATCGCACACCCATGCCTGGAACCATTGGAGTGGCGTATGAATCATCCTTGGGTGGCGATGCCAACGGTCTTGTGCGCTATATTGGGAAACCTTTTGCAGACGTCTACGAAATTGCTCTTCGAGGAAAGGATCGGGCTCGGGTGTGCATGGTTGGCGATGCCTTGGAGACAGATATTACTGGGGCAGTTGTGGAAGGGATTGATTCAATATGGGTGGCCAATGATGGCATTCACAATGTGGACATTGAAAAGAAGGGAGACGGGTCGTTGGAGGCCGGTTTCGAAAAGGTGGTGCAGGAATTCAACCAACGAAAAGACACCTACGCCAAAGGGCAACAACTTTCACCCGATGTTGTTTTACCACACTTTCGATGGTAGGAAACTTAATAGATGCAAAACATAGAATGCCAATGAAGCAATGGCTGTTGACTGCGTGAATTCACAATGCATTATTTGCAACGTACTCAAATTCCTGTACCTACTTTCTAGAGGTTAGTAGTAGATGGCAAATTTGCCACTACCACCATCCGTCACCTGGGGCTTGTGGCCAAGCACGAGTTCCATCTGTGCCACGATCTTGTCGCAAAAAGCCTTCTTGTCGTCCTCTGGTGCTTTCCCCCGATGGTAATAGGGGTTCTCCACGGTAGCCTCTTGTAGGAGATAGTGGCCATTGCCACGGAAGAAGGAATCCAAAATATTTCCTACCAATACCTGGGTCCGAGAGTGCCTTCCGTTTTCATAGTATTCAAATGCTCCTACTTCACACCGCTTCATCGCGAATTGAATCTTGTTGGCTTTTGTCTCGCTCACAAGCAACTTGTTCATTTCTTTTGTCTGCTCAATCAGATTGACAATGTTTTGGTTGATAGTGTTCATCATGTCCATATTCTTGTTGAGGACTTCGATCATTTTGTCGCTTTTATTCCGGTCTTCCTCCTGGCTTTCTGCCATGACTTTCATAGAACTTTCGCAAGGTTTGAAGATTTTCAATAAGATTCCTCTGCGTCAGGGAGTCTACCTCTAAACTAGCCGCTTCCACCAAAGCCTCGGCAGCCAATGCAAGCTTCTCCCTATTTCCGGTAGACATGATCGACTATCTTGGAAGACTGTGAGGACGATACCTCTTCGGTCATAACGTCGTTTGGCGGAGTGAGGAACTTACTGTACGGTCTTTTCATGCTCGCAAGAGCTGATGGGGTGCCGTATGTTTGAAATGTTTACGGATACGACCAAGAAAGTACCAGGAGCCAGGAGGGTACAGCCAGTTGCGTCGAAGTACTGGCGTCTGTCATCACTCAGATAAGCTAAAGGCGCATTACAGGGTGAGCATCATCACATCAAGCGCACATGACATGCAAAACACCATCTCCCTTGTCCAGCAGTTGAACTTTGTGTCCAATAAGGGCCTCGATCTGTTGGACAAGCCTCTTCCGAAAGTCTTGCATTCTGTCTATCAATTTCTTGCCTCTTGTGTTTGGCAGGCCAGTGTGACAAGAGCTTGGCAGGGCATGGGCTTTGCCATGGAAGAAGCTATTGAGTATCCTTCGCGCAAGGAGCTCAGAAGACTTGCCTATCTTTCCTGAATTGCTGTTCCCTCCTTCTCTGTACTCAAAAGCCCCAATATTACAGTGAAGGAATGCCGATTGAATCCTATTCAGTCTTCCTTCATTCCTTATTATATCGTTTGTCTGTTTTGTTTGATCGATCAGCACTTCTATATTTTTGTTCATAATACTCATCATTGAGACGATTTCATCACTGCCTTTTGATGACTGCTCGTGAGCCAATGTCATGGCTTTGATCGCAGCCAACATCGTCTCTTGCACGGCAAAATTTGTGTTTGCCAGGTGTTCTCGCACGACTGGACTGATGGCTTCGCTGTTCGATTCAGTAGAACTAGCACACTCGTCATGGGCTGTATTGGACATGGTGTGTGACCTGACCTCAGAAGCAGCACGAAGACATTGCTTAAAATGTTTCTTTGTTTTTCCATTGTCGGTGTCAAGAAACGACACGATTGCGTCACTTCGACACGTCTCTGGATCGTACTATTGGTGGAATGATTTATTGTCTGCTTTCGTACGTAGCCTTTTGCGAGCACGTCGATTTATTTGATGAGATTTGATTTTCACTGTTCACTGATCGGCCGGCGTTCTACGTGATTTTGAGTACATGACGCGCCGACCGACATTGGATGATCGTTTTTTCTTGGATCGCAGAAACTTGATTTCTTGTCCATCGGTCACGTTGACGAGCACTCATTCCTCCTTGCAAGGACAGCTTGGTTGGGTTTTACTGTATCAATTTCCTTTGCAATCTAACTTACAGTACATGATATAATGGCAACGTCAACAGCTTCTGATAAAGAGAATAGCTTCAATCAGCATGCTTTCCGGAAGCCACAAGCATCCATGTTCGACAAATCACGACAACAGCAAGGTGCTGCTGATATGGCATCCAAAGCAAAGCAAGGCAAGCAATGGTCGCTGAAAGACTTTGAAATTGGAAAGCCTCTCGGTCGTGGTAAATTCGGATCTGTCTACCTTGCGAGAGAGAAAGAAAGCAAATACATCGTTGCAATCAAAGTTTTGCAAAAAAGTCAACTTCTCAAGGCTGGTGTCGAGCATCAACTTCGACGAGAGATTGAAATTCAATCTCACCTCCGAAACAGACACATTCTTCGTATGTACGGCTATTTCTACGATGCGAAAAGAATTTACTTGATTCTAGAATACTCCCCTGGTGGCGAACTATTCAAAAGATTGACACAAAAGGGGCGCTTCAGCGAGCGAACATCTGCTCGATACATCACTGATTTGGCAATGGCTCTTGACTACTGCCATTCCAAACACGTAATTCATAGAGACATCAAACCAGAAAATCTTCTGTTGGGGGCATATTCAGAAATCAAGATTGCTGACTTCGGGTGGTCAGTTCACGCTCCAACAAGTCGACGAAACACACTTTGTGGAACCTTAGACTATCTGCCACCAGAGATGGTTGAGGGAAGGGATCACGACGAAAAGGTCGACGTTTGGAGTTTGGGTATTCTTCTTTACGAATTTTTGTACGGATTTCCACCATTTGAGGCGGAGGGGCATTCCGCGACCTACAGAAGAATCTCGCGGGTTGACCTTCGATTTCCAAGCAAGCCAACAGTTTCTCATGAAGCCAAGGACTTGATTCGAAGGCTACTAGTGAAGGATCCTTCAAAGCGAATGGCGCTACAAGACATTCCAAGTCACCCATGGGTCGTTGCCAACACGAAAAAGGTCTAAAGATCTTGGCACGACAGCAGCCAAACGCTAGACTACTGAACAGAACTATTGAAACTAATAGACAAACAAATGACATTTGTCAGTACTTAGGATTGTAGTAGTGTATTTTGAGGATTGTTATTTCAAATGACAAATAGCGATTATTATACCAAATAGAATCAATGTACTCTACAGTTTCGTGGTTGGCAGTCTTTCTCCGTTCGAAGTTCCACCTCGCTCACATTGGAAGGTGGGGCTTCAACTATCGTGCCGCTTGTAGAACAGGCTCATTGAACAGTGCCTCCGTTATTCGCAAGTTCTCATGTGGGGTCGTATCAGCAGCAAATGTCCAGTTGCAAGGATTTTGAATGCCCGATTTAGCTCTCTTCTGTTTGTAGATGCAGGTTGTGTTGCCACCAATCAAGTTCGCCCAATGACCATAGCCCCCCTTGCTGATGAAGACGCACTGCCCAAACGCCATAATGTACAAGTCAATAAAAGTATCGTAATAGTCTGAAGGAGATCGTCTTGGAGTTGAATGATCATTGACATCTTCAGCTTTGTCGAGATGGAGTGGGGGGTCTGGATTGTTTGGGTGTATATGGATTGTGGTATTCCGCTTCTTTGCATACTCTTCTGCGATCTGAGTGGCTTGGTGCGAATCAGATGCCAAGAAGATGGGTTTGCCGGGTCGTAGATGAGACGCGCAATTCAAACCATTCTTGGTCCACCGCATGATTCGAGGAATGGGCGTCGTTTTGAGAGCATACAACACCCGAACATGTGCTGACGAATAGTGACCTGGGAAAAGCCCATTTTCACCCATGAAATCTTTGATTGCTTTTGCAATAGGTAGTGCAGGTGTGAAGAAGACTCGCCAGATATCGTGGTACAATTCATTGAATGTTGCTTCTGCTTCCTTCTTTTCACTATCGTACCAGCCTTGACCTGCGTCGTATGATTGATATCGTACACTGACACTTTGATGCTTCGACTGGATTGCTGGTCGTGGGTCAACTGCCTTGGGAGACTCAAAGCTGTAACCAATCAAAAATGGGTCTGGGAGTTGGAAAGAAACGTTGTTTAGATACGGGTCGAGCTAGCATAATGACAAAACATCAAAGGAACCACTTACGCAACCAATTAGGAACACGCCAGTCCATTCCTCCCTTTGGAGGCAACAGAAATTCCTCTAGTTTGGCTGGCCGTGTCCAGTGAATCAGCAACAATCGGTTGGAGATATGAGCCATTCGTATCAGCGAGGGCAAAGGCTTCAATCGATCCGAAGTTCCCCCACAGCTCTCATGTGTGTCCAAGCATTCCATGAGCAATAGTCGCATGCTTCTCCAATTCTCTGGATTGAGCATTGCTTTTCGTTGCTCTCGATGCCAGCGAAAGTACTTCTTCATCCACTTCGGAATCTTGTCTGACGCCTTCCATAGATTTGGAGTCTCACTTGTGTTGAAAAACGTTGCATACAGCAACTGGCTTTGGGTAATGGATTCAATTTGCGTGACTTCTGGTTCATCCATCATCGGAGGTAGGTTGCTGCCGGACGACTTCGACGAATTTGGACTCTTGTTGAGAGATTTGGCAGTTGTTGATCCTTCCATCATCGGAGGTAGAAAGAGCGGGCTGGATAGTTCTCGTTGTGGACCTCGAAGATGAGGTTGCATCCCTTGAGGCGGATTGCATTTGATCATCGTCGCCATTGTTCGAAAAATACAGGAAGAGTTGTACCCAATAGCACTCCCCAAGCGCCCAAAACCTCCCATATTGAAAACTGTACATCGAGACATCCCGATGGTGTACAAATCAACAAATATATCGTCAAAGTCAGACGCACTACTGGACGTGCGGTTGCCAGTCTTTTCTAGATGTAGGGGAGTCGTTGCGTGTGGCCGGTGAAGCACCCGAATCCCATGGAATTTTTCCATGGTGTGTGCTTGTTTCGCCGCCATTTCCACAGCAAGGTCAGAGTCTGATACAAAAACCAAAGGCAAATGTCTAGTGTGGATAGGCAACTTGGTGGTGGCACAATTGATCGAATTTGTGCTCCACCATTCCACTAAATCCTCTTGTCGTTCTTCGACAGCATAAAGAGCACGCAAATGGACGGTAATATAGGCCCCAGGTTGCAATTGAAAGTCGCCCATGTACTGTTCAATTTGCTTGGCAATTCTTGGATTAGGCGTGAAAAACACTCTCCAAAGATCGTGATAGACTTGCAAGAAGTTTGGTTCTTCTGGACTCCTTCTTGATTGATCATAGCTTCCTTGTCCATGATCGTGGGACTGGAACTTGACGGAGAGTAATCTTGCTTGTGTGTAGTTTGCGTACTTTAAGATTTGCTTCTCGTGCGTGGAAAATCGTTTGGCAATCTCTTGCTGTAAGTTTTCTAATAGCCAAGGTGGTACTCTCCAATCGAATCCACCACTTGGAGGCTCTAGGAATTCTTCCAAGGGTGCTGGCTTCGTCCAGTGAATGAGCAACAGCCGCTTCGTCTCACTTGCAACTTTTATGTGAAACGGGAGTGGACCCAGCCGGTCAGCTGTCCCACCACATTTTTGATACGTTTCAGTGCATTCGATCAGGTAATAATTGAGTTGATCCCATTCTTCTGCATGCTTCTGTAGACGATTTCGTTGTTCTTTGTGCCAAATAAAATATTCTGGAACGGAGGAGCAGTAAATAGAGTAGAATTCATCAGCATGCAATTGCTCGTTTCCAAGAAAAACTGCGGGGGTGATACCAATACTTTCCATTGCCGCCTACGGAATCATCAACATTATCATTTTCCTACCTTTCATCCACACTGGTAGTATGCGAGAGTGGTCCCATAGATCTTTTCCAGAAGCCACGTACTCGTTCACCTTCACACGACCTTCACGTATTCCAACTGGATTTAGCACCGTTGTTGTTTTGTATATGTTGTTATCAGAAGAATAAAACTCCTCAATCCACTTCATTGGATGACCGTTGCTGTAGTCATGAATAGTCAAGTCGTGCGTTTGAAACAACAATATGGTGTATCCCAGAAGGCAGCAAATAACCCCCCATTGAAACAAGTGAACAATCCGGCTCCTTCGGAGGATCCTCATGAAAACGTGAAGGAATCAGTATGAACAACTACAACAACTTTCATGGACCTTTTCTTATGATGCTGTCGGGGGTAGTGGATACTCGTAGATGCAACCGACATCCGTGTTATTGCTGGTTTTGGTTGCCAAAAAAGTACAGGTCGTTTGATTCATACACTAAGTTTAGTCCTTTGTGTCGAAAGCGAAGACTTTTTGTTCACTCTCCATCTAAATGTACTGAGATATGCGTTATGTACGTTACACCATGTGCGTTATGTAGAGCCCACTCCTAGGCGATTGGTCGCAAATGCCTGGCGCAATAAAAACGAAGCTCAAGGCATTGAAGATCTCTTCGCAATCAAAAACAGACATGTTCTAAAATCCGAAGTCAACGCTCGAGGAGTTTTTGTTGCAATAGACCAAGTGTATTAACCCTAATGATCAAACAGAACTAAACATGACACAACGCCAAGCAAACAATGGTGGCAGAGCCTTTGACTTCCCCATTGACTTGGTTGAATTGTCAAAGCAGCATGTTGGATTCCTTCAGACATTGCATCAATTCGGAGTCACCATTCAACGACCTTCTCCTAAATCGCTTGAGCGGTACTGTGACTTATGGCTACCTTTGGTGCATTCCCATCCGAACGAGGCGCTCATACCTCCTGCCGACTGCGCATGGCTCTGGCATTGTCACCGACTTGCACCATTCCGATACACATCGTACCTCAAGCGCCAATTCGGCAACGACTGCCGAATTCTAGAAGCCAGCCCAGCATTTTCCTTTCAATGCGATAATGGAGATCTACATGGGACTTTCATGCAAAATACTGAAGAAGATTTGAATCCTGCAGCAGATAGAACTCGGTCTCTCTGGAATCAACAGTATCCTGAAGAAAGTTTCCACCTTCAGATGGATGAGCCAAATCATGCGGAACAAAAGATCGATGATCGCTCTCTTTTGTTGGACGGTTTCGATCTTTTGGGCTCCACGGGTCGTCAAGCAACTTTTCTGTGGCAAGTCTCAGGTCCACACTTTGCAGATGAAGACTTTTTGAAGGAAGGCGCTCTTCAGTACTACAAGTTTTTGAAACTGCGCAAGCACGAAAAAAAGTCCAATAGTGTTATTGTGCCCACATACCAGATTGACCTCATGTGGCATACCCACATTCTATCCAGAATGAGTGGTTACTTTGCTGACTGCAGGGCCATAATGGGAGGTACTTTGAACCACGATGACAGCTTGAACGATCGAACTGATGATGGTCCACTAGACCGAGCTTTCAGGGAAACAAAGGCTCTATGGAAGAAAAAATAGGACGAGGATTATTTTGTAGAAGGAGGAATGTATCGTGGCGAGCCACCAAGGGAATATTACAGTACCTCGTGGTGTAGTCGAATCAGCAACGAAGAAGCACAAATTCCACTGGGATCGTTTCTACATATGATTAATGTGCAGGGTGCATCCTCTACAAACCCAAATGAAAATCCGAACGCAGGCGATGGAGTTGAATTTTCCCCCGATGATTTGACGTACGAGGATCTAGCAAATGCAGCCTGGACGCCACTCTCCGGATCTGCTCCTGATGGTTCCCCTGCCTTTATTCAAATGGCAATGAAATCGAAAGAGAAAGGAATTAATGCAAACCCATACAAGGAGGATTACATATTTGGCAAGATAGGCACTTGCGTGGGATACTTTCATATCACTACTAAGGAAGCCTACGCAATCTTGTCCAAGAGGATTAGTGCTCGAACCAAAAGGTTTGAGAACGACGTCGCACTAGCAACGTGTTGCACGCTCGGCCTTTGCCGCGGTGCTAAATGGAAGAAGAAAATGGACGCGGATATCGAGATTCTAAAGATAACAAACTCAATCACTGAAGCTCGGTCAACAGCTGGTGCACCCTTCGGAAAGGTTGGAATTCCTGAAAGGTACAAGGACGATAAGCAAGTGACTAGTAGGCACTACAGTGAAGCAGGGGCCTGGCTATTCCCAGCGGCATACTATGAATGTGGTGGAGGCTGTGGAGGTGGGGCGATAGGTAAAGGCAATTCTTCGTCAAAAGGTGGTGCATCGGCTTGTGGTGCGGCGGCTTGTGTAAGTTCGTGTGTTTTTTGCCTCCAGATATTACTACCGTACCAAGGTATCGCTTTCTCACATTTTAGTCCTTGCTTTTGTACTTGTTGGTCCTATAGGGTGTTGCAGCTTGTGCTGGAGGAGGTAAGTTTATTAGATTCTCATAGCTAGATGCCCTTTTGCCTCAGCTGCCAAATCCTGATTTTTTCTTCATCTCATACTAATCTTTGCTTTATTCGTTCACAGGTTGTGGTGGTGGTGGTAAGAAACAGTGTAACCTTTGGAAGTCTCATCTTTTTTACACAGGTCTGTTCACGCGTATTTCTCCTTGTCCACTTTCATTTGTAGGATGTGGCGGTGGAGGTGAGTTATGCTTCGTTGCACTTCTGAAAACTCTCAATTGATCCTCTCCTAACGGTTCTTGTCCCTTTCGTTTTCCAGGTTGTGGTGGTTAAGGAGCAAGTGTCTACAGTGGTCATTGTGTTACTCAGTTTTATATAAAGCAATATAGTAGTGTAATGTTGATGCATGTTCAAAGTGGATAATATTTGCAATAGTTTGAATACAATGAGGACGCTTACACTGTCCGTAGTCGTCAAAAGACATTCAACATAATAACATCCAATGTGTTGAGTGGAGGTATAGTTTCTTCCCCAGTTGTAGTTGACTAGTTTTGGGTTAAAAAGACGCGTATCCAAGGCGGATTAACAAGTTACGACGCGTCACACACATCAGATGCAAACTCCCCTCAACTCCCAGTCCGAGATTTGATGTATGATCTCACATCGGAGTCGTCGTTGTGCGTCAGCATGTTTATTTTTTTAAAAACATGCTACAATTGAGCATCCTTGAATAAAGTGTTGTGCTGTGCCGTTCGCAGTATTTTGACAAAAAGATACGAAGTTGGTGGCACGGGACGGTCCGCGAGGTCGAGATTCTAGCCGAAACCTGATTCAGAGTTCCAAAATTCTTCAAGAGGTCGCAATTATGGTCGCGCGGAGTTTTATTCATTCAAAGTTCCAAGTTCTTTCAATGTCTTGATCACCCATCAGACGTGCACGCGCGTATCATTTGATTCGAAGTTTGATTTTGATTGAAATCTTATTCGTTCATTTCCACCGTTATTTTCTTTGTGCCACAGCTTGTCAACATAATCATCATGACGCAATGCCAAGCAAACAATGATGACAAAGCCTTTGACTTTCCCATTGACTTGGTTGAATTGTCGAAACAACATGTTGGATTCCTTCAGACTCTTCATCAACTAGGAGTCACCATCCAACGACCTTCTCCCAAGTCGCTACAGCGCTACCGTGATTTATGGCTGCCTTTGGTTCTCGCCAATCCTCGGGAAACGATAGTGCCACCAGCAGACTGCGCATGGCTCTGGCATTGTCACCGACTTGCACCATTCCGTTATACATCGTATCTGAAGCGTGAATTCGGCAATGACTGCCAAATGCTCGAAGCTAATCCGGCGTTCTGTTTTCAGTGGAACAGCGATGAAGTATATGGAGGAAGCCTGAACATGATTGAAAACGATATGAAGGCTGCAGCTGAGAGAACTCGATCTCTCTGGAACCAACAGTACCCAGAAGAGAGTTTCCACCTTCAGGTGGAGGCATCTGCATCCCAAACACTACCATATTCTGAAGAAAAGATCGATGATGGCTCTCTCTTTCTGGACGGTTTTGACCTTTTGGGCTCAACCGACCGACAAGCAACCTTTCTATGGCAAGTGTCTGGTCCACGCTTTGCAAGTGAAGAATTTCTCAAGGAAGGTGCCGTCCAGTACTACAAGTTTCTAAAACTTCGAAGAACGGCAGAAAAGTCGAATACTATCCTTGTCCCCACATACCAGATCGATCTCATGTGGCATACTCACATTCTATCGAGTCTGACTGGATACTTTGTGGACTGCAAGGCCATCATGGGTACTACATTGAACCACGATGACAGCTTGAACGATCGTACGGATGATGGTCCATTGGATCGAGCTTTCAACGACACAAAAGCTCTATGGAAGAAAAGCTACGGGGAGGAATATTTTGTAAAGGGAGGAATGTATCGTGGCGAGCCACCGAAGGGATACTACAATATCTCGTGGTGTAGTCGAGTATGCAACGAAGAAGCACAGATCCCTCTTGGACCGTTTCTGCACATGATTGGTCTACAAGGTGCATCTTCTACAAACCCAACTGGTGGTGCTTACGACTTGGACATTGTGTGGGCATGGAAGGAAACCGCATCACAAATGTCGAAACATCCTGCGAGTTCCGTTGCTGGTGATCCCTCGGAATGCTGGATCAAGTACGATGAATCAGCCAATGCAACGCTTGAAACCGCATTCAAAAATCAAGGCGGTGAAGGTACATGTGACTTGGGAAACGGATACGTAGTCGACTTTCTCGAGAATAAACAGACAAAAAAGGCAACGGGATATGTCCGTGAGGTGCAGAGGATTGTGAATGTGAAGTCTGCTTTGGAGCGCCCCAAGGTATGGTGCTGGAAAGAGACACAAGGACAGATGGGAAAGCATAGCTCTTCTGCCATTTATGGGAATCCATCCGAGTGCTGGATCAAATATGATGATACTGCAAACTCGATTCTGGAGTCGGCATACCAGGCCCAGGGCAACAATGGCGAAACCTCTCCTTCTAAGGGATATATGGTGAACTTCACCACCATGAAGCAAACCAAGATCGCAACTGGCTTTCAGCGTGAGGTGCAGAGAGTCGATGCCACCAACGACGCAGCCGATGCTGCTGCAAATGATGCGACGGCGTATTGGACTCCACTGACTGGGAATGCTCCTGATGGTTCCCCTGGCTTTGTTGCCTCTGCTCCGAAATCTAAAACTAGGGGAGTCAATGCAAATCCATTCAAGCAGGACTACATATTCGGCAGAAAGGCGGACAAAGTAGGATACTTCCATATCACCACAAAGGAAGCCTACGAGATTTTGGCAATGAGGATGAAGCTTCGCATCTTGCAAAAGAAGAGTGATATTGCAATGGCAACATGCTGCGGCCTTTGTAACGTGCCAAAGACTATGGAGGACGATCTTGACAAATTGGAAACAACCGAGGCAGTTGTGAAGGCTCGAGCAGGCGCAGCCAGACCAACAGGAAAGATTGGGCTGCCGCCAAAGTACAAGAACAACCGCAACGTTTCCAATACACACTATAGTGATACTGGAATTTGGTATTTCCCCGGTGAATACTATGACTGTGGTGGGGGCTGTGGTGGCGATTCAAATATCCACATTTCTGGTGGTGGTGATGGTAATTGTGGAGCTGGATGTGGCGCATCTGGCTGTGGGGGTGCCGCCTGTGGAGCTGCTGCCTGTGTAAGTCTTTGCATGGTCGTTTCAAAAAAGAAACGGATCGCACTTATTCTCATATTTTTTCTTCTTGATATTATGTAGGGAGGTACTCGTCTAGGGGACGGAGGCGGAGGTAAGAAGACAGTTGGACGAATCTTTCTATTCGTTTTTCATTCAGCCCATTGACAAGAAATTTGCTTTCGGAAAAAAAAAATAGGAGGAGGATTTTTTGGAGATAGCGGTGGAGGAGGTAAGTGTTTCCAGTTGCGATACCAACTACTGCACGATGCATATAGACTCAACAATAAATTTAATGCTTGGCCTTCAAGACTTCGGCGGTGGTGGTGGAGGAGGCTGTGGTGGCGGCGGAGGAGGAGGTGGTAAGCGGCTTGTGTGTACATATGATTTCAGATAGAGTGCTCCTCTAAACAACTATTTTCTCTGCTATCCAGGTTGTGGTGGCTAGACAGCAAGTTGAAACTATATTCACTTTGCTTGCTTTCTATTGATTGTCAAAAACCCTAGTCCAGCACTACTACGTAACCGAGTCTTTATTTTCACAAGCAGTGATATCTTTTGCAGCACGTGGTGATTAGGTGCTTGAAAAAAGAAGTATGAAGTCCCCCTTTCGGTTTTAATGTATTTTTGAAACACACTGCATCCTTTGTGGTTTTTGTTTATGTAGATTCTGCCTTTACAGCTGTAACAACATAATCAAAGCCCAGCTTTACACGCTTTTTGTTACTCGTGGCGGCCAAGCTTTGGCGCTCGAGATCATCCAAGACTTTCTTCATCTCTTCAGCTAGCTCTGGCGAAGGGAAAGATTCGAACTTTGATCTCCCAACGTTGATTTGATTGACGATAGTCTGGTGCGAATACAGTATCGGGAAAGTTGTCGTATTGAGGAGTGTCAACTCTGGGATATTAGTGACCTGTCGTTGAATCCATTCTACTGGATATTCCCTATAGCATCTGTGGCCAGCAAGCAAGATACAAGCATCCCTTATCTGTCGAACCTTGCATATTATGTTCCCATCACCATCTGCGTAATCTGGAATGGGTTCCAGACCGACGATATACAGCTTTCCTCCAGGATTCAAGTAAGAGGATAGCATTGAAATCATCTGGTCTTGCTTATAGGGAGAAAAACCATCCATTGCTCCGATGAGGTAGTCCGCCAGTATTGTATCATACTTTTCATCAACAGGAACGGGCAGCCTATTGCCAAACCAGTTGCCAATGACAACATCTCCATCATCCGACATGTTCAATGAGTCGGCCTCTGTTTGAACTCTTCGCCGCATTTCTTCGTCTGCAGTGATGGCTTTGAATCTAGTCATCCCCAGGTTTTTTAGCGTAGCCATCCATCGCAAGGAATGCATCCCGGTTCCAGCGTCCAAAAATGCGCCAAAGGGCTTGTCACCTTGTTGTTGCTCGATCGCCCCAAACAAGGCGTCATCCTTTCCATAGACAAGTCTACTGTTGGGGAAAAGAGTCATCGAAAAGCTGTTGAGTATCTGAAATTGTAAGAGAATGACCACAAAGAGAATGCTTTGAATCATCAAGTACAAGAAGTATCCAGTTTGACTATTTGTAATGCACCCATAGGTTTGGGTTTTTGGTTGATGTGTTTTTTGATTTTTGAAACGCACGGTCGATGGCAGACTTAATGAAACGACTACTTCGATCAACCAATTTCAAATCAATCAATATTTACATGTTCGTCATTGAAGCAGGAACGATGGCAATGCCGAGCTTAACGTCTCAGCAGAGCCATGCTTTCGTTCTGCTTCTACTAATACTTGGCATGCTGTATCAGAATCTGGCTTCAATAACGAAGGTAATCCCGCCAATAGCGGAAACAATTCTTTTAGTGGACGAAGAGCACATTGCGAAGGAAGTTCCTCAGACGACCATTGTGAAGGAGATTCAGCCGAGAACAGTAACGGAGGTAATCCCGCCAGTGGATAAAGTTCTTTTAGTCAATGAAGAGAAAATCATGAAGGAGATTGAGCCGACGGCATCGTTTGAAATATTGTGCACTGCCCAGCGAACCATGATGAAGTGGGGCTCCTTCAAGATTCGATGCCGTGAATTCAAAATAATTGCAGAGCACTGTGCCCATGTAATGGTGTCGATCCATCCACACAAGCAAATCCTTCAAGCACAAACTATATCGTTGAGTGATGAAGCAAAGAGAAAGAGTTTGCTGAAAAACTACAGTGCAACTGTATCGCTGAAGAAAGCATTGGAACCTTTACCAAGACTGGGACGAATCTTTGTGGACGTAGTCGACGACTATATTCTCAAGTCTGCTGATCTGCAAGCAGGAAATGAAGTCTTTGTACAAAGTAGATACCACGGGCTCGATAAGTTCAATTACACGAAATACCATGTTGTCGAGCATTGGTACAATAGCTTTCCACAGGATATGCTGTATGGAACACATCATCCTCAATTTGCGATTCCCCCGATAGAGAACGTTTCGACGCTACAGGTGGCAACCATATGGAACAATCAAGGTTATCCATGTCCTATAATGTCATCCAAACACTCGGACGTTGTTTACTCTTGTATTGACAAGCCCTTTGGAGTTGAAGTTTGGTATAAAGACTTTTTCAAGAGAGCGAATACTTCAGAACATGAACGACTCGAAAAGCTGGCGAAAGATCCTAATCAAGGGCCAGGACGAATATACTATGAGTTGTTTTGGAAATTTCATATGCTCGTGGTACCGGCAAAGATTTCGAGGCGTGAAAAGCTGAGATATGGCAATGTGCAAAGAGCAATCAGTCAAATGAGGAGTGGTGTTCCAGTACTATTGGAGATTAACGGTGAAATCTTTCAAGACTTTCTCATTGCCCACAACTACACATGCGTGTACGTCGTGGATGATGCGATTTTGCCCCTCAAGATGACCCGTCAACTATGGTCATTCGATGAAGCACTTCAGGCAATGAAAAGTTCAGAGATGAGGCAAAAGTGCCAAAACGAGGGCCTCGAAATTGTAAAGCATTATTCTCCAAGTACAATTGTGAAGAAAGAGTTGCGTCTTCTTGGTTATCAAGATGAATTTGACTGCGACAAGCGGAGGACGGTATGAGGAAATGATGCCCCATTGATCTTTCCTACCCCATGATTTCATTGGATGCATGAGGAAACTCAAGCGGAGATTGGGCTGAAATATTTTCAGCACTTCTGCGTTTCAGGCAAGTGGCTACATACCGCGACTCTTTTCTTTCAGCAGCGACTATGCAATCAACTGAAAATCGATTGTGAAAGCGGAAGGAAAGTTTACTAGAAGCCAATGCATTTCCTATGGGATATATGCACACGTTACTGCTACGAGCCATGAGATACGGGCAACCTATCCGTCGTGTATTAAAAAACGAGGCTTTGTTTCGATTGCCCGAAACAGTTTTCTCTCAACGTGATGCCTGACGGTGAAATCCATGGATGTGATGTTAGTAACCACTTTCAACCAAGCCTCCCTCCTTTGCACCAATCGCCAATGTGGTTTCGTACAGTAAATCAAGTAGACCAGCTTTCTCCTACTTCACAATTTGACTTCTTGTGGGTCGCGTGTCATCTGCATTTGTCAAGAGATTGCGTCAAGAGCCCCTTCTCTGTCATTCTGTGGACCAATATCCATTCCGGCTTTTGTTTTCAAAAGAGATTGCCATTCCCTATACGTGCGAAAGGCATATACTTGTCTCCATAAAGCTGCATTCGCAACACCTCTTGTGTAATGATCACCAGTACAGTCAAATAGACGCCCACGTAGACAGTTTCAGCGAATTCGTAGTCTCGCTTGACAAAGTTGGCAAACCAAGCAAGGGGCCCAGTATCATTCTCGTCATATTTTTCAGGATCAAAGAACTGTTTGTCGAGAAGAGTGTTTAGCGACTCTCCGATGCTTTCGTCGCTCTCTTCGTCCTCGTTCTGATTGTGGTTGTCATTTTCCGCAACCGACAACGTGAGCTTTGCGGACCAGCACTGTTTCGGCACGACAAACGCTTGGCATTCCAGACGTAGTAAGAATGAGAGGATTAAAGTCAGGAATAACGGATTGAAGCTTCTCATCGTTTGGATATGGTGTGGTTTATCTCAAAGCGAGTGAGTGAGCGAGTGAGTGAGCGAGTCTGTCAACGGCATTGATGAGATCTTGTTGCGTTCTTCGTAGCATCCGTCATCATTTTTTGTCAGCATTCTGCGACCAAGAATAGTAACACCACGAGAGACATATGGAATATGGACAGACAGAAGAAGGGGGTTCCGTACACGTGTACGTGCGACTGAACGACGGGGTGGGATGACCGCAAGGCGATGACTACAGAGTGATGATGTAGTGCTGTACTTGTAGTGTCAAATCGTATATATGAATTCACACGTATCGTACCAGGTACGATTGGAAACGAGGACAAAAGTAGGCAATCATATTGATGTCATAATATGTTCACCTTGCCGTGATCGAACCTCGTTATTATCGTTGATGTATCATCATTTTTTTGTTCGTGGTGGGGTACAGTGGTATTTCGTATTCATGTCGGTGTTGTTAATATGTAATCAAATGAAGAGGGTGCTCGTTTCGGCCAGGCCATCATCATCATCATTATCATCGATGGCTGCTTTTGTGACCAACCCAATTCGACCAGCTTTTGGAGTACAAGCGACAGATACATTGGGAAGAAGAGAATTCAGCTACCTACTTTCTAGCAACAGTGAAGAAGAGGAAAAGGACATTAAGCCTACGTGGACCTATGAGCCCTATAGCCCTGCCACGAACAACGCTAACATGAGACGAAACCCCAACAGTGGACCGCCGAGACGATCATTTTCTACATGGACGGTTCCCAAAACAGTTTCTATCCCAGAAGACAAGCTCGAAATCAGTTTTGTGCGGTCATCAGGATCGGGAGGTCAAAATGTCAACAAACTCAGTACCAAAGTAGAACTCCGTTTCCACGTCATGCAAGCTGACTGGATGCCGAGGGAAGTTCGAGAGAGGTTGTCCACCCAGCAGAGCAATCGGATCAATAAAGAAGGATTCATGACGATAACTAGCCAAGAGAATAGAACGCAAGGCATGAATAGAAAAGCCGCCTTGGACAAATTAAAGGTCATGGTGCTCGAAGCGTGGCCGCGACCGAAAATAAGAAGGCAGCGGGAAGGGATCTCGCAAGGAGAGAAACGAAGACGGAAAGAGTTCAAAAAGAAACGGAGTGCAGTCAAAGCGAATCGAAAACAGGTAAAAGACTGGTAGGACATCGTTAAAATTATTATTTTGCACATTGCACAGCATCATTCCGCATCACTTCTGGTTTCTTTTGACCCGTCAGGTGAGATGGTTGATCATGGATCCACTTGAGTCCCATGTTCCTTGTGTCCATCTTCGCACTCCATAATGTTTGCGTTTGTTTGATTCTACATATTTCGTGCTAGGCGTTAGCACGACTACTGCAATTGATGCACCGCAAGTCGAAAACAAGCGAGTTCTCAATTTGTCACAGGAAGAGTTCATCGCGCAGGAAGTCACTGTAGCTCTGAACATTGTCATGAAGTGAAATTCACGGGTCCGAAGACATCGGTTCCACAAACAGCGGTATTGGAGACTCTTGATTCGCACCGACAACACTATTCCCATTTCCTTCCGTCCAGTTGCAGGGTGCGCCAACTCCCTTGATCGAAGTCTTTTGATTGTGATGGCAAGATGAGTTGTGGCTCAGCAGAGATGCCCATTGACCAAAGCCTCCTCGGTTGTACGTCACGCAACGAGCCATACCCATCAAATAGAGATCGACAAAGGTATCGTAGAATTCTGATGGCTTTCGGTTTTCCATCCCGTCGGCCTTGTCCAAGTGAAGTGGCAGTGAGATTTGCTCACGAGCAACGACTTTGGCAGCTTTCTGCTTGCCATATTCGACGGCAACTTCTGTGCATCGAGAAAGATCAGACGCCATTAGTATGGGGGTCCCAGGGTAGAGCATGGATGCGCAGTTTACTGCATTAGATGTCAGGGCCCATACTTGCTCTTCAGTTCTCTTCTCAACTCGACCATACCTTCAGAAGCAAAGCATTCAGTGATTTTTTCAAACGCATGGCATGAGCTTCTTCATTCACGTGCATCTTGTACTTACAATGCGCGGAGGTGAGCCGCCGAATACTTTCCTGATATCAGCCCCATCCGTCTAAACTCCGATTCCAGAATCTGCTGGACAGGCACTGACGGCGTAAAGAGAATTCTCCATGCATCATGGAATACATCTTCAAAGCTTGCTTCACCTAACACCAAATCGTCGTCGTACAGCTCTCGAAAACCATCCACAGATTGCAGTCGCGTTTGGATGATTGGAGTGGTTTTGTAGCGGCTACTCTTCAGAATTTCACCTTTGAAAATCTTGAAGCCTTTCGTCTTTCTTTGAACCAACTGTTTGCAGATGCTACATGAGAGACACTACGTTGGTCTCATGCGGAAAAAATATTCGTAACTTACCATATCTTGAAGTGGCTTTGGAGCTCTCCAGTTCATCCCTCCCATCGGAGGGACCAAGAACTCTTCCAGGTGTGCTGGCAAAGTCCAATGAATGAACATCAATCGTTTCGTCATGTATGCTTCACGAAGCAAAAAGAGAAAGGGCTTTGTTCGATCAGCAGTGCCTCCGCACTTTGAATCTTCTTCTTTCAAGCACTGCATGACAAGCAGGGGTGTCTTTGTCCAAACATCTGGTTCTGTACTCGAAAGTAAGCGAAACCGCTCTTGTTTGTGCCATTCGAAGTACTCTACAATGGGATGGAAATTCTTGAGAAAGAACTCCAAACGGGTATGTCTCCTCGCTATAGTGATGTCTTACCTTTCATCCATGCTGGCGCGAAATCGGATAACTCCCACAGGTTGCCTGCAATGAGAAGGATAAGTTTCGTCAGCTCGATTCATTGTCCAGTTGAATCATCATCAATAAAGATGTCCGCAAAATCCTCACCTTCATAAGGCCGACCATGTATGCGATATTCTTGATCCAATTTGTCCTGGAGCTTTTTTGGAGAAGTGTCGGGCAACGAATGGCTGCTCTTGTCTGCATTCTTTGTCAATTGATGTTGACCAGATGCATCCAAGACTTGTTCGGGCTTGCCTTCCTCGAGAGAAAGGACTGAATGAATCGTCAATAAAGAAAAACAGTACAAGACGCAAAAGAAGACAATTTTACGTCCGAGAGACAAAACCAATCCTCCCGAGCCATGCTGATTGCTCATCCTTCATGTTCCTTTGATGTTGTTGTGTTGTGTTGTGTTTTGAAATAATAGTTCGACACGACCCCCATTTAGCCCCCCTTATTAAAGCTCTTTATCCCTGAAATTTGATGCGGTGAACCTACAGTATAGTACGGTTTCGTATAGTATCGTGCGAGTTGCTGTACTGTAGGAGATTCCTTCCACAACTGGGGTTGATTGTTCCATACCTGCTATGCTACGATGGAGCCTTCGTGACGAGGAAACTCGATTTATGTCAGAGCTACAGAACGATAATTTGCAGTCGCATTTACAGGCGCTAAGATGATAAGTAGCGCAAAATTGATCCAAAATGTATTTGTTCTTCAAAAAGAGGCACAATATAGCAAGATTGTGGCTATGACACTGTCTCTATCTAATGCATTCCGTCAAAAGCTCTTGCAGCGACTGTAGCCTACGGATTTGGGTTTCCCTTTCCAAGTCTATCCGCAATTGGAACCCAATCGTCGCCATCCCTTGGTGTTGGAAGATCTCCTCGAATGACGTATGCAAGTGTATCTACAACTTGTTCTGGTTCTTCACATACTGCGTTGGCTCCAGCATTGACTTCTTTTAGCATGTGACTAATCGCTGGTGGATGCAGCGTGATGATGGGCTTTCCAAGAGCACTTGCATATCCAGCATCAAAGGCCGCATTCCACTGTCGATACTTTTCGCCAAATCGAACCACCACCACATCTGCTTCGCTCAATAGGGTTTTGGTACGAATGGCATTCATGTTAGCCCCTAAATGTGGATAGGATATTGTAAGGAACTGAAAATTGAAATAGAAATGCTACACGTGTCGAACCATAATACTAATCCATCGTTTCAAAACCTACCAATTTTATCCCAGTTTGGTCGCTCTTCTTCCATTCCCAAAATGATAGCACCACAATCATCACTATCTTCATGACTTGTATTGGGCGAGGTGATAGACACTGGAAGCCCCTTTTCGCTGACTCCCTTTGCGATGACTTCTCTCCAGTCGGAGTGAATTTCACCGCTGAGGTAAACCTTCCAGATTTTCTCGGTAGTAGAGAAGCTTCGAGTCGCTGTGCTAGCGCGAGCAAACACTTGCTTGGATAGTATGGAAGAGAACATCATTTTCAATTGGTGTCTTGCTGGAGTGATATTTGCGACGCGTTGGTTAATAAACCATCATCATTCGTTCTTTTGTTGATGAATGAATGCGGTCGACAGTGACGTCATGATGGTCGTACGAGTCAAACAATGGAACAAAATATGCGATGCGAGATGTGATGAGGTGGAAAATCGATGTGGACATGAAGAAAGCGCAAAACTCTGACTTATAAAAACAGAGAGTACTGAAGGAAAGAGACGATTGAAGTGACGAGAAGGACTAGAAGCTTCAGTGGTTGAAGAGGAAGAGGATGACGAGGGCTTCGCGGATTTTGGATGCGCTCTCAGTATCGTTTCTGGTAATCGCTTTTGCGCTCCACAATGCAGCCTCCATTCAACTTCGTGGTTCTAGCTCAGCCATTCGTCAATCTTTAGCCTTTACAAACTGGAGAATACCTTCACAATCTACATCTTTCATGGGACAGACGATACCTACTATTGAAGTGGCGAATACAAATCTTGGTACCGTGGCAAGTCCAACAAGGAGCTTCTTGACAATGGGAGGACACAAAGATGGGAAAAAGAAGCGAAAAGGGAAGGCGGCGTCGTCAACATCAAGCCAATCAGTTCCTGCAGCAACGCCAACACCAACACCAGCAGCTCCAAGAGTGTCGAACGACATCAATGTGTCGATTCGACGGCAAATTCAGTACGGCAAACTTAACAAGAAAATGAGAGAGGGAGGGACCGCAGCTTTTCGACAGAAAAAGGTTGCGCGCACCAAGTATCGAAGAGCTTGGGATGAAGAAGAAATTGAACAAAAGGCAGAAGAAAGACGGCGGAAAGGACAGGTAGGGACGATTGCAGCTTCTGATGCTAAAAGCTTGTTTCGTACTATGGTCATTGGCTAACAAAAATTTCAACTCCAGGATCCTGATTGGGACGTGATTTTGAATCGAACTTCGACTCCTCCTCTTGTGGTAAGCTTCTCGTCTCTTTTTAAATTTCTTGTCTCAACCCTACAACGGACATTGTGTACTCTGGATATCTTGTTGATTCTCACACCTATCGCTTGCATGCATAGATTGTCGATGGGTACAACATCATTTACAAATGGCCTCGATTGAAAAAACATATGTCAAAGAATGATCCTGCACGGGCCCGCCAGCTTCTAGTAGATGATCTGGAGAATATGCGGTCGATCAAGAGTTGGAGAATCGAAGTGGTCTTTGATGGGGCTGGAAAGGATAATCGGAATGGACCATTGGGACAGTCTGGACAAAGACGCATTTCGGCAACGGATCAGAAAGAGTCGAAAGATGTTTCGAAACATGGTGTCCGAGTTGTATTTACAGGGACCGGAGTAGAGGCAGATTCTTATATCGAGGGGAGATGCTTGCAAGCCAAGAATGTGACAAAGGGAGAACTCACGGGGAGTCTGATTGTCGCCACGGATGATGCAATGATTCGATCAGCTGGTACGAGCGCTGGGGCTATGTGCATGGGTGCTGATCGGTTTGTGAGTGAGCTCAAGGCAATAAAGAAAGCCGTTGCATTCAGGGTTGAAGTGGCAATGGCCCAGGTGAACGGGGAACGCATGAGGCCAGAGAAACTTTGGGGGACTACAACCTTCGCTCCAACAAATACTGTAAATCCTGCAAACCTAAGGCCACTGAGCTCCTCCAACACAACCAAAGCTACTGAATCGCAGATTGAAGGGATCAAAGGCCTCCAGCAGACAGAAGATGGAAGAACTGTATATACTGGCCGTTTTGGAAGAAATGCCGTGATCATTGAAGATAGACGCAAGAAGAAGAAGAAATAAAGGCAGCAACGAGAGAATGCATTCGTGTCGAACGTATCCTTGATGATTACTTCTGTCTACCCTCGCTTCTGTGCCCTTTTCTGCACATCAAAATTACGGAGTTGTCCCAGTGAACTCCGTTTACCCGTGACTACGGTAGCCAAATTCCCATTTGAGATCAACGTTCCGTCCAAAATCGATACTGTTGCAGCCAGTGTCGGTGCTCAAGCAACATATTGTACAGCAAGCACAAGACATTGTAGGCTCCTCGCAATCGCTCACAAGAATTCCTATGTTCTCAGTCGAGCTACCTTCGCACAGCATATCTGTGTCTCCTTCCAACTTGTTCTGTTCGAGAAGGACCGTTTCTGAAAACGTGGAATGCAGTTAGGATACACTTGTTAGAACACACATATTCTGTTGCGCAATGACTCACGTAGGTTCCCAAGTTGGCTCAACTTTTGTGGTAGCGTCCCAGAAAATTGATTAGATTCCAACAAGAGATACTCAAGGTCTCTCAGCATCCCAACACTTGCGGGTATTGTACCTATGCTCCGATAGAATGCAGGTGTTTTGTGAGGAAGATATAATACATTTTCTAATGAAGAAACACCTTTTTTTCTTCATACCTTTCAACTCATTCTGACTCAAATCGAGATATCGCAAACTAGATAGTGAATCAATCGCATTCGGAAGGGTACCAGTCAAATTAATGCCCCTAAGTGAGAGCTCCGATAACATGTCCATGTCGAGTAGAAACTGCGGGAATGCCTCTGGTTCAAAATTGTTGTCTCCAGCAAACAAATACTCCAAGTTAAAAATGTTCTCGAGAGTGTTTGGTAAGGTTCCAGTCAAATTGTTGAAGCTCAAATCCAAATGCTTCAAAGCAACCAGAAATCCCATGGTCGTTGGTATTCGCTTGCTCAAAAAGTTGTCGTGAAGTGCCAGGTACTGCAAACTTCCGTTCACTTCAACCTCCAAATCTGGTATTGCCCCTTGTATTCGATTTCCGTGCAAGTCAACTACTCGCAGCTGCTTGTGCGAGAAAAGTGTTTCGGGGATCTTTCCGCTTATTTGATTCCGACTCACATCAAGCTCGCGCAGTTTCCCCCATTGTTCAAGAAGAGATGACGAAACTTCGCCCAGTATTTCATTACTATCTAGGTACAAATACTCCAGATTCGAAAGAGGCCCAAACAGGCTCAGGTCTGCAACCAGTTCATTGTCGTCCAAGCCTAACGACCGAAGATTTGTCATGGTTGCGATGGAAGGAGGCACTGCCCCGGAAAAAAGATTGTTGCCGAGTCCCAATGTTGTAAGCTCTTTTAGTTCATAAAGCCACTCGGGGAGAGTACCTGTCAAAGAACAATGCTCCAATGAGAGCCGGCGGAGGTTTTGCAATGATCGAATCGAAGACGGAAACTCCCCTTCCAACTCTGAGTTGTATTGCAGGACCAGCGTCTCCAAACCTGTCAGAAAGCGAAGCTCATCTGGCAGTGTTCCACTGAGACTTTGAAAAGCTACAATTTGGTTTAATGTTAGTACCAACTCGACGAATAATTTGAATTCCATGGATCCTATTCCCAAACAACTTACCCATGGACAATCCCACTGGTACTCGTTTGTTATCAATATCATGGCACTCCGTCACGCCGTACACCAGCTCGTTCCCATTATTGTCGTTGAAGGATTTTCCCCAACTGCAAACATGTTCTGGTTCCAGAAAGTTCAAAGAGTGAGCCCAGGAGATATCCCCACCCAGAGCAAAGTACATTACCGCCAAGACATATCTATCCAAAAAGTCATTGTCCATGGACGGTGTGACATGAGGCGAATCCGTATTGGCGATCCATTTCGCAGCTTTGTTTTGTGGACTTTTCCGGTTTCGCAGATTGACTTCTGTCGAAATGTCGTTTTGTACAAGAAACACAACAACCTCCTCCACACGAGCAAATCTGCTCTGGAGCATCAATAGAGGAACCAATACCGATGGCAAAAGCACCACCACGCAAACAAGCAGAATACACTTTTTGGAGCACTTTCGTTGTCTTTTTCGGGATGATACAAGCTCGTGGCCCGAGTGATCGGAATATGACCAGTATTCCTCTGGAGTGGGCAGTTGGGACGAGTATCCATCCCCGCCGACTCCAATGGTAAATGGGCTAGATTTTGTAGCTCTCCGCGACTTTTTTGCAAAATTCCAACTAGGCGGATCTGGCCTTGAAGAAAAGCGTTGAGACATCCTGTTGTCAAAGGGCAAATTGCGCTTGTTCATCACGTTTTCTTTCATTGGTGAATCATCTTCGTCTCGGAATTCTCCGGGATAAGAAAACGATGAATCCTCGCTATCGCTATCTCCAATCACTAAAATGTCACCAACTGCTTCGCCCATTGGATTTTCGTAGTTTGCAATCAATGATCGATCAATCAAACTTCTGTCATTTGCTTCATTTTCCATTGGAGATGGATTGCTTGCTTCAATGTCAAGAAGTGGAGGTGAGACAGAATTCGCCAGTTCCAATTTCTTTGTTTCCTTTGATAGCATGATATCATCTGGCTCAGAATTTCCGGAAGGAGTGATGATGGTCTCATTTCCGTCGTTATCAAATTGATGCTGGCCTTTCAATCCCATCATGTTGTCGTCCATGTCGTCCTCATCAAGGAAGTCTTCGACAGTGGAAAATGACGAATCGCTACCGATATCACCAATGAATGCATTCGGAGTATCTGATATTATCTTTTGGTCCACCATCATTTCTCCTGCCACATCAAAAGGGGGGATACTTGCAGCATCATCCTTTCGTCGCCTCTCATAAATGGGCGAAGTTTTGATTCCTTTCAACTCATTTCGAAGATGATCAACATTGCCGCTATCATCATCGTCTAGATCATCTTCATCGTACACAGCCGGTGTACTACTGGATCCATTGCTACTCTCAAAGGACGTAATCTGTTCCAATTCTTCGCCCAATGCTGCAAAACTCTCTTGAAAGGCAACCTCAAGATCATTGACAACTCCATCATTGAGTTCTTTGTTGTCACCGTACTCATTCCACATGTCTAAGCGTCTCGTGGATGAGCTGATGGAGCGATTGATGCGAGGGAAGTGGCAACAATGACAGGAGTACTACAAAAAGGCTGCTGTCACGTTGCAAAATAAACTTGTCGACCAAAGAACAGTGACGAATGAATCGAATCAGTCAAACTAGTCTGGCTTGTACCTACCTACTCGTACTTAGCTACGTATTCAAATTTCAAATTTCTAATGCTTTATTTTTCGCTAATGATTATACATCTAACTACTGTAGTGATTACCCTATTAATACCGGTAGTAGCTAGGACTGCTGTTTCAATATATGAATGTAATATACAATTATGTATTTATTTTCCTTTTGTTGTCTATTCTATGGTACTATCGTCATTTCGGTATCATAATTGTAGCGTTGGCGTCGGTACCCATAATGTGAGACTGGATCCAAGTTGGCCTTCCAATTGAACTCAAAGGTATTGCACAACGCATCTGCAACACTGCAGCAAGTAGTGCAGCATGTACATACGATACTGGGTGGATCATCCCCGCAATCCGACACAAAGGCTTGAATATTCATGTCGGGAGACGAGCAAATAGGATCTGTATCTCCCGAGAAACCATTCTGCTCAATCAAGAAAACTTCCAAGTTGGTCATTTGACTAATGGTCTCAGGAATATTTCCGTTAAGCTTGTTCATTTTGAGCAGCAAGTGTCTCAAATCCGTCAATTTGGAGACATCCTCCGGTACTTGACCCGTCAAACTGTTCAAATCTGCAAACAGATAACAAGTGGTAGTGTGAGCAAGCTAGAAAGCATCAAACAAACGACCATCATCACCTATCTCCGCGAACCCAACATTCATCCTTTCACTTACGAAAATCGAGAAACTGCAACTTGGTCAAATAGGTAAAGATTGTGGCCGGAATCACTCCTGTCAGTTGAGACTCCTTCAAGCTTAACTCTCGTAGGTTGGTCAATTCCAATAACCAGAATGGAATCCGACCCTGATCAAACGAGTTGGTCCCCGCAAATAGATACTCAAGGTTACTCATCAACCCCATGCTTTGTGGCAATTTTCCAGTCAGTCGATTGCTACTCAAGTCCACGTGTCTCAAAGCTCTCAGTTTGACCAAATCGGGCACGGCATTTTCAAACTTGTTTTCATGTAGTGACAAGAACGTCATGACCGTATTCTCGGTCGCAGGAGTGGGAATATCTCCGACCAATTGGTTGCCATGCAAGTCGACCACTTGCAAGTTGACCCGGTTGGACAAATCAAAAAAGTCGCTTGGAAGTTGTCCGCTAATCACATTGTCACTCAAATCCAATTCTTCCAAAAGGGGGAAATTGCCCATCCAAGCGGCCGTAATGGATCCGGAAATGTAGTTGGAATCAATGTAAAGAGACCTTAAATTCGAAATGGGACCAAAGACGTCAATGTTTCCATAAAGCTGATTGCGGTCCAAGCCCAGTAGGTTCAATCGTGTCAACGAGCCCAATTCCGTGGGCACGGTTCCCGTCAAGGCATTCCCTCCCAATCCAAGCGATTCCAGATTGGTCAATTTTCCAATCCAAGTAGGTATCTTTCCTTCCAGGTTGCAAAATTGGAGCATTAGGTGTTTCAAGCTGGTCATTTCACTGAGAATCGAGGGCAAGTTGCCCGTCAAACCATCGTTCGCTTCAATCTCGAGGGACTCCAATTGACCCAAAGCCTTTATTTCGGCAGGGATAGTACCATTCAGTCCATTTGCGGCTGTGTAGAACAAGCGAAGATGCAGGTGAGGAACAGTGCAAATAAATGGCAAATCAATGGTAAATCAATGGCAAATCAAAGACAAACTCGGTCAGCCACCACCAACAGCGCCATACTCAGAACTAGCATCTACTTACGCAAATAAATGGCATGCGCCACCAATTTCCCATCTTCTGGTTTGCATTCGTGCACTCCATACAGTTTGAATTCTTGATCCAAGTCTTGGTCCGCGCCCGAAATGACTTCAAATTCTTGATACCAGGCACAGACATGGTCGGGACTCAAAAAGTTGTAATTGTGGTTCCACTCGGGGCCATTCAAGGAAAAGTACAAGACCGCCATGGCATAACGTTGACTGTATTGAGAATCTTCGTTAACAGGAACCTCCATGGCCAACGAATCTCCATGCGCCAACCATTGAGCCGCAAAATATTGAGGAGATTCTAGGCCATTGAAGATATCTGGGTCGGTCAATTTGGCAACATCGGTCACATAATTGCGAACGGCTCGATATCCATTGGTATCACCCTGTATGAAATGCCAAAATTCCTTTTCTTCTTCCGGACTCGTCAAGAGCAATCCCAAAGTGACTGCGACCAACAACAAGAAACTCATCAGACAACAGAATTTCCAACAGCCTCTGCTCCAGGGAAGTCGAGCTTGGGATTTCTTGAATTGGCCTAGACGGGGAATCTCATGGTAATCTTCTTGGATTATTTCATCTCCTTCTTCCATGTCGTCAATCATGAATGGTTCTCCAGCATGATCGTTGGTGAGAAAGATTCCGTCGTGACCGTCTGGATCTGGTTTGCTGGGACTCGCTTCTTGTTTCTTGGAACCGTTATGTCCTATACTGGCCTTGTATTCTTCTACATTCGGGAGTTGATCGTGCTCGTGAAGCTCGAGGTCTCCTGGGTTGTGCTCATTCTCCTCCATCATGGTACAGTACCGGTACGATAGCAGTGCAGACACGGAAAAACGGATGTGTGTCGTGTGGTTTCTCTCCTTTTCTGGGAAAGGGCCGAATAAATTCAACGTCTACATCTGCGACATGTCTGCGACGTCGGACAACCCATGGACGCAGTTTTTCAATTTGGTCACACACGAATCACCACCAAATTCAAGCACCTCTTGCAAGACCAGAAGAAAAAGGAGGAGTGTGTCAACCAGAACCGCTTTGGTACCAACCGCATCAACATCTCTTGTTAAATTCTCGCTCTCTCTAGTGCAAAAAAAAAGAACAAAAACGAGATTTCTCCAAACACTGCTGTATTTGGATGTATCACAACAACACACGACGTACAATACAATACAATAATATAAAATCAATCGTTCCAAAGAAAGATGGAAGAATCCAAAAACTATGAAGAGTTGCAACGCCTGCAATACCTATACGAACAGGGCGAGCCAGTAGACGAGGATTTAATGTACGAACTCGAACTCTTGACGCGCCATCGAATGGGGGACTCTTTGACAAATGACGAACAAGATGATCTGAAACTGATATGCAAAGAACGAGGTTATGATTACAATGATTATGTTTCTCAACAACAGCAACAACAACGAGAACGAGAACGACAAGAAGAGCAACAAGATCAAGAAGCGGAAGCGGAAGAGGAGCATGGCAACCAATTACCCAATGTGGAAGAATACAAGGCACAAATGGGATACAAATCATCATCATCATCATCGTCGTCGTCAAAAATGGGATTGCCAAAGATCTTGCAATCCTTGCGACTGCCCAAAAAACAAGACCCATTTCCAAAACGAATGGATCCAGATGGTCATTACTTTGATGTACAGCAAGACGATGATTATGAGGAAGACGAAGAAGTTATAGATTTTGCACAAGAGGAGAAGAATGATGGTCAGGGCAATACGACGACGGATGGCATCTTTGCTCCTGTACTCGAAGAATTCACAATCGATGAGGAATATTTGCAAGAACATTGCCAAACACGAAGAAAGCGACAATTGGTAGCCACACCCAAAATTGGGATATCTAGCTCATGGCCCTTTGCCAAGGCAATTGCCCTGGTCATTATCTCCGCTGTCATTGTCGTTTCTCTCATTTTTGCCTATGTTCCCAACCAATCCAGCAAGGAATATCATTGGATGCACGGTGAGACAGACGAGTATCTTGCCATTCAAGACTTTGTGACGAAGCAACGGGGGATTTCTCATACCGACGTTTTTGACGATACCAATTCGCCTCAGTACTTGGCAGCCCAATGGATGGCCCATGGTGACCACGACATGGCATATCCAGTCCCCACTACTGCCGACCCAACCTTTGAAGATCGTTACGTCATGGCCGTCCTCTACTTTTCCTTGGGAGGCCCGCAATGGGAAAATCAAGTGGGCTTTTTGAGTGACGGACATATTTGTACCTGGTTTGAGGAATTCAAAGTCGGCAACGAAGAGTACGAAGAAGATACAGTAGTCTATGGATTGAATGGTTGCAACGAGAGCGAAATGACCAACAATCCAGACAGTTATTTCCCCTATATTTTGTCATTGCGTAAGTGCATTTATCTAAGGAGTTGGGTTGGGCATTGCTGTGGTGCCTTTTGACATCTGCCTGTATACAAAGGGCTCCTCTAACACAAGTTCATACTTCTTCTTCTTTATTCTTGTAGCCTCTAATGGACTGATTGGTACAATTCCCCATGAAGTGCAGGCCTTGTATCGATTGCAGGTGTTGAATTTGGAGTACAATGGTGGTATCAAAGGCACTTTGCCACCTGGCTTGTGGAAAATGGAATCCTTAGGGCAACTCATACTACAATGGTGCAACCTTAAGGGTACGATCCCTACTTGGATCGGCGAATTGACCAACCTATCCTACCTCGGACTGGGAAACAACCAATTGACAGGGCAAGTGCCAGCAGAAATTCAAAAGTTGACCAATTTGCAGTTGCTTGGATTGGACAACAACAACTTGGATGGGATTCTGGACCAGTTTGCGCCGCTGATCAATTTAAAGTCGCTTTATTTGGATCACAATTACATATCGGGGACTCTTACAGACAGCATCATGGCCAGCTGGCCACAACTGCAAGAATTGGACTTGTCGGATTCTCTGTTGATGGGGTCCTTGCCGGGCAATCTCTTTACAGCCTCGGACGACTTGCGAGTGATCGACCTCCACGCCAATCTAGGTAAGCATGCATGGGTGTATTTCAATAGTGGATGGCAGCTGGCAGCTGGCTGCGGCCTTGTCACAGAATCATTCATTCTTGTTGAATTCTTCATTCTTCATTCTCACCAGACACACGTCTACTGTTTTCTACCGTTCTTAGTGCAAGGTCCTCTCCCACCCATTCCACAGTTCAATGAAAAGCTAGAATTCTTGGCACTGCACGAAAATCAGCTCAGTGGCTTTATTCCCGAGAGCCTGACCAATTTGAGGAATGTACATCATTTGGATCTCAGCATCAACGCATTCACTTCAACCATACCGGAAAAACTTGCCGAGCTTACCAATTTAAGCTACCTTCATATCGGAATCAACAATTTTGCACAGGGAACCGTTCCCAAGTTCTTGATCGAGTTGACAAATCTACGCGAATTAGGTTTGAAGAGAGCGAATTTGCAAGGTACAATCCCAGAATACATTCAATACCTTTCTAATCTGCAGTTTCTTGATTTTCGTAAGTGGACACTAGACGGGCTGCAAATTGTGTTTGTTGCCATGACGAATAATAAACCAACTAATCACTATTTGTGTCCTCTTTCGCCGCCAACAGATGACAATGCTCTAACCGGAACCCTTCCCAAGGGATTTGGCCAATTGACGGAAATTCGGCACTTGATATTGAAGCAAAATCAATTGAGCGGCACGATACCGGATGAGTTTTCGAGATTGACCGATCTGGAACTCCTGTTAATGGAACAGAATAATTTTGACGGAGACGCGCAAATCATTTGCAATTCGGACGATATCCTGGTGGATACCTTTGTGGCCGATTGTTATACTGGTTTTGGCAGCGCTGCGGGAGACCGTGCCACGGATGAATTTGGCAACTTTACTTGCAGTTGCTGCTCGACGTGTTGTTCAAGAGATGATCCCAACTGCAACGATTGGGAATGGAGGGGAAACTTGGATCCTGTTTGGGAGTATGGATTTCGACGACAGCGGTATTCGTACAACTTGGGTCCTGTGATATGGACGCCCTAAAGCGGCTTCTTTATATACTTGCACACGACAATATAGTTGAGCCTAGAATCATAAAACTCTGTAGCTACAATATTTATAGTCTCGTTATTTTTCAGTCTCCTGTCAATCACACCTCATTATGGTACATCGCAATCTCCTCCTTCGCCTGCGGGCTTGGATGCCCCCGCCAAAGCATCCATGTCCTCTGGAGTCAGCTCAAAGTCAAAAATGTTGCGATTCGAAAGCATGTGACTCAAGGTATTACTCTTGGGAATGACTGGGATTCCCTGTTGGACAATGTATCGAAGTGCCACTTGACTTCCAGTAATGGCATCCGTCTCGGACGACTCAAGTCGAAGATTGGGAGAGGTTGATCTCTGGTAATGCGAGGCAATTTTCGACACCAAGTCACCATGAATCAATGAATCTTGTGGTTCATACTCGCAGGGACCACACAGGGGTGAGAAACTCATAAAGGTGATCTTGTGGTCGGCGCAATATTTCATGACGTTGTCAATATCCTGGGATCCGACATGATATTCCACTTGATTAATAGAGGGCATAACGGTTGCCACTTTTAGGATATCTTCAAAATGTTGAGTGCAGTAGTGGCTCACTCCAATCGATCGAGCTTGTCCCGTGCGATAGATGAATTCCAAGGCCATCCATTCTTCCTGTCTTGCTTCTGGTGATGCCACGGTCTCTTTCCAGTCAGCAGGAAAGTGTGTCATGAGATGATCCACATAGTCCAATTGCAAGTCTTTCAAATTTTGTTGATGAGTCGCCCAAACCTCCGACGTGTTGAGACCACCCGGAATCTTGGTCATGAGAAACAAATCTTCGCGAGATTTTCCACTGCCAAACCAGCAATCTTGTAGGGCTTTGCCCACCCCCTTTTGATTCTTGTAGCCCCATGCGGTATCTACAAACGTGTATCCCGCTTGAATGGCCTTGCAGACAGATTCGTACGCAATCGTATCATTGTACTGCCAGGTTCCAGCTCCAACGAGAGGCAAATCGACAGACTTTCCATAAACATCCAATCCAATGGAAATGGTCGGAACATCAGTGGAGATGGTGGCGAAGCTAGGATCCCTGTTTTGAGCGTATGGATTGTGTTCTTCTTCTTTATTCTGTTCAATCACAAGTTCATGACTGCCCAATCTAGCTGCTTCCGTGGTTGCATGGGGACTAGAAGCCAAGTATAACACAGCGAGAAGAATACAGGAAGACCAACGATTATAGGAGGAAATAGAATGCGTCATGCTAGCAAGTAGGCGGAGATAAATTTGCTCGAAAGAGAGATCCAGCAGGTGAAGCTAGAATGGAAAGAATTCATGATGATTCATCATTTATTTTCCTCTATTCTCCGTTGTCCACAAAAGATCCTTGTCGTCCATCTTCATCTGTCTGATGTCGTTCGTGCATCATCATAGTGCTCATAAAAGTTCGATACTCTTGATGGATCACAATTCTCCTTCCAGACGAAGGCCACACAGCCTCCTTCAGTCATTCATTCCATCGAAAGCTACAGTAAGTAATGCCACCTTAGTTTATCGATATCGATTGAATTGATGCGTTCATTGACTTTCGATGTATCCTTTGTCATGACTTAGCATACCTCACACCGATATACCTATGGCTTCAGCAACATTCTGTATGCCTATGGGAACCACAATCCGGTATCCTAGCCAGTAGTTGGTCCCAGGTTCACCCATTAACTACACTGACTATATTCTATAATAGATCATCGCTTATGTTAGAATATTGTCGTGGAGGAATGAAATTACATTCGGGATGACGACTAAGGCACCACTTCGAATCTGATATGCTTCTCGCTTATTCCTATCGACCATAGTCCTCACTGGATCATCCTCTAAGGCATCGTTGGCCGAATTCAACTCAGTTTTCCACAAAGACAACTCCAACAACGTCGTAGCTTCCAACTTCTCGTACCGCGACAAAGCCATCGACGCCTCTCGAAGCAAAAAATGCCTCTGTTCGACTTCCTCCTCGGCAACGATCGCATTCACCCTACTTAACATGTCAACCTTCCAAGCTTCCAATGCATTCCAGCTCGATACAGAACCCACCAACCATCGATCAAGAGCCATTCGAAGCATGTTTCGTGAGTCTTCAGACAGATAGATTCGTTGGGTCAAGCATTCAACGGCAGTCTTTCCATTCACGTCTTTCCATCCAAGGACATGCGGTGGATACGCAGCTAGCAAGATTTGCAAAAGATCAAGTCTGCAGCTTGCAGCCGATAGTAGAACGTGAAATGGTGTCAAACCGAAACGATCTACCAAATGATCATGGGTAGTATTACCTTGCAAAGACTTCATCGACGAGTCAATCTCTTGAGCCAGCTCATCCGTTGTTGTAACAGAGGCGTGGTGACATCGCTTGTGTATCGGAAAATTCTCAAAGCGATGCACCAGATCAAACTGCATGTTCGCATGACCATATTGATTTTCCAGCGTTGTGCAGCCTTGAAAGACGCTGTACACCGCACAGCGGAGGGTCAACGGGATTTCGACGGGAAAACAAATGTTTACTAAAGATGCACATCCCGAAAACGCCATGCTATCTAGCTGCACAAATCTAGGGCGATCCCCAAATTCCACTGATAACAACTTGGAACATTCACAAAAAGCCCCATGGCCAATCCACTCCACTGATCCCGGCAAAGAAACTGCTTGCAAATTCTTGCACAAGTAAAATGCTTTTTCTTCAACATATTGAAGACCATTCTGGAACTTCACTACCTCCAATGAGTTGCAGTTCCTGAATGTCCTTGTTTCAAGGCGCTCAACAGTGGTAGGGATGTTGACAGTGTGCAATTTCACACATCCTTGAAAGGCCTGTTTTCCAATTTCTGTCAATTCTCCTTCCTCAAAATTCACTTTCTGCAATGAAGCGCACTCATAAAATGCACCGCAGCCAATTATCGAAAGACTTCTCGGAATGTCCACGTTTTCCAATTTGACACAGCCCAAGAAAACATCAGCATGAATGACACCTAGTCCCTCGTTGAGGCGCACTCGTGCCAAGAGTTGACATTTCCAAAAGGCACAAGGTGCAATGCTCATGACACTAGGTGGAATGGTCACATCAGTCAAGGATCTACATTTGGCAAAGGCCTCTCTTTCAATGTTTGTCAATGAACCATCTTGATGAAAACGAACCTTTCTCAATAAGCAGCAAGACTGAAAGGCACCTTCTTTAATGGAAATAACACTCGCAGGAATGCTTACTTCAGTCAATGACTTGCAAAGATAAAAGGCGTTCTTTCCAATGGAGGTCAACACACTATCTTCATGAAAATGAACTTTTGTCAATGCCTCACAATTCATCATAAAGGCCTCTTTTAGAATTTCTGTCACCGACGCAGGTATTTCGATTTCCAACAAGCTTGCACAGCCATAAAAGGCTTGAATTCCAATTTCTGTTAGAGCGGATCCATTGAAGTTGACTCGCGTGAGTTGTTTGCGCCCATAGCACGCCGCGAACGGAATCCGTCGAACGAGAGGATGAATATTTAATTCTTGCACGTCGTCTGGAATCTTTTCTCCTTCTTTCCCACAGTAGTGATAGGAAGTCATCGTATTGAATGAAGCAATGTGTATCGTATTGTATTGTGCAGAGTATCAGGCAGGGACTGGAAGTCTAACTATGAGCATGCAGCTTTTAGAAAGCATGAAGCATATTTTACTCTATGGTAACGTGTTTGCTCACCACGATCAAAAGATATGGAAGGTACCACCGGTACGTGTACTGTAATGACAACCTCTCCGCCTGGGCGAATTTCTGTTCCCGTTGTGCTGTACCCTACAGTACAAGTAATGACAACCTCTCCGCCTCGGCGAATTTCCGAGCGCGCGTGGCGCGCTTACCGTACTCCTACGAATAAAATAAAAGGCGCGAAAATGTTATTTGTCTCGAATGAGTTTTGCATTCACTTTCCACATGGCGACACAATCTGACGATGATTATGGTGCTCAAATAAGCTCAAATCTATATCGACCTGTTGAGATCCTCCTATCCAATACTCCTATGGGTTGTTGGAACATGGTGAGGAAAAAAGAAGTGGCGAAATATGCCTTGGGGTTACGAAAATGGCAATTTTGCAGTTTTCGAAAATCGATGGTGTCCTAGTTTTGTTTATATAATATCTACTGCCTTTTATATTTTCCTCTAGGCCACCACATCACATCTAATGCTTTGAAACGTTAAAGGATTTTCTATACATTGGTAGTGAACGTTATTGCTTGAAACTTAGAGTGTAAGAATCTCCGCAATCCATTCTTTCACCGATCACCACGAACTCTGTAAAATCGACTTTCTGCTCAAATAAGCTCAATATGGCGCGTCATGTTGCAATAATCCTGCCCAATATGCCTTGATATATACATGTAGTACGATACCTACGAGTAGTAGACATATTATAATATCCGATGGTCCAAAAAAGCTACCGGAAAGTCACAATCCAACATCGACGTGTCATTTTCAAACGGTTTGGAAAATTCAGGGTTTGTGTTTGATGTAAATCAGTCGAACGAGTCGATTTATAGGGAAATAGGAAACATACATAACAGCAAAAGGGGGTTGTTCAGTATTCATTACTTTGCAAACCTACTTGTATAGTACCAGCGTGATACAATCATAGCATCTATATTGGCATATGCAGGCGAAATACTACTGCTCTGTTTCGGTTACCAGTGTGTCAAGGACTCTGGGTTCTCTCCAACATTATGCGCCGCAAACGATACGTTAGCAGTCTGTCTTTCCCCTTTTGTTTTCCCCTCCTGACGCGAGCTTTATAATAGCCCCGCTATTATTTAATATATCTCAGAAAACAAACACATGATTTGAATTTGTTGTGTCATGCCAATTGTATTTGCTCAATCAGTTTCATCGTCACAATGAATCGCAATCAACTAGTCTTTCTGAATATGGTGTCGGCCACTGTCTTTTTCATCTTACGGCATTTGATTTGGATCGAACGACCGAACTTTCAGTCCCGTATTCATCAATTGCAACAACAATGGACAGAGGACAATGATGATTCATCTTCCATTCTTCAAACGTCGATACCTGTGAATGATGATTCCGTTGTGACTGAAAATGACAAACATAATGATTCCGAGAATAGTACACGGGATTACAACTTTGCCTTTGGTGAAAACAAGGCTTATTTCTACAAATACGAACCGGATCGATTGCCACTCCCAGATAGCGTCTCCCTACAGAATGCCCACGGCATTTATGTTTCCAACGATTGCTCCGATCAAGATCATTTGGAGTGTGGCCCCACAATTGTTATTACTTATCAAGACAAGGTGGACGATTCCAAATGTCTGCTGCAATGGAAGGCGGGGGAATATGACCAACCAGCCAAATTTTTGGGTCCTGGGTCTTCACTTTGTGCCGGCGTTCCTCATGGATTGACGGCCATGGAAGAAGTAGACGCAAAGAAAGACGGCAAAGGTGCAAGGACCACAACGTACTTGTATCACGCCAACAATGACCAGCACTTGTCCAAGACCACAGCAGATGGAGAAGTAGTCTGGACCAATCAGTATCAACCTCCAGTTCCTTTGGACAAAAACTCGACCGAGCCCGAATTCAAACCAACTTGGTTTGCAGGGCAACCTCACTCTCCTTACATTTATCTTGCTGATGGCTATGGAACCTCTCGGATCTATCAATACTACAAGTCCAATGGAACCTATGCGGGAAGGTACTTTGGAGGGATTGGAACGGACGATGGTTTCTTTCACACCTCGCACGCCATATCCTGGGATGGACGAAATAGTGATAATGATGATGACGATGGTCATAGTACAATGATTGTTTGCGATCGGGAGAATCATCGACTGTCCTACTTTGCCATTGATCCGAAACAACCGGAAAAGTTTGAGTTCTTGGGGCAACAGAACATGGAACCCTACAACTTGTATCAGCCTTGCAACATTCGATACCATCCAACTACGAAGCAAGCTATTATACCATTCCTTGAAGGTAGCGTGGGGATTTTCAATCCACCAAACCCAGACGAGCCATTGGTCCAGCCCTTGGAGGGCATTCTCAACATTACCGATCAAATGGGAAAGTTGGGATTCTTGCACCCACATGACGCACACTTTTTGCCCAACGGAGATTTTGTATTGGTAACGTGGGCTCCGGGAAGGATTGGATATTTTCGAAAAGTGGAAGGGGGAAAGGTGGAGGAGAAAAAGTCCGCAGCTCCATCCGATAGGGACCCATTTGGTCATGCCAATACTACGAGTATACAATAGCGACCAGTTAGGATTGTTAGGGTTAGGAATGATGAGGTGCATGTTTCTTTATATGAACACTCTATTGTCTGGCTTTATCACATGACCATTATGCAAGTGCCAGCCACGCGGCACAAGCGTACCTTTGCGCATTCGTAGGCAGGACACCATGAAACAACGAGGGCGAAGATAAAACCACCATTCGCCCCCCAAGAGGAGCAATGTCCACATAAGAGTCCTCGCTTTCGCCATTTGGAAAGACGCGGAGGCAACCCCCGTCTCCCTCTTTCCAATCCGTATTTAGATAGACAAGGCAAGTCAAGTACCTTTGTCGCAAATGTTGAGACCGAATCCACCCAATCACACCTAGTTCAAAGAAGTTATGTGCTCCCGCTGAGTCCACGTGTTTGTGATAAAAGTTATGTGTCGATTCTTCCTCGTCTGGATTTGGAGTCTCCAATCCGCCACAGATGCTCACTTGCATTTGCGATGGGACATGAAGAGAGGTAGAATCATAGTCGTCTCGAGGAAAGCCTTTGAAATCCGAGTCGACCAAGCTCCTTGCAAAAGCCGAAATTTGCATTCGGACCATGTCGAGATTCCCGCTTCGATTGATAATGACACGATCTCGAGTCCTGCTGCTTGCCGCCTTGCCATCGAATGTTTCATACGGACTACTACGAAACTGATAGTTGTCGTCCAAGGTTTGAATGGCATTGCGAGCTTCCTGTACTTGTTGCTTCGACAGGAAATTGTCCAACACTATGTATCCATCTTGTTCCAATTGGCGGCATTGCTTGGATGTGAAGACTCTTCCTGCCGCAGTTCCATCTTTTGCTGGTAATGACCCATTCATTGGGGCTTTCCCTTGCCTTTGAGCCTCGGCGACAAGTCCAACGCATCCCGCAATGGCTGCCGCAACACCGACGCGGTCCACGGTAACACTAGGCGGAAGACGAGCTAACCAAGACATGTCCAAGAAAGACAGAGTGAGTGCTACAACATTTCTGATGACTTTGCCGCAGCTTGTTTTCCAAACACATACGGTAGCAAGAAAAACATTTGGTTGGTAGATCAGATGAAGAACAAACTGGTGCCATCTTTTTGTCCACACCGACTGCGTACGGTAGGTTTGCCATCTCCGCTTTGGCAGTGGCTATTTGAAAAGAAATGTTCAATGGTATACTTTGATAACGCTTTATCGAGATTACGATTCATGGTTGAGTGAGTAGTTTGCCCAAATCACACATCGACTTTTGTTGTGCGTCTTCCGAAGTGAATATGGCGTAAAAAGCTTTGTCGAAGTCTACACGTGTCAATTTGATCGCGCTCAGAACTGGACATGTCTTTTATAATGGAGAGGAGAGCACGACGTTACCCACTCAAACCGGAATTGTTTCATGAGGATCCCGTAACATAGGAGCTGGTGGCTGCTTGCTTGTGAGCAAGAGCAATATGTGTTGTTGTTTCGATGAGCGAGCCGTATTGAGATGAACAGATTTTCATTGTTTTGTATCTTCAAGTTTGTCAGTTCTTTTGCCTTTTGACTAGCCATCAAAAAATGGTCGTGGCAACTTAAGTGCACTCCACCTACAGTTGTACACCTCAGGACGATGTCGTGTTTCTGGATATAGTTCTGCTTGAAACAGATACATGTACGTGTCAAATGGATGCAAAGTGGTGTATTCGAAGAGAGGTATGTGCTGAAGAATCTTGTGGTACCTTTCTTCGTATCCCTTTTCATCATGTACAATAGCATCCATTCGTTCAAGAACGGTTGATTCACTAGCTGGAGGCAACATTGAATACCGACTCGTTGGGTGCGTTGCGATGTTCTGATTCGCACCCTTCCGTGGTCTCAGCTTTCCTGCATCCTCTGGAGAAGACTTCAAATTCGTATCATTGTGAATCGGTATGTAGTAAGAGAGCTGGTTCCAATCGATCCATTCTCCTCCTGCCATCGTATATTGGTTGAGATGGGTAAAGATGGGAACACTACCACTCAAAATCGTGTCCATCAGACGATTACTAGAAAAGGTGTCACCAGCCACATGAAATCCGAACTTTGATTCGGCCAAGGCAGGGCACTGTTCCGCGTGTCCACAGCTGGAAATCTTAAGATCTAACGTCGTTTTGTTTTCGTGGTTTTGCCCATTTTTCAGCCAATGACATAGATTGCGTCGATGCTGGAATCTAGGTTTCTCTGGAGACAGGCTAGCAACCATTGCAACATCGAAGGGTTTCTCATTTGAAAGTTTACAAGGCGTTCCAACATAGTACGAAGGCAGAACAATGCGGTGTCCTGGATTGGGATACAAGTCCTTGCCCTCAAAGGTAATAACTTGCATTTTTTTGAATACGTAAAGAAACTGTTTGTACCCTTCTTTGTTTCCCCGTTCCAACTCTTGATTCCAAGATTCCCAGTGTGCGGAGTAGAAAGAACGCACAACAATGTGACGATCTGGATAGAGTTTAAAGGTTTCAGACTCTTTAAGGGCAGCCACCGCATCCAAGAGCAATTCCATGTTGCATTTGCCGTTCCAGCACAATGGCACATCTTTGAAGGACCGGAAATCAAAAAAATTCAACAGCCATGGAACAAAGAAGAGCTTGGCTTCGCTCTTGTTTTGAGTGCGCATAGGGTGTTTCAAACTCGCTTCGAGTAGCCAATAGTCGTCTCCATGTTTGAATCGAGAACCGTATTTGGTGTGTTGCTTTGCCATGTCTGACACTAGTTTGTCTTGAATCGTTGCATTGATCCACGCTTGGTCCTCGTAGACGTAGAAAGGAACGCTCAACAATAGCTCTGGTGATGTACTTGGACTTCGCTCCTTTTCCTCACTGCATGATTTGCTTTTGGGTTTCGTTTGCTCATGCCGGATTGAAGAAGCCGATGATGATTCGCTGTCAAAGTCAACCCAAAGTGAGGTTTGAGGCTGAAAGAACTTTATTCCGATCACCAAAGTCAAACATGCTACAATATAACAACAGAGATTGAACGTTCTCTGACGACCATTGGGCCCTCTACTTTTACAGCTGTTACTTTCCTTCGCTTTCCTGAAGGGGGCCATGGACAGATAAATGCAACTGAGTATCGGTGGGCAAGATGAATTTGAATTCTGAAGTTCTGGGTTCGAACCTCACCATAAGTTACCGCAGAAATTGCATTGCAACCGGTTCTAAGCTCTTCGTTTTGATCCCTACCAGTCGGACCTATCCCCTTCTCTAAAGATGATCCCTATCTCTCTTCGCCTATTGGCTTTGATCTTGTGTAGTAACTGTTCTTATCTGTTTGACAATAGATATGGGGCTATTAGCCCCAAATATTGTTATACTATTCTTTGACAAGGGAGGTTCCTCTGTTGCTTGCAACACGATCCTCACGGATGGTCTCGGCATTTCACGCACCGCCTTGCACTGTCCACCCCCCTTACCCCAATCCCAAACCCCTCTCCCCAACACCCCCCACCCATCCAATCATATATCGACCCCATATAGCATAGTGAATCTCCACGCCATGGGTCTATGGATGTTGCAATGATACCGTTGGCTTCGATCTGACCTAAAATTAAGTCTCCACTATCATTCAGACATCTTCGTGGCTAGGACCTACATTACTCCAATCTTAGTAGTTATTGCTACGTCATCTCATAATGCATGCCAGATCTGCCCCTGTCCTGTGGTAGCGAAGAATAACCATAGTTCCTGTTGCGAGCATCATTATACTTCTTGCACACTAGAAATACACCAGCAACAAGTAGGAACCGCACCAAGTTCCTCGCAAATGACGATGGCGAAGACTTGGATGTTCCTACAGATGGGGGATTACAATATTCCGATTGACAGTAGATGGCAATGGTCGCATGGGCCACTTCCCGAAGAGTCTTTTGGGTATCTTGTGGGACGAGCGGATATTTCCAATCGAATCCCCTTGGATCCTGCCCCGTCAAGATACCGACCAACACACTGGCTGCCAAGTAGCTCCCTTGTGCACTTGGATGAGAGCCATCCGCACCGTACAAATTAGCAAATCTTCCTCCGTCTTGTTCGGGAGCCACACCCTCTTTCACCATAGAATCGTGAATAGCCTGAAAGGCATGCCCAACTGGTGCAATCATGACTGGTCGTGCCGGTGTGGAAAGGAGCTTTTGGTACTCCTTGTAGCCGGAAACGATGCGAGATTGATGGATTTGATAATTGCTGAATAGTTCAGCAAGCTGCGAAGAACTGTCATCGCGACGCAACCGACCCCAAGTTTCAAAGAGAATTGTCTGTGTACTGTTGTTCGAGTTGCCAAATTGTTGAATTTGCTCATCCATAATCTTCACTGCCGTTCTAGAATCAATCCACTCATTCTGAAAGACATCGGATTGGAAGAGTCCTGGAATTTGACTTTGTTCCTGCAAGACGACCCAGCGAAATTCCTTTCTCTTTAACGCGTCTTGGAACGTCTCCGGTGGTTGAAGGTGGTCTTGTGAACTTAGTCGATATGCATAATGTTTCCATTTGGCACCATCGAGACTCCAAGTCTCGGTCTGTAACGGTAGTCTGACACCAGATGAAGATGTCCTGGAAGAGTGCTCCAGCATGTTGACGACAATCTCCGTCAGATTGTTCATTGCCGTGTAGGAATTGCCCACCATGAATAACCCATCGCCACCATTAGTGCTGGAGGAGTCGTCGAAATAGCCAGCATTGTTGTTCAGGTTCGAGGCGTCATATTTGTAATTGGAGTAATGCTGCAAGTCTCGTTGTGGATCCGTCAATGATAATTTGACGTTGAGAAGCATCATCATCAAATAGAACAAGCACGGGAGAGGCTTCACAAACAATAAGGAAGATGATTGGTTTCGTGTCCTCTTCATCGTAGTGCCTTCATGGATCTAGGAATCAAAGAACTGTAGCAAACTTATGGTCAGCGCTGGTGTGTAGCTGAGGTCTCTTGGCTCCAGAGGCACTCGCAATGTCTGTGGTGTCGTTGTTGCTGGATATATATGGCGATATGTGATACAGTATGTGATGTGGATGAGGTCTTATAACGTAGTCATATGAGTCGATAAAGCCTCCTTGGGTATTAGGAGTGGAAGATGGTACTGTAATTCCCGACCTCATTGAGGGTTCCAATGGCTCCTGCTGTCGCACTCCTTCCCAATACCTGAATAGCTTGAACGTAGGAAAAATACGCTTATGATTGTTTCTCAAGCCGAATTGTTGGAAAAGCTGGTTGTGT